CGTCATCGTCGACATCAACATACGAACTCCGTAAGATAAATTCCAACATGAAACTTCTCTAGGTGGTCTCGTTTTATCTGTTAATATCCTGCCCGTTGGACACGGGGATAGAAAAGGCCAAACCCAGATATCATTCTCAACTTTCTGATATGAAGAACTTAGAGGATCTTCGCCTTAACGGCGCTTCTCCGGTACCGCAGAAGTATGTCACACATGGTGGACACTAGGACAAGAATCGTAGCAACTAGCGAGAATAATTCAGTAGGTGAGGCCAAATACATACATTTAAGGAGTAGGAAAACAGAATAGACTTTGGTTTGCCGAATTAACCGCCAGTATAATAGATGACGGCATTAAACGTATTACAATGTTTGCCTGGCTCAGCCCTGATTGTGATATCGGAGTATTTTCACCAAAACCTGACCAAACTCAGTCCATTTTGAAGAACTTATGAGAAGACTCGTTTCACATAGGGTTGCCTGGGATTTGGCTGCTATGGGAAATAGTCCTCTGATAGAGCAATAAAGCGAATTATGCTGAAACCTCGACATCAGACCGTGGAGAATAGGAGCAATACATTGTTTATGTGACCACATGGCGTTTGGCGGTCTCTTTAGGATTTGTCCAGACCTTGTACATGTGGGCTAGCCTTCGGGCCGTGCCCTGGCCCATTTGTCTTGTCGTCTTCAGAATACGTGTATCCAGCTACACTTACTGACTTCTTATACCGGTCATGAGGTCTCGGGACGCTGCAGTAGGCACAAAGATATGGCTCTGTACATAAAACCCAAATCGTTGCAAGGTGATTTTCTTGCATCTATAGCAATTCATGCTAACATTAAAATCAAATAATTGTACAAAGAAATGTAAAAATCAGGTAATTTACAATTATTTCGAGTAAAATAAACAAAACAATTGGATCTAGGGGATACTTAGTCAATGCAACCTTTGCTATGTGTATTTACCTTAAAAGTTTAAATAAGTCGACCGAGGAGCGCTAATTTATTTCGACAACAATGTCCGCTAGGTAGGCGTGTTTTGGTGGGTCGATTGTTTCAAGGCTTTCCTCAACATTATCAGTCGTTTATCTATTACAGAAACTTCATTTCAAATGAAACTCCCAGGTACCGTGTCTACGTTGGCAACCTACCCAAGAATTGTTTGCAGTCCTACGTGGAAGAAATTTTTGAGGGGTGCAATGTATGCTTGCGAACTCGCTTTTGCTTTTACAAATTTCCATAGATTTCACGTATAACTTTGATGCGTGATAGTAATACAGACGAATTTAAGGGCTACGCCTATGTGGAACTAAGAGATGAGAACTCCTACAATAAGGCGCTATTGTGTGACAAGACGGTATGTGCGCATACCTTTATCATGTCAGTTGTCATGTTCAGATTGTCAACAAACGGGAAATACGCGTAAATGATGCAGAAAGAGGCGGTAAGTCTTGGATATGCTTCTTCCGCGTCTGAAATGTTGTTATAACGCCTACTTTACAGGCAACCGTGGCGGCCGCGGTCGTGCTGATTTTAACGGAAGAGCTGGTTAGTCCTGCGTTGATTTAGTCAATGCTTCGTCTCAGCGGTTGCTTGAACTTCGTGTCTGTTTTCTAATAGGTAATTTGCGTGGCGGTGGTCGACAAGCTGGGATTGGTGGCAACGGATTTGGCAATCGTCCGCGTCCAGGAGCTTATCGTCCGCGTGTTCAGCCGGGTGCTGCTGGTTTTCTTGATGAATATTCCGCACCTCCACCCAGCAACCGTTCGGGTGGCGGATATATACCTCCGCCAAACTTTGATGCTGCTGATCGTCCACGTCTCTCCCTCAAACCACGGTCTACTCCGGTTAATGTAGATACTCAAGAACGTGAGCTTTCTGAGCGATCGAAAGCTATTTTTGGGGTCGGTAAACCTCGTGATCCCAGTCCTTCAAGGTGTGTTTGTTGATGGTTTTTGAAACCTCGTGGTTTTCTCGTTGATCGTGATGATGCTGGTTTATTTATAAGACGCCCTTATTTCTGTTGCCAGTCTAGTGCATTGACCTTGATTTTATTTATCGCCGAATTTTGACGTCATTGCTATAGTAGAGGCGATGTGATTTAGCGTATCAGTCTAACTACTTGCTTATGCCTCCGTGATTTGCTCCGGGCATTTCATGTTTCTCACAAACAGCTTCACTTTTACGAGCACCAACTATGTTAGTATTTTTAGGCGTGAGACTTTTACAAAGTGTGGGCTCACACACTATAAGTAACCCACTTTACCATTATCTGCTCGGCTTTTTTGTTGGCTGTAAGTTACGAAGGTCGATAAGCTAGCAAGGCTTCTTTATTCGCTTGTGGTTCTGTTTCATCACTCTTCGCTGTTGGTTCACTGTCAACAAATCGTTCCTGTGTGCACACCACTCGCCCGTCGTGCTAATCCGCTAAAGTGGAAGTGTAGGGCATGGAGCTTACATGTGTATGTAGGTACGTATGCGCACACTAGTACACAGTCATTACCGCTATGTGACATTGATCATCCTGGTGAGTTGATTCAGTTAGATTGGCCCTGTTGATTGGCTAGCACTGATAATTTCTTTTCTTCAGGAGGACTAATGAGTGATCATCGAGCGTGCGAGTATCAAAATCGACTGGTTTTCCACTGTACAAGTTTCGTGTCTTTGCCTATGTACACATTCACACGAGCTGCTTCCCTCCCCGTCCCAAACACATTTATTTGTAACTCACTGGTATGTTGATACCTCATAGCCGGTGCCAAACTCCACTCCGTCATCGTTGGACATCGGAGCGGGCTGTCATTATCTTCCTCTCATCTGCCCTCTTAGTCTCTATGTAAATGTTTATTTCATGAAGGCACAAGCAAAAAAGACTTGTGCTTACTTCCTCCTACGCTCTATGATGGTTTGCGTTAAATATAGCAGAATGCGAGATCGGCACTGTTGTTATCTTTGCTGTCATTATTGCTGCTCTTACTACTTTTGCTTTCGGTTGGCTTGCTTTCAGGTTCGGCGTTACTACTGTGACTACTGCGATACAAGCTTTCCTGATAGCCTTGTGAATAGGCGGAACCACTTAAATGGTGCGCGACATGTTCAACTGAGACTGGAGTATATGCACCCATACAGAGGTTTGCACAGTGGTACTAACGTAGCCTGATTAAGGTCTATAGATCCTATGGAAGTACTAGCAGAGGAACGATGTAAGCGGCCTTGCGCAACTTATCAGCGAACTGGTTCATGCCAGTATGGCGTGGCTTGTCGATACTCACATTTGACGAGGGAGGAGGAGGCACGTCTTCAAGCATCAGTGGGTAAATCAGAGGCGTGGGCATGCAATTATTGGAAATCGTTCGTTTAGAACCGGTGCAGGATCCTATGCAAGCACTTTGGGAACTCGAAGATATGGTGCAAAGGCGAAGATACAGTCTGTGGGCATTGAAATTACCGAAGGGTTTCAGGTTCGAAGATGTTCCCCCTTCTGTTAAACACTGTCTTGATAAAGCTGTTGTTAGCAATGTGATTTGAATATATATCTTTCATCTCGTATATGTTGTGTATGAGTCGATGCTGATTTGGTCGAAGCTGGCCTGGCATGGAGTGGGATGACTTTGATAGCCCTCGGAAGCGGGTATCTAGATGTGGTTGGAGGGTTGGGTGGTTGGGCTCTGGTTGGGTGCCGATGGTGTTGTAGATGTGCGGGAGTCGGTTTCCGTCATTTGAGTGGTGCATCTTGTTTGGTTTGCTGATACGAAACATAATCGTGAGCCTTGCTAGTAACCTTTAGGTAGAAGTTTCTAAGAGGAGACGCGGAGCGTAATTAATGTTTGCTCGCTCCCCATTCAGAATGTTAAAGATGGGCAGTAATTTATATGTTGTATTGAGGCTAGCTTTAAAATTTCAGCAGTAAGTCAAAAACTCATGGGAATGCAGTTGATTTCTTATCCTATTAAGAAATGAGTAAACTTGATGCCAGTATACATTGTAATGGGCTCATTTTAACCAAGCATATCCAAGGTTTCAGGTAAATTATGCGATTCAGAATAAGCTCATTAAAAGGATATGAAAATAATGGTTGAACATTAAGCTCAATTCGTTTCATGCCTGTTGTTTAGGTTCATGTTGTTTTTCTGATTAGGTGTGACGGCTATGGAACTTGCGGTACAGCCTCAGCCGTCCCCATGTCGTTCAGGGGTGATCGTGAGTACCTTGTAGATCCCCCTTCATCCCCTCCTTCTGACAGTTATGACTTCCCAGATCTTTCTCCTGACTTTGAGGCTCGTGATCCGGCCAATCTTGTACCAACCGGCACTAATAAGTGTTTGTGTAGAGATCCCTCATCGTCACAAAACCAGTTGCGCCTAATTTACATAAGTATAGCCGCTTGTCTAGCAGCCATATCTGTCGCATTACTGATAACAATTTTCTTTGGACGTCCACAGGTGAGTATGTATTTTAGTGCACGTAAAGATCACTCCTCATGGTTTCCTTGTGTCGGAATTCGGTCCCTGTTCCGAAGCTGGGAAGCAAGTGATGGTGCGTCGCGGTGGGAATGCAGTTGATGCACTTGTGTCAATAGTTCTATGCCTTGCTGTTACTAGACCTGACATCATCAGTAGGTCTCACTTCATTGTGTTTTCTATTAATCTGTAAATATTTCTTGCTGGTTAACTCAGTGGATCGTTCCAATCTATATCACCTAATATTTGATTCTATTCAATGCTAAGAGTTGTGATTCAATCCTATATTAGGTCCTGAAATCAAATTTATTGCCTTCTTTTATTCCTGTTGTACTTTTCATGCGCTATTTTCATTCTACGATGCTTAAGTACACTTATTCTGTGTTCCTTGGATCATGTTTGAACCACAGTCAAACTAATCAATCGTTTTATTTACTTTAGGTATCGGTGGCTGTGGTGCGTTTTGGGTGCACAAAAGGGACACCGACAATAATAATCTTTACGACGCTATGTGCACATCCCCCAACACTACGGATCAACCCAGTTCAAATGCTGCATATAATGTTAGTGTACCTGGTCTCATTGCTGGTCTCAAGGCTCTCCACGATGACCATGGGTACCTGTACTGGGCAGACCTTTTTCATCCTGCGATCGAAGCAGCTCGTGATGGTTTTCTTGTAAGTCTGTCATCTCGGTACTCGTATCCGTGATTGCTCATGTCATTGATATCGAAAAAATCAAGATGAAGGGTATCACTATATGCGGTTTTTTCAAACCTATCTTTATTTACTTTGAATCTGCGATAGCATGTTTCATTCTTCACATGCAATAAGTAATGTCTAACAAGTTCTTTTTAATACAAAGGAAATCTTCAATTTACTTCAGGTGCATCCAGACTTACTCAAAAACTTGGATAGGGCTGTTGCTTCCGACCCCTCTCTGACACCGTTAAAGCAAAATTTCCTAAAGTCAATGAAAGACGGTAGGCATGGTCCCCAACCGGAACTGGGGGTCGCCTTGCAACAACTCGCTACTGAAGGTGCGCTGGTTTTCTACAATGGATCGATTGGACGGAATATAGTGGCTGAATTGCAGCAGCGGAACGTTTCCTGGCACCTGGAGGGTGATCTAGCGTCCTACCGAGTGCGGAAGCCTAAGTGTATTGAGGTGAGGGGCTTAGGTTTCCCAATTTTCGGGATATTCATTTTTATCAACACTTGTAATGCCACTTCATGCCCAGAAAGAGTATCGATAGTCTTGCTTTGCCCTGAATGTAATCACTGTCTGATGACGCGGCAGGCTTGAATGCCGGTCTGTATTTCACTTCCGCATGTTCATCGTTGGGCCGATTGTTTGGCGAAATTAGGGTTACCTAAAAAGTGACAATTTTTTTTAAATTTGTTGAAATTTGTAGACATCCTTAATGAAATTACTTTGATTGAAGTAGATATTGATGGTGCCAATGGTTGGACTTTTGCATCCATGCTTATTACTTACAACTTTTAATTCAAAATCACTCGGCTTAGTCTACTTTTGTAGTATTTACTAATTTACAATCTGCAATCCATGATTCTAAGATCCTTCACCGGACTTGGATATGCCTCACGAATAAAAACAGTGCATGTGAATCCACATGGTGGTGCCAGTTTCTGCAGTTTTTCCCCCATCTCGTAGCTCGGTTTGGCAGGGTTCAGCGTCCGCAGTTTCCCTTCCCCTTTCGTGGGTGGAGTCCTAACCACGATGGTGCTTGCAAATCTTGACATATTGAACCACCAGCGACCACTCAATGCGCTAAAACTGGCAAAGGGTGATGCCAGAGAATTGGCTCTGGTATATCATCGTTTGATAGAATTAACCAAGATCGGAGCTGCACAAGTCTCAATTCTCGGTGATCCCTACAATCCCACTACAGGTATATGCCTCTACTTCGAAACAGACACTAATGATGCGTTTTTGACTTCAAGAAATAATGTAGTATTCATTTCGACTCTGACCTTTTTTTCTCAAAATCGATATTCACTTACCGAATCCTGTGTTTGTGCAGTAGTTCCGAATTCTGCTTTCCTCAATTGAACGTGTCCAATGCTATTCCACTAACTGCATCATTACCACAAAATGATGCTCTCTTGCAGGTAAAGAAGTGGTCGATCAAGAGAGGGATATTATGAACATTGACAGTCGCAAAAAGACTGCAAATATGGTCCTGGATGATCGTCTTGTGAACATCTCAGGAGTTGGTAATGTCAACCCTCTCCTTTTCGTAAGTTCGTCAAAATGGAAAATTGCGTCTGCGAACATGTAGGTGTGTTATTTCTGAATGTCGTTTTGGTGGTTGTGGACTTGAAGCTCTCAAGCTTTGATAATCGGATCATATTGTCTAAGCGAGAACTGATATTTCTAAATTGACGCACGATTTTGTGCGAGGATACAGCTATCAGCTTTTGGCTCTTTAATGTCCATTTTCTCTCTTCAACCCTCTATCGAACTATTGTTTTACGTGTTTCGTCTTCAGCGCACACAAGATCGGCGTCATCAACGTATTGCAGAGTTCATTCACAGTTAGATGTTCAGTGCTGCGGAAAGAGGCCTCCAGACCATACCTTAGGCGTTCCTTTACATTGCTGTGACGTAACAGCAGCCGGCGTCCAGCCCAAGTCACAGTTTCCGATGTTTTCGTTTGCGACGCGTTTCAACAACTCGTTCCATACATGTTAGGTCATGTTCATTGAGGGGACGGTATTATCTAGATTCAACAATATACTTAGCGGATGCAATTGATGTCCCAATTTTCTTTGCCTCCAAGGCGCTATACTCGTTGTCTTACAGGCTGCTCAAGACGCAAATACCTTTGTCATCTCCGTCGAGTCGGACATGTTGATCACCGCTGCATCTCTTACTCTAGGACGAGCTTTTGGTTCGGGTATATTTGTTTCAGGAACGGGTATTCTTCTAAATTCCGCCCAGCGTCTTTTCTCACCAGCGGAGCAGGGAGGTTTCAATGTTCGTGCCCCCGGTCACCGACCCTTGCTGCCTGCCAGTCCGGTCTTCTTTGAGACAGCTCAGCAAAAGTGTGGCCATCGTTTTGTAGCGGCCAGTTCTGGGGGTATTCAGGGCATGATTGGACTCTCCCAGGTAAGGCCATGTGTATCGTGTGTGCAAAATACCAGATTTTAAACGAAAGATCAATGTAAATGTACTAGTAGGGTCCCTAGCTCATCTTTTATGTAACACTCGTACCATTTATTCTTCCACTAGATCGGTTCTTGTTCATAGTTATTAAAATTATTGCCGTCAGAATACCTTTTTCGTCCCGAAATCTTTTTGTCTTAAAACCTGAGATTTCTTGGTGATCCGGGGTAGACGAAATCATCCAATAACTACTCAGTGCCCAGTATAGCATTCAGGACGTTCCAACCTGGATGGCATTATTGTTTGTGCCTAGGTTCTCACTTCGTCCTTTCTGTATCTCTCCAACGTGGCATGCACGGATGACGGGTATGGCTTGAGTAGTGGTCAAAGGAGTAAAGAACTGCCGTCTGCTGAAGTGACCACCGCGACTTACACGCCAGCCGTGGGAGCTTGTTTGCCTCTTAACGATTCACTTGATTTAAAACGCTTTTCCTTGCGTCTGCGACGCACCGACAAAGGCGAGGACGAGTTCGACGTCGTTCTCGAGCCTAGTTTTGACCCTGCCATAGGTAATGAGTTGAAGAAGATTGGGCACAAGGTGGAGAGCGATGTGGACGGAAATTACGCTGCGGATGTGGGAGCCGTAGGCTGGACTCTTTATACCACGATTGGCGGGGTGGAGAAATTGGCTGTGAATAATTCGGCATGGTTCTGAGTGCTGTAGAGGACACAAACATTCCATAGGTCTCTTCTCAATGTATAATTCTCTTCATTTCATGAGTTTATTCCATCTTGTAACTGTATCGTAAAAATATCCTTGATATGCTATTGTATCAGCTGACTGTCGTATAGCTTTCCAAGGACATGAGCATAAATTGGAGGTCTGGCATTGCTAGGTGCACGTGTCAATGTGATCAGGAATCAAGTATGTTGATCACTTTTATCTTGGAACGAGTTCGACTTTGGGGGGTTCGCGTGTGCAGTGTTTGTGGCAGGGAGCACTTCTCTTCGAACAGGTTGTTTCTGATCTAGTGCATCACTTAACACTTTGGGTTTGCGCATTATCGTTACTTGCAAAATTTGATTGCGTGAACAAAAAGCACCTTCGTATTCCTACTAGTGGAGTGGGCCGTGGGCAAGAGGGGTTGTGGGCGTGATTTTGACTCAGAGGCGTGCACTAAGCCCTCATAAATTGGCTTAGAAAGGTTGCCCTTTAGGTTGAAACCGGAGCCGGGAGAGGAGGGTGCTAGCTTCACGGGGCGAGGTCTAATCTTGAGCCACGCAAAGCTGTTGGGTTTTCATGCTCTCGTTTAATGCACAAATTGGACAAAACAGTTGGAGGAAGAACTACAAAGGTGTATTGTTAGCGTCCGCCACGAATGCGTTATCGGATTTCCAGCGACGCACTCGTCGAGAGGTCCAGCATCCTAACGTTGCTTGGTTATACACTGGCCTGCTATAACTGTATCAGTGTGAAGGCTTAAGGATTTTCAAAATTCACCTGCGATTGCAGATGCAAATTTAAAAATAAACCGCAAAGTCGCTTAAACATTTGCAATTTAACACGTTTTCAAAGTGGTTATAACAGTGCATGTAATGAATTATATCTGAATACAAAGTAAATTGTTATGTCGGACTCCCATGCGTTCTCCATTTGAATAGTACGTTTGTCGTGGGAGCTGCGCCTGTGGTTTGGCTTGTGTGAATTCTACTTGTGTTAAGTTTTTCAATGACTCTTCGCCTTAAATTTGTGAAAGTTTTAATCTGGAGTCTTTTGCTGTGCATTTAGTTTTTCGTCCACAAGAACTTCCACTTTCCGTACTCATATTTCCCCGGGTATCATTGTAGTTGTTTTTGCTTTTGCTCTGAGCATTGCTAAATAGGATCTCAAACATATGAACTCGCAAGTTTTTGCTGTCTTCTGCTTGAAAATGCTTTTTTGAGTTTATCATAATAGTAGTAGTTGCGTCTAACATAGGAATTCGTTTTCTATAATAACATGAAATTTTAAGCCGAGGTCTAACTTCACGTTTAAATTAAGTGCTTTTTTGTAATTTGAAGTAAGTAATGAAGACCAGATCGGCATATTTTGAGCAGCGACGAAAGCAGCTTCTTGAGGATAATGAGAGGGAAGATAGAATAATAAAGAGACTCACGAAGAAACTTGGTCTAAACCGGCGTAAGCCTCGAAAGTCAGGAGTCGAAAAGCAGCCGGCATGGATGAGAGACAGCGGCCTTGATTGTACTGCAACATTCTTTTGATTTAAATTTTAGATTTGTTGGATTTTAAGAAGCAGGACAGCAGTCTTACTGAGAATGTTGCCAAAAACATGATTTTGGGTGAACCGGAAACAAAACGGAGAAAAAGTGTAGTTTGCTTTAGTTAAGCTTATCTGTAGAGGAGTCAAGGGATATATACGGGCAAAATATGGATGAATCGGATGGTCACACGGATGATGAAGTGCTCAGCGGAACTGAAGAGGGAGCTGTTGACTGTGAGGCGGGTAGACTGGGTACAGGCGAAATGAATGAAACGGTGTGCTTAAACAATGATCCAAAACTCGAGGAAGCTATGAAAACAAAGAATAACGTGGCTCATGTTACTCAAAGCACCACTGATGGTGGGGAGGAATCCGTAACCGCATTGCGACGAAGTGTCCGGCGTTTGTTAAATTGTGTGTCGGAGTCTCAGATGGCAAAAACGATTTCTGAACTTGTGGATCTCTTTTCCGATCGTCCATGTGGCACTGTTCGGCAGGTTCTCATCGAAGAGGTTGATATTTTACTTGGGGTGCGTTGTGATTTGCGTTTTCATGACATAGTTTCGATTTAAACCAGTAAATTCGCCATTGCTGTTGGATTCCTTGCCTCTCATTTGCGGAAAAGCATTTGTTCTTTTTTGTTCGTTCTCATTTTTGATAATGGCTCTTTTATTGACAACTTCAGTAAAGTCTTAATGATGGATTAGTTCACTAAGCTTGGCATTATCGTAACATTTGTTGCTTCATTTGAAATATCAGTCGTTTCCATTTTTGTATGACGTCTTGAAATTTAGTTTTTGCCAACCGATTTTTTGTCTCTTTTATTGGTTAGCTTATTCCAAGTCCATTTTTAAAATTTATGCCTAAACTGGTTATCACTTCTACGGTCCTTTAAGATTAGTTTGATTTGTTACGGTTAAGCATTTACGATTATGGTACTCTCAGCTCTTTAAATTTACTTCACTACATAATAGCATTCCCACTGACCCAAATCTTATTGCATTGTTAAATTAGCACTGCGTACTGTTCGTCTTTATTTCTGTCGTACCATCATTACCGCTGACAGCAATCGAATTTTGTTTGTGGATATTTATGCTTGGACTGCCTTTGTTTGTACTTCTATCGACGTTTCAGCTTTGACAACGATGGCGCTACTTAGTCGGCTTACACATGTTCTAGCTTCCTTCTCTTTACTGTCAATTTAGCCCCTTGTAGGGGCTTTAAGGAGCATAACCTGATTTCTGACTGTAGGCAATTCTTAGTAAGTCTTCATCCTTTTTATCTTGTCTAGTCATTTCCTCTGAACAGAGATCAGTCAGTTGGTTGGCTTCAGCAGGAACTAGCGGCATGTTTCACTGGTACACAGGCGCGTCTCTATCATATTGGACAGGAATCACGTTTGGTGGTGCATTTTATTGAATTTTTTGTCGCCTCAAGGCTACCTAATCTGGTTACATTAGGTTCTCTCCGGGCTTTAGATGGGGCTCTGGCCTCACGCTGCCTCTTTATTGTTTACCTTTATCGATTTGGAGTGAGTCGATCTTCTTTCTCGAATTTCCTTATGCATATTCCATTCCTTTCTCAAATTTTTGCAATGTTCTAGGGACTTACCGGGGACTTTATTATGGACTGTGTGGAGGAATTCGTCAAGTCGAATGATTTATCCTATCTGCAAATTGCTCATCAGATGGTTAAACGTACGTGTCTTATGTCAACTGATTTGCTTCTCTCCTGTCATTGTGATCAGAATGCCTTTTTTTTCATTTCCAGCGGTAGGTCCGGCGTTGCGGAGGGAGCTACATGAACGGTGTAGTCAATTAGTGACCGATATAAAGGGGATGTTGGCCACAATAGATCCATCAGATTTTGAAAAGACGTGAGTTTTTTGCCTTATGTGGTTTTCGAGCTTAACGTACAAATTATTCAATGCTATTTTTACCCACAACCCTGATATATCAATTCCCTCCCTTTCGAGAAGGCATCAAATCCACAAATCATGCGGTTTCCGTCATTCGGTTCATAAAAATGTTTCCATGGCATTCTCTTTTTCCCTCCTTTTTAGTGTTGAATTAGAGGGCATAGTAACAAATTTGTCTTCTAAACATTCGAAGGAGCCAGCGGTATTCAGTGCTGATCATTTTGTCAAGATGATGAAGAGTTGGAACAAGGGTGAGTTGCTTGCATTTCCACTGTTAACGCCATGGGAGGTAAAGGTAAGGATAACTACGCCATTGTTGCCATACATCTGTGGCACACGCTGCAATCGAAACTACATTCGTATAGGGCCATCAAAACACCTAGGCTTATGGAAAGTTGATTTCCATGAAGACAGGTGAAGTGTACTCTTAAATCAAAATTTATTAAACCGGTATTTGCTGTACCTAGTATTGGTATCTTCTCCAGTCCTCGCGCCAACTTTCAGAGTGTCTTTTAACTCTACCATTTAAAAACTTATTCCATCAAAACCTCTGTTTCATCGCGACTGATGTCATAATCAGAAATTTTTGAGACAATCAATTTATCGGTTCCTTATTCAACGCAGTCGCTTCAAAACTATGTGCTCGAAATGGTGGTATTGAGATGCTACCCGTAAACGTACGATATTGCTGACAAATTGTTGGAGGGCTTACTTTTTCAACCGTCCCGTTTAGGTATCTCATTCCCAAAAGACTTACGCTTGCCATTGCGACTGGATGAGCTACGCAATGTGAAGGATGGTAAAGGCCGCTGGTGGGCCGTAGGTTCTGCTTTTGATGGCGATGCGCTCAAGTCCAACTCTATTTCTCGTACCTCCGCGCCTGCCAGACAGGGCGTATCGAAAGGCGTCTCCCTATCCCCTGAGGTAAATTCCTTTTATTATTTTGCTATGACCATTTCTGTTTCCTTCTTTGTTTGCAAAGTTCGATTCTAAGATTACCATTGTGGTGTGGCGCTTAAGGGCTCTTACTGGAAAGGATGGTTCCACTTCCAGTTCCTTGGAAGTTTCATTGCTCAAGGGTAATGGTTTGACTGTTTTTGTCTTCGCAACTGTCTACCAGCACCAACTCAAACTTTTTAAAAATATTTTTGGAAGTTGTCTAAGACATTCATGTATTTTTGTTTCTTATGGTGGAATTAATTTTATTCTAGTGAACATCAGCTCCATTGACTCTTTAATACCAACTTCAGCTAGCAGCGGTGGCAGTACGATTGGGTCTGATTACACCGATACGGCAACAGCTTTTTGGTGTGCTGGTCTCTACGCCGGGTGGACCGGAGAGTACAGCGAGTGCTCTGGTGCTGATGGCAAATGCCAATGGTGGTGGTAGCCGCCGGGCAGTAGAACATCGGGAGCATGAGATGGTCCGAATTGTCTTGCACTGCCTCATCTCCGAACAGCCGTTCAATCGCTTCTACACTCGTGTTCTTGGTGCTCTTCTCAATCACCACCGGCGCTTTGCTGTACTTTTCTATGTGACTTAGCCCACGTTCTCACGTTATAGCTACTCTTGTGTCTTCCACAGTCCCTTGAACATTTTGTGTTTGAATGACACGAACTTGCAAGTGCATATATTTATGGACCTTGCTATGTCGATATTACTACCGAGAGTTGGTTCGACTCTAAAAGGAATTTTCGCTGATTTCTGGGCGCTTCCATAGTTAATTAGTGCACTTTTTATTTAACTGATCATTCTCATTACCATTCTGAAAGCAATTTTGCAATTTTATCATAGATTATGGTGAGATGTGCCTTCTGGGACGTCATGGCCAAAGAGGGACTGACCAAAGAGTCGAAGACTAATGCAGGCAAGGCTATTGGCATCCTTGCTGCTGTGTACGATTTTCCACTTACTATACTCAAGGTAAGGACATCAACTTTTTATTCGTCAAAATATCCATACATTTTCTTAACCTTTTAGAAATTCAACTTTGGTGATGGATCGGAAGGTAACGTTGCTTTGCTCTCGGCTGTGATCATGGAGCTGACCACTACGGCCTTCAGGAAGACTTTGGAAAAGTTTGCCTACGTCGCCAACAGGAGTCCTAAGTTGGGACGTAATCTACGAATTTTTATGCGACGATTATGTAAAGACTGTCCCAATGTGGCATGTCGATCCTACCTTACACGACTTGTTTCTGAACTGCGAGACCTTTTTCCATAGTGTTATTACACGTCTTGTGGACTGTAATATGTGTATCTCCCATTTGACACGTTTTTGTCGTTCTTCTCTCCGAGGTTTGGAACATTCGATCACTATAGTATCACCCACATGAGGACGTGGCGTGCTCTAAGCGTTCACCACTTCCCGATGAAGTGATGGTTTTAAACGAGGTATGTGCGGCTCGACATGGATTACTTGCTGTTAAGTGGGTTGACCTCGCGATCATTGCCAAAGATATGGTCTTTAAATCAGTATGAAGAGGTCATGAGATGCTGTGGTTGTGGTAATGAAAAGCCAGCTCGACCTGCCAGCGATTCCTTCACTAATTTTTCCCGATTTTAAATGAAATTTGTGATGCGAGAAAGGCACTTTGAAGGCTCCTCTCACATTCTATGCCTGTCCTAAACCATCCGAGAAAGTGCTGAGTTTCTCCTAACGAGGCCATTTGCAGTCGCCTGGCGTATTTAATGTGCAAAACTCAAGCTGCATAGGTATATGGTAATTCGCTTTTTCCTCTAGAGGATGTGCTTTTAAACCAGCGACTTTTACGCCATGGTCAACAATGACGGTTAACAGTGCAGGGTCTGCCTGCCTAGTCAGACCCCTGAACCTCGCACCTCAAGGGGAGGATTAGTTGCTGAAGATTTATTCGACGTCGTATGCAGAAAGAAGGGAAATGGGGAAGGAGAGATGAGATGTAAAGCCGATGCTACAATCATACTTTCCAGTCTCTGAATCCTCTTTTAAAGCCTAAATGAAATTCAACTTCAGTTGGAGAAGCTGACACCATGTACCTTTCCTCAGTCCTACAGAAGACGCTGACATGGAGCACTTTTACGTTAGAGCAGTTGACGCGGACGATCAATTAGGGGTAAGACGGGGACTTTGCTCAAAAGACGAGATAAGCTATTCAACCTTTTCCAAGTAGGCCAGTCAAAACTTGCACCCCTTTCCTTCTTTTTAGGCACATGGTTCCAATCTAACTACTATTTCTTCTGTTATTTATGGCAAAAAAGTGGAACTCCTCAAGCAGTGGGTGGATGCAGTTAGCTAAAACGCTCACCATCTTCCTAATTGGCATTAAAGCCATCAAATTTTTTTGTAAACGTTAGGCATTTAAAGGAGGCACAATACATGCACACAGTGTTGGAAGAAAGTAACAGGTAGAAAAACAACTGCTATCGTGTTTGCAACTCTCGAACGTGTTTGAACAATTCTTTAAATGAGCGGCATTTCGGATTTGTTTGGTGTCGTAGGTCGGATATTTTCACATTCGTAATGAGTTCGGATGACGAGGTTTACTTTGACGCTCCGGAGGAACTTGATGATGTGGACACTTCAATGTAAAGTTATTTTGCTGCCGTTACGTCACTTCAGTACTAATAGTTCTCTTTTGCCGGAGCACGCATGTAGGCGCAATCGCATCGAGTCTCTAAAGAAAAGTGCAAGGAATTTTGCCAGATCTTCGGACATTTCAAAATATTCACACTTTGGCTCGATTGAGCCAGCATCTGCTGTGGTGAGCATGGATATTGTAATGTCAATGCTTTATTTTTACTTTCTGTTTAAAGTCGAAATTAGCTGAGCATTGCTAGTTGTTATCTCTAATATTTTACTCGCCTACTTTATGTCCTGTTGGTGGCGAACATAAGCATGTATTTGTCTGGCTGAGCAATTTCTTTCGGTTCCCAGGCTTAGTAAGCTTAAATTTTTCTTGATTAAATCTTCCTATAGCAAATTAGATTGTGATTTAGGGTTGCTGTTTTTTCTCTTTCCGGCTTGGTAACATTGTGTGGTTGATAGTTTATGCGAAAAATGTCAACTTAAGTGTTACTGATTGGAGATACTGCTGTTCCTTTTACAATTCTAGGGACCAATTCTGGAATCTGATCCATTCCCTCCTCTTCCACCCACTATTGCTTCTTCTCGTCTTCACAGCCGTACATTTCCCGAAAAGAACTCATTTTTTCCAAGAAATGGTAATTTTCATTTGCTATCTAGACTTGCGAACACTCTCCTTCCTCCTAGGCCTTCAGCGTTCCCTCTATCCCTTTGATGGCAACTTTGAAGAAAACACTAAAATCCGGTCGCAAACTGCCCACCCCATATGCTTTTCCTCCGTTCTGGCGCCTTTCACTTTTGAGCGCTCTGCGCCCATTTCTTCCGCACCTGAGGTGAGTCTTTGCCGACATCGTCCAAACAAGGAGGATTATGTGAAATCGTGGTCACTGGATGCTACGCGCTGTCGTCCCCAGCTGCTGGTAAATGACCATAGGCATAGTCTGCTCGTATCGCCACTGGTATGTCAATGGTTTTATCCATCCTCTTTGGTTGATGACTTAATTGTTCTAGTCATAGCTTTCTGGATATGATTCCAACACAGCACTAAGCTATTGTGTCGTGTTTGTCAAATCGTCCTAAAGTCAAATCTTTATGAAGTGCGCAGGAATATAGCTTAGCTATGGTGGGAGAATGATACTGGCTTGAGTATTCATGTTAGATCACTTCACCTAATTTGAACCCTCAGACTGTTTGAATCATTCTCGGTACTTTTCGAGCTTAACGACAGAAGAATGTGCTATGAGGAACTTAGCATATTCTTCAATGGAAATACTGCTCCGAAATGTATGGGAAAAGGGCTGAGCATCCTTTGTTTCCCTTGGGTTTGTTTGGGTTACTTTGATGTACTACAGTTTAGGGAACTTTGAGGAGAATGCAAAGGTTTCGCACCAGTCTGGCGCATACGATTGGAGCAAATGGGAGTGATTCGGGCTAAAATATTTGATAAATATTGAAAATTAAGATATTTTTACGCCTAAATTAATCAGGCCTTCCCTTCTCTCCATGGATCCAGTCCCGATGCATTTTTTGAGCGAGTCGAAAAGAATCTCTGTCTTCGAGAGATCTTGTGAAGGTATAATTTAAGTAGCTTTTATGGTCGATATTTTAGTACTCGAGGAAGGCTAATTTAAAATGCCTTTGAGCAAGTTGAACTTTTATTTGGCTGTTGCTCATAATTTTCTGTTTTTGTCGCTTGACATTTACTAACAATCTACCGGTGTATATAAATTGCCAATTTTCGGAACGTTTTTAAATGCTTTTATTTACATAAGCCCGACGTCAAGCTGTCGTTTTGATGAATCCATGTACTAAATGGAAACGCACGTCTTTCTTTTTAGCCTTCTCTACCCATGGAGCCATTGCTGGATCGTTCCGAGGGTTCTGAAATCGGTAATTAAAATTTGTCTGTGCATCAACGCATTCGCATCGCTCATTCACTTCACCCAATTCCTTCTTTAGTCTCAGTGGTTTAGTCCTACCTGTTTATTCGGCACTACTGTTTCAGTCTTGCTCCTCAGTTCCCTTGTAGATGTGTTTTTAGCTTTAGTTTCTATCAGACGTCACATAGTAATGCACATTGGTGGAACTGCGAGGCTGATTTTATCCTACGCAGAAGAAAAATACGGATTATCAATTGTTGTTTCGTACTGAATGCATTCATTTACCAATATTTTGGTCGCGATTGATCCATCATTTTCATAACGTATCACATTCTTATCGTTGATTTTCCTCTTCAGCCTATAATTATGGTTTTTCCCAATACTGCCATATTTTATGCTTTATGTTATCAACAGGATGCTCAGCTACACCCTTCGCCAGACCTGCAATTTCGTTATTTGGGTCTCTGCTCTTGAGACTTCTATTTATAAGTAGTTGATGTTTGGACTGCTTGCAAAATAAGCACGCCTGATAATTAAGAGGATGTTTTTGTGGCTTCACTTTTACTATCCCTCTTTTAATCGCTCCCCAATTCGCTTCCTTTGCGATTCCCTAAAGGCATACTCGGCTGTAATCTCAAGCTTGCGTATCTGTCTTATTTTGCCTACAAATGTCGCTTTTTCAAAATTTTCATGATTAGAATTGTAGCACTTAATTGCTTAGTTTACTAACAAGTTTTGATTTTTGTCTGCCTTACGAAGACAATGTTGTGGTTTGGGCGTGTTGATTTGTTCTATTGCCGCCGGATTTTAGAGTCGCATCCTTGGCTTGTGTCCGACAAGGATGTGTGGAATTAGTTATGTTTATCAGCATAAATTGTCTTTTATAGCTCGTTTTTTATTTATTTGGGTGATGACTGAACGTTTGGCTGACTGCTGCAAGAAGTAATCAGTTACTTCTGGGTTTGTGCCTTCGGAACACGAGAAATCGTTTAATATGAAATTGTCTGATTTGTAAGTTTTGTTGCGTAGCCTTCGTTGGGAGTTATCAAAAGAGTCGCAACGCAAAATCTTGACTTCTCAAATAATAATAATAATAACTGTTGATTTCATTTAAGAGCCAAATTGCAGGCTTGATTATGTTTCTCAACCTCACAACAGTGCAACGAGGTCTTTCGTTTTATAGCATTTGAAGAGTAATTTGCTACTTCTTTGAAGGCGCTCACACACTTTCCACTAATCTAAAGTTTTCCGCTGATTTGGCCAAGGGAACTGATTTCTTGCACATTCTAATGGAACTTTGGCCTTCAAAGTCATTGATAGTTTCTCCACTCCGCTGCTTTGAGGTGGCGTTGAAAGTAATGGGTTTCAGTGGCCAGGTCCATAGCAAGGCGATGGCAGTTCGTTTTGACATAGCGATCATGGACGAAATCTGAATTTACCACTTTAATATGGCACTTTTCTCATCATTATCTCGAACCAATTTCGTCTTATTTACGCAAGAGCATCTGGTGACTTCTGAATTTTTCATTTTTCACTACAAATCTGGTACTTTAATTTTGGACAGGTGTGGTATTCGAGCCTGTAGCATGTTGACGTTGTTCCATCATTTTACTCCGTTAAGCATGCCTAATTGAACATTTCTCTGTCCCCACCTTCACCGTTTTCTCTACTTATTTGAAAGGAAGATGAGATCCACGTATGCTACTTGTTCTCCAAATTTGCGAATAGAGAAACCCGACTGTAGAGGGATAGGTATAGGTGCTCAGGTTTGCACTAACCTATTGGCTTCACTTCACTCTGAGACTAGTTTTGCCAGTATTGCAGGGCATCTTTTTGCTATTTTCACCGTTCCTCTCATTTCTCACCTCTGAGTTTTCAAGACCCGCTCACTTGATGTTAGCCCTCATGACTAAGTTGAAAACTCCTTTGGTTTGCTTTAGCACTGCCAAGCTACTGAATAAATCATGGGATTCGATTTTGATTATCGTTATTTCTTTCCCGCCTCGTAGATGTTCCCCCACAGCACCAGTCACAAATGGACGCTTGCGTTCAGGCGAACATCGGGGCGGTGGCTCATCAAGGGGTGGTAGCTACCACTAATGAAACTCAGATGCCGCCTAACGAGACTCCTGCCGTACTGCGAGCCAAGGTTGCCACAGCCACCCTGCCCGGCAGTAGCGTCAACCCAATGTCACTTGACTACCGTACTCGAACTCTCAGGTTGGCCTTTAAATGCCTTTCTGCAAATTTGTGCTTTTAAAATAACGTCGTTTCTGCGCCTTTTTCAACACAGGATATGCATTTGTAGAAATAGACGGTTTGGTTGGAAGGGTTTTAGGGCTTCTGTTTGATTTTTGGTTTAATTTCTTGCCGTCATCATGCTGTTTGCAATAGGACATCGGGGGAATGTTGGTTGATCCTTCAACCTTTTACGTAAAATTGTCATCCCCTTCGTTTGTTTACTTTCTGACCGTTTGCAATCGTGCACAGAACCCTAGATCGTTGTTGGATAGGTAGTCTTATTTTCTGAGTAAAAATGCATGGGAACATGTCTTCATGGAGATTGCAACACAGCTTGATTGGTACAGCTTTGAGTATATCCTTATTTTAGGTTCAGTTTCTGTGTTTTGCGATTCGAAAGCATGAACTTGTGCACGACTGTGGTTGCATAACGTGTTGGCTGCTAACTAAGTACCTTCATCGTAATGGCGAAAGTCTCAGCTGCTCAAGAACATAACCGAAGGGAAGAAAGAACAAGCTTTTATAATGGGGATCCTTACTGCTTCACCTCGAAAACTGGAAAAAATGTTATAACTCACTTATATTTATGACTTTTTAATGGCCTTACAAAATAACAAAAGTATAAGCTAGATGGGGTCGGATAAATCCACCACCAACTCTACCACCCATGATAATAAGTAAAGATTGCAAAAGAGTAGAACTTGGTGAAAAATTGCAAACCCGGAGGACCTTCTGGAGCTGCAAGCACATATCGGCCTGTACTTGGAATGTATTAACATGAAACTCAAAGTACTGATTGCTTCAAGTTTTTGTGGTCGAACCTTAGCTGCAATTTGTTTTTGTTGAGTTATTTCAGAGTAATTCTACTCCTGATGGAGCATTTCATCTATCCTGAAGAAAATTGGTCTTCTTCTCTCCTGTCATGCAGGGTGTGTGCCAATGGAACCCAAGATTTTGTTTGTATCGATAAATATCAGCAAGTGGTTATTTTTTTGCTGCATTATTTTGTTGCATTCGGATGGACCTATACGGATCATTTGAGGAAATGTTTAGGAAGATATTGGCCTTCAGCTGGTGCATGCTGAGCCATTGAATGCTTCGAGAAACGCTGACTTCGACCCGCATTGGTCCATTTTGGTAGATGCTTTTTGTTCCTTTCATAACCCAAGGGGAAGAAGTAATGAAATGATGCGACGTAGATTGACATTCATTTATTATCAGTCGGCTCCTTGCTGTCTCTCGGAAGGCCTTTAGAAATAAATTTTAGTTTTTTTTCGTAATTGTTTTCATTTGCACCGAATGTGTTAATAATGGTGTCCGTGAAACAAGGTGTGTATCCGTCGATCAACGAAATGCTAATTTTCGCTGTCCTTTTTTCCATATTTTAGTAATACAGAAAATGATGCGGAGCCTGTAGTAATGCTTAAATTGCCAGTAATTTTTCTACGACACAGTTTCATATGACTTTTGGGGATGTATACGAAAATTGTTAAAAATTGATTGGCTTGAGAATATTGTTAAGTCTCGCTGATGGCGTCTTGGTACTTTAGCTAGGAGCACTTTAGTCACGAATATTTGTGACGGATTGGCTGTTTCCCATTATTATTATCCCTTTACAGCCTCCTCCGTTTGTTTAGGGGAGTGTCAATGAAACGATTGATCTCAATTCAGCGTTTTGTTATTTTGTTGCATTTGCTCTTGACCTTTTCTTATTCGAGTATGGGTAGGTAAGGCTACTGGTTCCTAAGTGCATGCGTTTTATTCTGCGTCATTGAATAGCCTTTCTCCGCAAATTGCACTAATGCTAGCAACTTCTACATTTACTATTCCTTAAAACGATCTTACTTTTTTGGCCATCATGACTAAGGAGCACCTTCGGTGTGAGTTCCTGCTTCAACATCTATTGAAAGTTACTTCGGCGACAGATTTCAGCTTGTTCTGCGGTGTCATGGCTTTTTTTGTTACACTGTTTTATAGTAAAACATGGGGTTTGGAAGATTATTGGAACGCTTTTTGGTCGGTTAAATTTGCATTTGCTCACTTTTCAACTTTATTTCGCCTTCGCTTTTGGGCCAAATCTCTGGTTTTTTGTTGATTGAGCATCAGTTTCATATTTTCTTATCACAAAAAAATGCAATCTGCGTACTCAAATTGAACTTCTTTACGGTACCCATCATCCTTTCGCTGTGGAGTGTAATTAGTTGTTAAAAACTACTTTATCCTTGTATCTGCTCTCTCATCCTCATTGTAGCCCCGTAACATATCTAACGACCGCCTTTTACAGCAAATCTTATCCAATTAAACGTGAATATGGTTGGAGATCGAACATGTGCAAATGTTTTTGCCTACAAAATGATCTGAAAAATTGGGAGGATTAACAAAACAGTGAGTCTCTTTGCCATGGAAGCGTGAGAAGAGAGAGAGAGAGAGAGAAGGGGACTCCTACTGCTTACCATTTCACAATGCTTTTAAATAGGCACTACAGGAGACAAGCTACTGTGTCTACCTTATCTTCATTTGCAGTCCTTCAATTTGAATCTGAAGTGTCCTAGGTTGGTGCTATCGTGAAACTGACATTTTGCAAATTACGAAGCTACTTGGTTAAGTTTTGGTTGATGCTGCGGATATGATCAAGTTTGTCATTCTTATCCTCATACTCTAATTCCTTTTCCTCTTCTTCAAGCCAAGATGCAACGCTGAAAGCCAAGTAAGCCATTTTGTGGTGTTTCTCACTCTTTTGCGCCGTTGCTAACTAAGCATTGCACCTACCCTCTTCACTGTGTTCGTCCACCACTCCTTCTAGACCCTGTCTCTTGTCTCCACGTAATCGATCATGCTTCTCCTTTCATTTCAGTGCTTCGAGCCTACACAACAGTGGTGAGTTCGAAAAGCTAGACAGTGAACACAGCGGTTCCCATCGAAATCCCAACTTATTGTCTGGGTAAGGTTCATCTTGCGCTTTGTTTTTCAGCCGCCAAACGATGTATAGTCGATGAGGTGAAGAATGTTTTTGAGTTTAAATTAAGTGTTGTTAATGGGACATTATAACGCCACGTCTTTTCCGTCATTCAAATGCGAGCTACATGTTTTCCTTAATATCTCAGTTTCCGTCGTCTTCACACGGCTTTTCGCGGAGCTGTTAATGCGGTGCGTTCAGCCACGAAGGCTAAAAGTAGGTCAACTTCGGACTGTGCTTAAGCTTCGATACTTGTTGTTTGCGTGTCTTGCTGACATGATGAACTTTGATGATTGTGTATTTTGGCACTCGACTTTGTAGACTTTGAATTCTTTCATCCATCCCGACTTTTCATGCTGAATTCTGACCCAGGAATCGCCATGCTCGTTGTCTAACATTTTTCAGAAGCATCTTGAATACTACTCCTGCTACTGACGCAGGAGTTTGTTGAAAGCAATGGTATGGGTGACGTAGATGTAATTAACTGCTACTACAATGGAAGTTAGATTGGGGGAAACCAAAATTTTCTTCAAATGGTGTTTTACCTTTGTTATGGGGTCATGCAATCTAATATTGCACAACCCATTGCTTAATAATGCCATGGAACAAGTTAGTTTTCTTCGCTTTAGCGAGGCTATCAGGCGACTTTGGTTCCAATTGTACAATGCCGCTTTCACGGATTTTTAGAGTTGTGCTATTCTTCAAGCCAAATCTAGCAATTAAGTGTAATCACCTGCATATGAACTGTGATAAGTAATCTTTACTACAGATGCTAGTAGTGGACAAATTATTGAGCTTTTTTCACCTCCAGTTTTCAATCAAGACGAGGCCTCTTCTGAAGAAGACGACGAAGTCATTGGAAACCAGGGAATAAGGGTGTGTTTCGCTTCAGTTATATAACTCCCTCCACCTGTTATTTTTCAATCCTTCCTTTCTTCTTGGTAGTTGCGTTGTTCACGGAAAATAAAGGGTCACAAGGAATTCCTCCAAATCAAACTTGTGCAGAAGATGGACAATGAACACATTGTAGATACCTTTATGAGCGGATTTTCATCCAACGGTTGATCTGGTTAACTTTCTCTGTTTTTCTAGGGCGCCATTTGGGCCATGCGTTCCTCACCCTGTGGTCGGCTTTTGGTAAGTTATGGCATTCGTATGTAAACATTTTGGCAAGGTTGGATATGGAACAGAGGACAGCGTTTTAGTGTCGCCATAAATGCATCGTGGATCGTGCACTACTTGATTAGACTTCACCATCTGAGATACCTCTTTCACTACTTGTGCTTAAATTAAATGGGTTCTCAAAGTCGTAAATCACTTTCGCCGTTATTGTAGCAAGTTAGTTCGACTTTTTTGCCAGACAATAAATAAATGCTGCTTTGCCGTTCAAGTAGGTAAACATCAATCCTAGAGCCGATTAGCGAATGTTCATCCTTCCACTCTACCACCTACTAACAAGCATAATCCCATTTCACGGCATTTGACACGTTTGCTGCCCTAGTTTTAGAGGAGAAGTGAGAATCATAGATAATTGTTCCGTTGTTCCAGCAAGACGCCAAGTAGGTTGTGTTTTGGAACCCAAGTGCATTTCGTGCTTTTCAGCTCACCTATTTGCGATGTTATTCATAGCCACATGTCTCGTAAACTCAACCTAGAATGCGTAGTAAGCGCTTGACGTCACAAACGGATGGTCACAATTACTACTTATTTAAGTTTGTTACTGCTTATCGCGTTATACAAATGATTCTGAATTTCCTATTTAAGTACTGAATACTTTTTAGTCGACGGGCTTTGTTGGGTGTTGCTCGCCCTTATTTTTCATCTGTTACGCTTCCACCGTGTCTTCACTCAAGGGTCCTCAAAGCACACGCTTATGAATTCCTAACTTCTTGCTAAACAATTTAATCCCCTGTTCATCATTAAAGGCCCCACAAATCATGCAGTTCTGCAGGCTGCCTCCTTACTAATTTATTAAAGAGCTATGTAGTCATTAATGCGCGAGGGGAGAAGTGGTTAAGCATAGCCGGCCTAGTCAGTTGGCCCTGAAGTTAAGTGGTAGTGGCTTTTACCCCAGTCTTCAAATTCCACAAATAGCAATGTAGCACCTCGAGACTGTCCTTTAGTCCAAAGAGCCATGCATAGATGACGTAGAGAAGGTCTATAAATTGGAGTTACCGGTGTAGCTTGGAGGCCGCTCAGACCTGCAGAGGTGCAATTTTCGACCCATAATTCTCGTAAAACCAAAACAGAGTTAACCAAAGAATCAAACACAACAATACTTCCCTTCTTAGGATTCTTACGTCATTTAATCTTGACGCACTTTCTCATTTGTACTACTTTTTAGCCGTTTAGTTCCCTTTTATAGGTTTTCAAAGTAGATTAGTTCCTTTCAATTTCTAATCTTAGGCCACTGCTGGCTACGATCGAAACATTCGGATTTGGGTGCTACGCCAGTGGTACAATCACTTCAGGAATATGCTTCAAGCACGGGGTCAGTTCACATGACTGATTTAGCTGCACGCAATACGTAAGAGTCATGAAGTTATTGTTATTATTATTATTATTTGTTTTTCATTTAGCCAGTCAGATGCAGCAAGGCGACGAGGCCTCCCCAAGCATTAATTCTACTGAGATAGATGACATTGATATCGATTCTGTCAGTATGACCTCAGTCTCCTTCTCTACTAGTCGAATGGATGTAAGCTGCTTCACCTTTGACGAACGTTCAATTTAAACTGCAACTTTGGAGTCTGCACAATCTAAGAAACAAGCAAGTCTCAAGAAGTGCTAATCCCCTTTTCCTCCGTTTAGCTCCTCTATTTAATTTAATTAACGTTTAGTAAGACTGCATTCTCCTAGTATTTTCTACTCATCACTGCTATCAGTACTGCGACAAGAAAATGACGACGTACCGATAAGCATAATTCCACTAGCTTTATACTCCTCTTGATGTGGTAGTGAGATGGTGCCCATATCTGGGGGATCTACAAAATCTGGCCTTTTGGATTCATTGAGCTTTTCAACGGAGTGTAGTGTCGTAACTCCTGTGTTGGATAAGAGCGGGAAGCTATCGCGTTATGTAATGAACTTCACCTTTATGCGATTGCAGATGCTTGCGTATGATAATTGTACCCATGGTGTTCGTAGGAACGATAATTCCTTGCAGACTAGCACGACGGGCGGTGCTCCAACTAACTTGAAACATAGTCTTACACAATGGATGTCCGTAAGACTGACGGGTAAGAGTCGAAATCTCATTTAAATGCGCGCCCCATCCTTTTCGTCCGAAACTTTGATGAACTGGTCTCGAACAGTCTTCTAACTACTAAGGGGACAGGGTTGCCATTCGCCCCTACGTGTAACATCGTCACAGTCTAAATTATCCATTCATTAGATTTATCTGTGTACTTGTACTTATTTCGTCGCTTCCGTTATATTCATAGGACGGCGGCAGTTCGTGCAGCAGTTCAGGCCTTCTTGATTCGGTCTCCATATCAACACGTAGCCGTGGCGAAGTCGCATCCTCTGATCTTCTCCTGCTGAGCTCAGAGTCGCGACTCTCCTCTTCGTCAACTTACTATCATCCCCAACCCTTACTAGTGTATCGAGGTCATGAGGGTGTAATTACTGAATTGGCGTGGTCAAAGAATCTCTTCCTTTTGAGTACGGGTATGGATCGGCAGGTGCGCCTCTGGCATGTCTCACGCCAGGAATGTCTCTGTGCCTTCAGTCACAATGATACTGTGCCTGCTATCGTCTTTCACCCCAAGGTACGCTTTTCTTCTCTTTTAGACTAAGAGGGAAGTCTATTTTTATCAGATTAAGTCTATTTATTTCTTATCCTTTCGCTTTATCGCTTTGAATAGTGAAATACGTCTGTATTAGTGAGCTTATTGACGTCACGCTTATTTCTAATGTTCTTCGGCTCTCGGGAACACTTTCCTGTTCGATGACCGTCTTCAACTTTGATAGTCTGGCAAATTTAAGCCTGTAGTAAAGTTGTATACATTTTCAGATTCATTGGGTACCATTGAATTTTCTGTTTATTATAATTGCCACAGTCTTGCTTATTCTGTCACTTGGATCATCTACTAAAATGGAACTTTAGCAAGCAATCACTGTGCCACTGTTTCTCGAATATTTAAGCTGAACTTCTTTGCCCCATTGAATTGTTTCTAAAGTGGAACTTTCGCTCAAAATTGGCTTAATTTTTTACAATCACCACAGTTACGTGACATTTCGACTTTCTTGCCTGAATCCACCGTCATAGCAATGGGATATATTGAGTTCAAAGAAACGAAATAGACATAAAATGTTCTCTGCTTGACCAAAGGCTCCTTTTTTGTTTGACATAATTTCGAATGACGTCTTTTGATCGCATTACGCAGTTCCTTGTGATCGTGTGATTCAAAGTGGTCTTACACATATATCATCAGATTTCGTAGCCTCCATTTCTGAAACCTTTCTATTTCAGGCAGCAAAGTTATACAGGTACTAAGTAGCGCATTTGATTCATTCCTTTTTGTCGGAAGACCAGGACATGAGGCTATTTAGTATTTAACATCCCGCTCTACCCCATAATAGGGCACATAAGTAACTTCTTTGCAGCTACAAGCAATATAAGTCCGTTATCTTTAGTACAGTGTCACGGTTACGCCCATCGGGTGCCAAAGCGGAGTCACGGCCATGTAACAACTATCGTTGCGCCGGCGGATGTTTACGCTCTGTGTTGACCGCTTTACTGGTTTGCAGCGCTAGGCCAGTGTTTTGCCTCCACTTATATTTTTTAATCTCTTAGATTTCAGCTCGATTTCCCGTTAAGGGCTTGATTTCACATTTGCCTAACGCAAATAGCAGAAAGTACATGAATGCCTATTTCACTCAGAGCCTCTTGGCGTATCGTAATTCGCTTACCGCACTCAGGCTCTACTTATCCATAAAATTGGATTCGGTCTAAACGCTCTGGTATCCACCATTTTGACTTTAACAAAATAGCCTTTTTGCGATTACCGGTAGCTTTCGTCAGGCCTAAACTTTTATTGAAGTACCAAAAAATAAAGTTGGTCTCATAGTCATTCGTAAAGTGTTTAATGGTCCCGGATGTACCACAGTACGCTACTGCTAACTTACCATTCAGGTCATTCCGGAAACCGTTGTAGGATATACATATTTGGACGTATTTTATTATCAACGTTCATGGGTGAATGGTGTTACAGGCCTGAAGGGGGCGAGAGAATAAAGTGGTATTATAAGTCAGCAGCAGTAGCAGTAGTAGCATCCAATCTTCAAGCGAATGTGTTTATCCACCATAAACTTTTACTCCAGGACGATCGCTATTTTCTCTCGGGCAGTCTGGACGGAAAGCTTCGACTCTGGAATATCCCGGACAAGAAGGTGCGATTCTGGGTAGACGTACCACTGCCCTCTTGCTTGCCCTCTCCATCCTCCCCTGCGGCCTCCGTGGGAGGCGGTGGAACAGAGCTCAAGACTATCATTACCTGCGCCACCTTCGCCTGTGACAGCACTAAGGTTGTTGTTGGCAGCTACGACGGTCGTGTAATGTTCTTCAACACCGAGGTCAGTTTTATCCTCGCTTTTCCTGCTACTACATTTTCAGCCGTCTATTTTGGCTTCAGTCGTATCCATTTCATGAAGTCGCATCTTAGTGAACCTGTTGAAGTTTTTTGTGTCTTGTTTCAGTTGACCTACATTACTTTTATAACGGTCAAGTCGGTCTCTGGGCGTTGTCAGCAGTGCCGTGTGACTGCGATTGAGGTTGATCCCACAGATTCCAATAAGGTGATAACTGTTCTACCCTTGTTTCATTAGTGCTATTTTAAGTTTATCCATGCTGACTTATGTCATGGTTAGTCTGTATTATCCTCCAAAGGAATCAGTAAAGCCTGATCGAACTTTTGGTAACTAAAATCTTTGTTGGTAGATTCTTGTGACCTCAAATGACTCTCGCGTGCGGTTGATCGATGCAAGGGATTATCACACGTTGTGCAAATATCGCGGCTTTCTCAACGAAACTAGTCAAATTCGGGCATCTTTTAGGTAATAAGCCTCACTATCTTAATTTATCCTTCTATGTCTTTTGCTTTAAATGGCATAATAGATAGAAGTCACAATAGCACTAACCCTTCCAGGGTGCAGATGGTCGAGTATGCTGGTCTTGTCCATAGCAGATTATGTGCATCTCCGCAAATTTAACATCGCTTGAATGTCTTGCATTGGTCGAAGGATTGATGTCCCGGAGCGAAGTGTATTGAGAGGACAGAGCGCTTCTTTTACACAGGCAAAACCTTAAAAACTATAAGCTCTGGTATGACCTAAATTTTCTACATTGCGCAACATCGTTTTGATTTATTTAGCGCAACTGGTCGCTACCTAATTTCGGGCTCAGAAAATTGCTTCTTTTACATCTGGCGCAAACAAATGGACTTCCTCAACGTCTCACGTTTTTCCTCAACTCGGAAGGACCGCAACAACTGTTGGGAGGCAATCAAGGCGCACGACTCGGTGGTGACCGTGGCGATTTTCTTACCCAACCCCGACCTCCTTCTTGATAGGCGCCAGCGTCGAAACTCGGGAAGGCGACGTACGGGTACGGACCATGCGATGCGAATGAAAATGTCCAGCAAAGTGGCTACCTACTGGGGCGAGGTCATTGTCTCTGCCGATTGCAATGGGTGTATTCGAGTATTTAAGAACCGTGCCCCTCTCATTGCTGCCGCTTCGTCCACTCACACTGGTTCCTGAGTTGGACAAATCACACAATTTTATACGTAGTTCAGATTGAATACTTTGAAGTCTTTCGCGGATTGTATCTTTTCTGTTTAAAAGTATTTTTGTTTAAGTGTGGATTAATTATACCGACTGTACATAAATTCGTCTCTTCGCTTTGTAGGCCTGGATGGATAAGATGGTAACATAAGTGTTCTGATCACTGAAAACTTGGTGGAGAGCTCCAATAGGCCTTTGACTATTTTCCGCTTTGCTTCTTACTATCATGTAGAGCGTAAAAGTAGTAGGCAGTTCATGCTATGACTCTTTAGAAGCAACGATACTGATGTCGGCTAGAGCGGTTCATGTTGCATCAGTTGTGTGGTTATGTACAATCTCACTAATTGGCGCATAATATTCGCTTTATAATTAGGTATATCGTTGTATAATAGGATACATTAAGGCTTGAATGTGCATATAACACCACGAGAGTTCCCACAGGATAGAAGAAGGCAGCAAATGGAGGGTGAACAAGGGAACCAGGTCTGAGCCTGGCCAGAAGGCCAACCCACGCGCACAAGGGTCTTAAAGTAACCGCCAGACGTCAGGTGGTCACATAAACAAAGCACTAAAGTGTCATCAATTAATTTGTGTAACACGAAAGCGGCCGCTTCAAATTTTAAGGCATTGATTGTGACCAATGTAAATGCTTCGTTTATGTGACTACCTGACGTTCGGCGGTCACTTTGGGATTTGTCGAGCTCCTGTGCACGTGGACTGGCCTTCGGGCCACGCTCAGGCCCCATTTGTCCTGTCGTCTTCGGAATACATCTATTCAACCTCACTTATGCATTCTTTTACCCTATGGGATGTCTCGGGACGCTACATTGATGGCAGCGGAAAGAAAACCCGACATTTTTTAAACGACTTTTAGGTGTAGGGTGCTTTTGAAGGTGACATAGTATCCGAGATAATCCATTGTCCAACAGACACCGCTGTCTTACTGACATCCTACGTTTGTATTGCTAAATTTTGCCAATTAATCGACTGATCTTCGGAAAAAAACAGTACGAACAAGAGGATGAGCAACGGCTCGATTTGATGATGCACTGGTTCCATGCATGTAGATACCCCAAAATCAGGTTTCCATGGCCGGAAAGTCGAAACCTCTCTTTTAACGACAAGAAGTTTATAATCCAATCAGCAGAAAAGACTGCAAAGGATTTCAACATCTTGGTGGGGAGATTCAAGATTAATAAGTGCATTTTGGCGTTGTGCACCGTCAATCATGAGCTATGTATGCATAGAAGGAAGTCTGACTATTGAAGTGTAGAAGGTGAAAATACAGACGAAAAAAGGACGTGACGGAGAATCCCTGAAGCCTTCGCAACGAAGGGATTTGGGCTGATGTCTGCATTTGGTTTCATCTTGTTCCCGTGTTCCACAGACAAGCTATTAACAACTGAAACGACACCGCCGTGAAATATCTGGAAAAGTTTTGTGTCGGAAAATTCCTATACAAAATCCGTATTTAGTTTTGGAAATGAATCAAGGTTCTCCTTACGTACGAGACAGTGGCTCATCTAGTTTTCCCTTGTAACGTATGTTTTAGACCAGAGTTCCACCGTCTATTCCTGGAAGCAAATGATGGTCAATAGGTGTATGCGGTTCCGAATCTGGTAGTCAGACCGAACGTAACATTAGGTACGGTTCCTCAGTCTCGTATTGTCTGTCGACTGGCGCGGTTGGCTCGTGGGTGCTTTCATATGGTACCGATTATGTTGTGACGGCTGGCGCGGAAGGTTTACCAAGGGCAGTGCTAAGGACGTCACTCAAAAGAAGAGAATGGCAGTGTAATACTTTGTTTGTTTGACCACCGAATTACATCTGTTCAGCTTCACTTATGCCTTCTTCTACCCTATGGGAAGCCTTGGGACGCCACAACCGGTACAAAACTCACCTGTGATGCATTTTTCATGTGATCACCTGAAGCCTGGCGACTCCTTTTGCCTACGACTGGTTCATGTACACGTAGAGACGCATTCTAGACATGCCAAGGCCCTGTCTCCTTTTCTGCTCTATAAGCATATGTTTTCTATCCACCGTGACGGAGCTTCAAACCGGTGGGAAGTCTAGGGCGCTACACTATCGTTTTGCAGCAGTATATAATTTACATAAAACAGAGTATAATGCGTTGAAGTTGTTCCTTAAATCGATCTTGTGGGCCAGAGACAAATTGCGAAAGTAAGAGTCACGCTAAGAGACTGACAAACGCTATTTAGGCTTGACTTTTGGTCCAAGTATTTCCCTGAATTCATACAATTGCTTTCACTCACCTGCGATGTTGAGTAAAATGTGTGTAAGCAAGCAGCCTCCCGCGGAAACGTCAAAGGAGAGTTTATGCAATGGAGTTAGAACTTTTGAGCGTTTATACAAGAACCAAATTTTGCATTTATAGAAACAATATTATATGATCCGGGTTCGAGTTTGGCTAAGTCGGTTCAGAGTCGCGACCTTTGAAAGCGTAGTCGGTTCGTCGCGTGATAGGTATGTGTGAATTCTTGCGGTTGATACTTTTGATCCCATGTGAGCATACTTGGGTTTACGTTAGTCCATTGGCATTGATTGGCTTTTTACTTAGCTTCCTTATACCCATACTGCTCTGTGTGCTTATTTGCTACATAGCTTTGAGAGTAAAATAGTTTGCGACGCAAATATTGCGGGTGATTCTTTCTGGTTGAGAAGAACTTTAAGTTGTGGTTCCATTTACGATCCTCTGAACAGTGCTGTACTTGATTTGTGAACTTCTGCAAATTTTTGTGTTGCTTTGATATTTTAATTGAATTAATAACTTGTTCGCTCCCAACGTTCTTATTCACTCTCAACTTCCATCTTGGGGTTCTGATTGTGTTAATCATAGTTCGTACACTATCATGAGGTGCCAGCCTTTATTAAATACTTGATATGTTCTCTGTTTTAGATTCTTTACATACCATATTACCTGATGGACCCGATTATGGTTTGTTTGATTTCGATAGAATTACTTCTTTAGCTCGAAAATGAGGCCAGGAAAATGCAGAATAGGTATACCGATGCCATTTCAAGTGCAATCAAGGAATGGGATACTAAATTTTTGCGCAAAATGCAGGCATTAATTATCGTGCTCTCTACATCTGTTTACTTTTAGTCCATCTATTTTGGCTGCGGGAAAAAATGTTGCGACAATAAGGACTTCGACACCGAACAAGTTCAGTCATGTATTGAGCATTGCGAGAAACCGGTTAACGCTGCTCAAAATCTTGTCCAGGGCGAGCTGAATCAACTTCAAGTACATCAATGTTGTTTCTTTGCAGTTTTTAACTTTTTTTCCTTCATAAGTAAATGGGCGTCTTCAATGCATCGCGAAGCACTATTTTCGATGTCTTTAGTGTGATATTGGTTGTAAACTAAATTTAGAACTTGAGAAAACTTGGTAATTTCCTCCAACGGCCGCCCTTTTGTTTATTGCATTTACATTCGCTTTTCTAGTGTTTTGGTCGGTTATGCCCTCAATGTCTGGTATCTTGCCTGCCCTTTGCATCCTTGTGTTGCGCTTATTTGTTAATAGTATCGAGGTGTTGTTGTAGCGAGAACAGATAACTGTGCCTGGTACAAAGCGGCATGCTTCGACTGCGATTGTGATCATTGACTTTTAGCCCTACGTTCTCTACGTTTACATTGGAGACAAGTTTTGGTCAATTCGACTAAAGTTGGAAATATTCAGGATGCGCTGAGCCAAAAATATGCTCCATACGCAAGGATGTGCAAAGCCGGTAGATGGGCTCAAACTTTTGCCTGGAAATGAGATGTTTTTGTACTCTGGTTCACTTCCGGCGCTCTAATAAACCATTAGTATGGGAGCTCGCTGGGCTGGATCGAATACTGTAGTGCTAATGCGGTGATTGGGATCACAGAGTTGTGAAACTAGCTTTCTAAATTAAAAAGAACTTTAATTTTTTGTTGTAGAGTCGTTTCCAAACCTGCGTGCGGGAATGTTCACACCGTGCTCACGACATGTTCAAGGGAGCCGATGATACATTAACCGAGGCGCAGCGGATTAAAGTTCAGAGGGAAACGCTAGTGTGCGTAAACAAGTGTATTGAGGAGCAAATAACCAATGCTATCCCCGCCACTGTGCGACTTGTTTCCGCACAACTGCAAAAAATTCGTGCTGAACAGCCCTCCGATTAGAACATCCTTCAATTTCTATCTCCTTTTAAGCGTCTAGCATATTTTGGTAGCGAATACCTGCTTTTCACACTATTTTACTCAGGATGTTTTTGCATGGAATGCAAATTTGGTTGAAGACTTTGTTTTCGTCCGTAAGAAGTCTGCGACGAAGGCTATTAAGGTGTGGAATTCGTGTACATCTGAATTGAAGGATCGGTCTACGAATAAGCGTTAATTCACCTCCCATTTGCGCTTGTCTTCTGCTTTGAACTCTTGTCCTAAGGTTTTCATAGACGGAGGTTCCTGGTTCCTTCCAACCAACTCGTTCTTTTAACTCCCACATTTGGTGAAACCTGACCAGGAATTCATGCACATTTACAGAGTAAGCACGCACTGAATTAATTCTGACTCTTCACTCCAGCGGAGGAGAATTATAACTCAGCAAATTGTGCCAGCGAGCTCCTTCACTACCTAATTAAGGGTAACAACGGAACGGTTCGCCTCATTTGCTTGAAGTTTTGCGGAGCAGCACCAAACCCTTCGTTGCACCGTAATTTGGTGTGCTCGTTGAATGGCGAATGTAACCTTCTATGCTTAGCTCGCGGTCAACCTCGCATGCGTAGATTTTCCTGCACCAAAACCATCATCAGATAAGTAATCAGAGATTGAAATTCTGATTCTCTTTAAGCATTCTTTGTCAAGATTTGAGAATTTGCTCAACTACAAACGCAAAAAACAACCTTTAATGTCGTGATAAATGAAAGTTATTCTACTCGATAAGCCATGCTAGCTCAAGTTGTCGTAACATTCCGCCAACAAACGAGTGAGAAGTTTAGGTGGGTTGAAGTGAAAGCCAGTGCAGATGAAACCCACTTCATTCAGATGATCTTTCAAAACGTCCAGAACGAAATTGTGGAGCTTCCTGTATTAGGGTAGTATGACGTGTCCCGATGTTGGTCTCCATGGCGGTTTAAGGGCAACCGATTGCGGTGAAGATGTGACCCTTGATTTTCGAAGTTCAAGCACCTAAGGCAAGCAGTTGACTTAATTTTCATCCCCATGCAGATATGAATTTATCTTAAGACTTACAGTACACTAATGACAGAGATGGTAAATAATAGGCGTTTTTTCTCAATGAATCCTGTCCAAAGTGCGAGTATCTTGGCCGACATCTTTTCATACGGCAATTGCTTTTATTATGAGTACTCCTTTTATCAGGCTGGAGTAATGATGAGGGTATCTAATTTCGAGATCCGGTATCATTCTTAAAAATCTTAATAACTGTATTTACTGGTATTTACTGTATTTACTGGTACAGGTGATCGAAACTTCGGAAAGCATGAACACCTTGATTGCGTTTCAACTGAGTCGCAGAAACTATGTAGATGGGAAGATATTTCAATCAAGATGCGATTCTGAACCTTGAGTTGATTTGTTTAAGCAATTTCAAAGTGTAGTCTCCAGTGAAGAGACGCCACCTTACCTTTCGAGATTCCCACTGAGCATAGGAATTCCTGGCCAGTTCCTTTCGCATGGCCTCCTCTTTGGATTTTCGCAGCCTTTCTTTTTTCGCTCGCACCAATGCCAAGTGATGTTCTTTCTGCAACTTCTGACTCACTTGCTTTTGCCTTAAATGCAAACACGAATGCCTGTTAGTCGGGGAAGTTGATGGTTCATTTAACATCTAATATCTGCATTGGAAACGTGGGACAAAATTCCGTGACAACTTTTCTCGTCCACTGTTCATGTGAGACGATGTGATGAAATCTGTTATAGTGTTTCATTGAAGGTATTTGCAACCTAACTGTCATTAAAGTCCGAGAGGTGTTCGCGGAGAAGAGTTTGCTTTGGTGCCAAAGGAGGCTGCTGACAATAAGAACTAGGGCAATGATCAGATTAACTAGGGAGGGTAGAGGTGTTCGTCTTTGCAACACTCACCACTGTTCGAAAGCCAAATGTGCGGCCAGTGCTTTATCGAATTTCATTTTCATCTCTTCCACAGTTATCTCTCGAGTCACCTCGATTGCTGAACGTCTGCGTTCTCCCTGCTTACTCTTCTGATTTTTCCACGCTTTGTAAGCCTACAATAAGGAATAGCACCTCATATCTCCCTGCTTATAATGCTACACCAGTAGACCCGATCCTGAAGGACAGTTGTTACGATCTCTAGTCCTGGAGCCTGTACTTTAACGTAATGGTAGAAGGGAACATACCGTGGATGGAAAGCATACATCAACTCTCAAAGAATGTAAAAATGATGACTCGTTTTTGCGAACATTCCAGTTTTATGGTCTACAAAGTTAGTATTAACCATCGTAACAACACTATTCGCGGATGAACAAGCGTTGACTCCTGTGCACATCTAACAGACAGCGCAGTGGCAATGAATTGAAGAATTAAGTCAAAATCTGGCATCGATGCAACAAATGGGTCATCTCAGTGTTTCAAAGGCAACGTAGTATATAATGCAAGTACCACCGTTTCACTTAACAATCTAATACTTCTGTGTCAAAGGCTTACTAATGAAGCAATCAACAAAGCAGACTGATCGATTTGAAGAAAAAATTAATTGACCTTCTCCAGTTTTATATGATCTTAAGTCGGATTCGTGCATTCTCACTATAGGAAGAAGACAATGGAAATTAGGTACCTACCTTTGCGGCCTCTATCTTTTGCTGGTTTTTGCTTTCTTCCTCCTTCTGCTTTTCCTCTTCTTCCTTCAGTCGCTTTTTCTTTTGATCCATCTCTTGAGCTCGTTTCTTTGCTAGCCACATCGCAAATATTTTCTCGTTTTCTTTGGCTTTTTCCATTTTCTAAAAAAATTGTACTACTTTAACTTCGTAAGTTGATGCTCAAAGTCATCAATTCTTACAGTCCATTAATTTGTCATTGTTTGACATTTCTATATTTTAACGACATCGATTGCATTTTTGGAAGCAGATCTTGACGCAACGGCTGGCAGCCAGTAGCAACTGATTGCGAGTGGATGTTGATAGTCAAACAACTTCAATTGCATGGCATTAAGTTAGCTAGCAGACCACAGAAGGATATTGTATGTGCGATGTGGAGACCTCTTCTCTATTTACGCTTCTCCATTTACTTGAGATCAGAAGCTTTATTTTCCACGAATTGGAAATGTACCGATGGACGCGGACACATTCAGTGAAATACATTGTCTATGCGGAGAACATACTTCTGAAGGCGGTAATAAGAAGAGCCAGGTTAATAAGAAAGGCAAATAAGGGTTAATGAAGAATAATTTATAAACTATGATCGAACTTCAGCAGTTCACTGATTGTATGGAAAGGTGTCGGTGGACACACACACAAATACCATTTCCTAATAATCTGAAGCCGCCTCTTTCGCAATAGTCAACAGGCTCTATAGATCTCTTGCATGGATACTAATGATTGTTTGCTCTGCGTTTTAGTTCACATCACCTCCTAGTCAGACCTCAACAACTGCAATTTCCCATGACTATTTCAATCAGTAGCATAAGGAAACCACAATGTTCACCTGAAATAGTCAAAGCTGTTCAAAAGTGTATCATGTTCTTTAGAGAAGCATCGACTTCTGTAACAAGCTCCAAGTAATCAAGATTACATGGTTAAATTCGGATGGACAAAATTAAAGAGATCTGACGTTATTTAAATCAGTTTCATAGGCCAAAAGGCCTGGGCTCACCTGTTTCCTTGTCCCTTCCTCCTCTCGCTTTCGCCTAAGCTGTTCAGACCGCCTCTCCTCCAAGTACTGCTTGCCGCGCTTAGCACACCATAGCTGAAACGCGAGATCGCGCAGCTCAAGGGAGCTCTGAACTCGAGTTTTGCGTTCGTTCCTCATATCCGGTTCATCTGCTTCCTGGCTGCCACCATCTGCAGTCATGGATGGTGCTGACAAAGGTGGAGCGGATGGTCGCAATGGTCGGGGGATTGACCGGAGATGATATGCCGACTGTGGAGCGAGACCCACGGCCCTCCTGTTACCTCGAGTAGCACCAACCGTCAGAAGTCTCGGTGACCGTGTGAGAACGTCGACCTTGGAAGAGCTGAACAGTCATACGGAAGTTAATTTCTACCACCATCCTAAACAAATATCATTCTGTTAGTACATATTTTCAGCATTTTTATCAAATTAACTGCTAGACAAGGCACTTTTAGGAAGCGATTATAGTGAGCTACAGTATGCCAAAATTGGAAATGGGACAATGGTATCACGTTGAATGACAATGTAATGTAATTCAGCGTAATATTGAAATGAATAATGATAGGCAAGAGATTCAAAAATGCTTACGCTCTTCCCTCCTTTAAGGCTATTATATCTTCTTGACCTCCCGAACAGGAAGGACCTAGGAGAAGTACCATATAATTTGGAAAATTCGGGTTCTCCAAAACCAAGTAAACGCCTGTGCCATATTTAAGGTTTATTCATTTAAGTGCTTCAATCTAAAGGCAACATTTTAAATGACATAAACTCATTATACATTTAAGCATATAGGCTCATTATTGTCACTCACTTTTGGAGCTTTCAATAATACGTATCGAGTCGTTATTGGGTAAACTTAAAGGTTCGTTTGATTTTCTAGCCACATCAGATGTGATTGATTTCACTGTTTCTTCTAAGCCTCCTCTATTCGAGTTTATTTCTCCTCTGGATGACGTTTCAAACCTAAATCTGAAGAATGTCGGAAATTAGTTCCTAATAACAAGTACAAAAAACAATGAAATGTACACATTTAAGTCGATGGTGTCACTTGCAGCATTTGGACTTTCGCGATTAGAGTTATGGCACGGATAATCAGGCAGAGATTTCGAAATGCTGGGTGAATTTCTTTGGATTCTAATGAGAAACAGTTATGCGATCATACTGCAGTTTGATGGCCTCGAGCAGATCGGTTTGAGTGTTATCGTATGAAGCGTTGCTATGCCTGAAAGAATAATTGTTACCTCTTGGCTTAGTACTTATTGCCATGTGCGTTCAGACAAAGATTAGAGAGATCTTCTGGAAGATTTGAAAATGAATCGTTAAATAAAGATTCAGCAATTGTGTCCCTTAAAAAAACCATAAAATGAGTGATACTTTCTGCGATATAGATTTTCATTTATCGTGGTTAAGTCGCAGCGACTTTGAGTCATAATTAGTTTATTTGCCTCTGATAATCCAAAAGGTCCTGCAATCATGTTACGAGGATCCTGAAGTCTTGTAACCTTGGCTAAAAATGTCCTTGAGTATTTTGGAAGAACAGTCTTCATTAAGCGGGGTTTCTTTAATAAAGCTCAGTGTCGTTGCCAAAAGACTACACATACCTTCGACCAGCTCACCTTCATAAGTGATAGGAGTACAAGAGGATGGTAAAGAGTGAGACAGCAAGCCAAAAGGTTTGCCAACCGTCTGAGATTCCGATTCCAAAGTCATCGTACTAAATTCACTTGTAGGGTTGCATTTGCTAAATTCACGAATTATCAATAATTAATCCCGTAACTAATACATACAAAAGCATTATAAACAGATTGAATCTACATATTTTAGCATGTTTTTAAAAGGCACAAAATTAAAACAGTTTTATTTTTTGCCATTTTCCGAGTACTTAAAACTACAGTGCAGTAATGATAAGTTATGTAAAACAATCCTTAGATCACCTGATTTGTAAACGATTTCGTAGAACCCTTTTTTTAAAAAAGGCGTTGGAAATAGGTGTAAAAAAAGCAAGAATCCTGGTACAGAAAAATATCGCTTAATGACACACACGCGGCCCGTGTGCGACTATCATCGGGTTTCATAAACAAGACACATCAGTCTTCTTTAATTGGTCACCAATGTCTTAGCAATGGTCGAACCATTAGAACACTGTAAGCGCTTTAGAAACAGGTTCTCTGCGTATGCCATTAATTGTAAAGCTTAATCGTGTTAAGTAATTGGAAGAACATTTGATATAACAAAATAAAACGTTGGTCAAAACAGAGTACTACTAAACATACTCCTCAACTCACCCTGGTACCCCTACCTACTCACAAATGTTAAAAGTCGCTGTGTTTGGTACACCAATGGTTGCAAAATCAAACAATTCGTCCATCCATCGATCCGACCACAATTCTCCAAAATGCGGAATCTCTTAATAATTATTATTAAATAATAACTTAGAAATATAAAGAAAATTTTTGAATTTAATTACTCAATTTTTAACAACTTATGCCTTGATCGAATTGAATGCTGGTTACTGGATTCTCTTTAGAAATCCGTGTGATTAAGTACTAGGGACTGCATCATCCCAAGATTTCACACAGGGTGGAAGAAGGTAGTAAATGAGCCTCGATAGATGTATCCCCAAGAGAATAAAGCAATTAGGTCTGGGCACGGTCCAAAGGGGAGCCCACACGTGCAAGATCCAAGCGAACCTTAAGATGACCACCAATTGTCTAGTAGTCGCACATACAAGGCATTACAGACATTTTTTAATTTGAATACTGTGGTATTCCAAGGCTTCCCACAGGGTAGAAGAAGGCATAACTGAGGCTGAGTAGATGTATTCCGAAGACGACAGGGCAAATGGGGTCTGAACATGGTCCGAAGACCAGTCCACGTGTGCAGAGCCCGGGCAACTTCCAAAGTGACCGCCAAACGACAGTTAGTCACACAGACAAAGCCTTACAAATACGATCCTAACATCTTCACAATAACCCCACTCAAGTATTGCTGTCTTAACCATGATCATTCGCCAATTCAATTCCTGGCTTGCGAAACCATCTCATTCGACGAGCGTTATGTCACCACATCGTAATAAGTACACGAAGAGCCTACTACTCCACCCAATCAAATCCCCGTGAGTACAGTGAGAACGCCGACCCACTATTCCTACACGCCTCCGACTTCAATTAACCACCATTCATTTTGGGCCAATAAAAGTGACAGCACCCAGTGAGAAGCCTCAATCCGAGAGTCTATCGAGGAGAGAAATCGCCCATAAAGATTTTTGCTACTCCCATTAAGAGATCTCTGCCCGAAATTCAAGGCACCAATTCGTTTAAGTCCAGCTCGAACAACGTTCACTCATGCAGGTGCGAGAGCACGTTCGTTATACCTTGTGGAAGCAGCACATCAACCGCCCTGACTTCACCAGCACCAGCGATCAGCGTAAATTGCTTCACATTGCCACGCGGCAATAAAACTCCAAACACAAATCAGTGCAAAACAGATAAGCACCTAAACTATATGGTACAGTCGGGAGCGCTAGTCGAAACTCTATCAGTATGTAGTGTACCCATTAAGAAAAGGAAAACAACTAGTGCGAATGTAAATACACAAAAAAATCGCTACAAACATTACAACTGAATTGGTAAGACTGTGGTGGAAGATAAAATAATAATATCAGGCCCTGATGCGAAGAACAGTGTCCTCAAAAGTGTCTATAAGAAAGAGACTTAATCATCATAATCTAAGGTATACAGCTCGGGCTTATCATAACCCAGTTCTTCCAAAGTTGGAATACCGAGTTCCTTCATGGTTGGACCAACTTCCTGCATCAACCACGGGAAGAGTTCCGACTTGATTTCGCATTTATGCTATAGAATTTTTATTAAGAATAAAACCTGTTTGAATTCCAGAAAATGTTTCTGCATATTACATAAATTAGGGAGTGCCCAATAGGACACACGAGTATAAATGAGTCGGTAACTGATGTCAGTTGTGCAAGGAAAAATTACTTACATGCAAACTTTCAAGATACCTGATAGCTAGAGCTAAGTCGTTTAGACGCCTACAGGCCTTGAAAATTGAAATGACAATATCCGGTTCGGGAATAATATCCTCTGAGTGCAAATCCTGAAGGTACTTGCGCATCCACCAACCGTCCAAATTGGGTTGGTTAAAAGCACACATAAAGCGTTCTTTAAATTCAGCATAAGGTTCTTCCTCATTATAGTACTTAGGATTGGAAGATGCCATACGAGCCGACGGTAAAAGTCGAGATGTCATACACGCCGGCCTAAAACCTAGAATTGGTATATTTTGAGTTCAACCAGTTCGAAACAACAACGCCTTAGAAGCGCCTTACAACTTAACATGAGACCAAAATATCTCGATAAAGGTGGAAAAAACCACGGGAAGAACACAATTGACCGGATCTATGTCAACTTAATTGATTTTATCCTGAAGTGGACTCAAAGTAACAAAGCCAACGATCTACATCGAATAAAGTGCTGAACCAGCAACATAAATAAATGAATAAATAAAAGTTCCAAAACACGACATACAACGAGTTAACGAAGCGGCAGGACCCCAACGGAACATCCCAATTATAACCAGCTCAAAACTCCCGCGAGAAACCGCTCCCAAAACCCATGAGAGCATCTATGTCCCATGAGTTTATCACTAGTCTTATGCCAAAGAAGTAGTTTTATTTGATCTATAACGGTTTCTCTCACTTTGTAATTTAAAGTAAAGCACAGATCCGTTATGACTTTAAGGCGAAGACCTTATTTTGGAAAACTTACAACCTTACTGTAATTTGAGACTTAAAATGGTTTAAATATAAGTTACTTTGCGTGATTAAAGCTCTCCGTACATGACATATAACACATTCATACGGTATGACACTGACATTGGACCACTGCAGTGAGTATTTGTCATTAGCATATGTATTTAACTCTTCTATCTTCATTTTTTGATGCTGAACTGTATCGAAGTTACTGGGCGTATTTTTAAATTATTATCCTTTTTTAATAGTATTGGAGGACTGCATAAAGCCTCAGTAAGATATCAGCTGCTCAGCATAAAATAGTTATTTTTGAGTGTTAGAGCATCACTATTGTTTGTAGCCTTAATCTTGATCGCTTTCAGCCACACCATCAAATTGCCCTGTTAGCCTATTCCCGTTAGCCTCGCAGTAAATGCACGCTGTCTGTGGGCTGGTTGGCGGTGTGGCGCGTTTTGCAGTTTCAATATTCAGGCTGTATGGTTTCAATATCTGCTTCAGGAAAAGTTATTTTGTTTGGTGAACACGCAGTAGTGTATGGCTATCCTGCTCTGGCTCTCTCTATCGATGCGTCTACCACTCTGAAATTCCGCCGTATCATTCCAAGTGATGGCTCCGACATTGCTTTTAATCTCAATTTTATTGGCGTTTTTGATAGGTCTATTTGCTTGAAAAACAGTGATTTTGTCTTCGATCTTCCATCCGATAGTGAAGGTTCTGATATGCATAGCTTCTTTCTTACGAAATCGCAAAACCTGTTGTCTCAGGTGGATGGTTCCAGGCACATTGTGCAGAGCGTCGCAGTTATTCTTTTTTCTTATCATTTATTGCATTCAAAATATCGTGTCAGAACTGCTAGTCCCCCGTGTGATATCACAATTTCTTCAACGCTGCCCATCAACGCTGGACTTGGCTCGTCTGCTGCATACTGCTCTGTCGTTGCCGCATTCTTTCTCTATTTACACGGATGCATCACTGGTCCCAACATTGCTGACGGTGATCTTTCTCTCGTACGGTCTTTAGCAAACGAGTTGGAGAAGATTATGCATTCCTCACCTTCTGGTGTCGATACGGCAATCAGCATTTCTGGTGGTATGGTTTGGTTTCAGAAGGATATTCATGATGGCTTCACATCCATTCGCCCTCTACCTCTCTCTTTGCGCCCTACTAACTTGCTAAAGCTGTTAATAATAAACACTAATACCCCTCGGCTGACGGCAGACGTGGTGAACTCTGTTCAGGAGTTCCGTGAATGCAATCCCGGGTTGTGTGACCAGATTTTTGAGAACATAAGTGTTATTTGTAAGGAGGCTGGGGCCATATTCTCAGCACCTCTTGATGACGATTCCTTGAATGTGTTGTGCAAACTATTCGTGCAGAATCATGATGCTCTTTGCAAGCTTGGCGTGTCTAATGAGGTTCTTGATGAAATTGTAAAGAGATTAAAAACTATTGGGTTTGGAGCCAAACTTACCGGTGCAGGTCGAGGTGGATGTGCGATTGCTTTGCCCTCCAAAACAGCAGACTCAAGGAATGCTGTCGATAGAGTGAAAAATCTCCTCCAAGATATGAACGTCACTGTCTTTGAGACCACCTTTTGTGCTCCCGGCATGAGAATACAAATACTAAAGTAGCTAGATTTCGTGAAGTTCATCTTCTACGTCAGGACAAAATGTGTCTTAATAAAGAAATGCTGATCATGTGTTCAATTTCTCAAGTCTGGGTGTACGGGCTTCTGGTTTCTACTTCAACTAACCGTCATTAGTGGATCAATCATGTTAGGTGGCTACTCTTGTCTCCTTTTCGCAGATTAAGTAGTGGAGCATCGTTTGATTTTCGTTCGATAGTTTTTTTAAAGCGAGTGCTTATTTTGTGACGTCGCCGAGACCTGGAGTGTGTTTCTCTTGAACATTGTAATGAACATCTTCGACTCGATTGCCATATACATTATCGTCCTATTTCTTAAACTTAATGCATGTCTGTCTCATTACAGAATTGAAATTGTGATGAAAGCAAGAATAGCGCAATATGGTTTGCTGTTAGTCACCTTTCTCCTGAGACTGGAAGGCGTTTTACTGTCGAGAATAGGACGATGGTGAGGTCGATCTGTATGTCATTTTAGTTTTAAAGTATTCGTTGGTGGCGAATAATACCAAAAGTTCTCTACGATTTCATTAAGCGGAACGTCCTGGTACTTTGGTTTTGTTTTTACCAGTGGATAATCGCTCTGAGGCGAGTGTGATTGGTTAGTCATATGCGATCCCTAAGTACTGCTTTGAGATGTCTGCATTCATTTGAACGGAGCTTTTATGGGATCATTATTAACCGATAGACGTTTTATTATTTTTGAGGTTGCGCTGTAACCACGGTATTGTGCATGATAGCAGGCGGTTAACCACATTTGGAATTGGCTTTGTTAATGTTTCTGACTATAATTGGTGCTTTGCGCCGTAACGTGGGTTGAGGCGCTTAGATATTGAGGCAGTTAGAGTTACCACTTGATGCATAGTTCTCGATTCTCCTGGAAGTAAGTTAAATAGCGTTGATTACGAGGAGGCGATTTCTTAGGAGTGGCTTTGAAAAGTTCAAGGCCAAATGTGAAAATGAGAACCTACAATACCGCTTCATAGCAACGCAGTGCGATGAAGGATTGTTGTCAATCACAATTTCTACCAGAGGGAGCCCAGACGATTCCTTAAAGATTTGGTGCTCATCGAAGAATTAAGTGCAATTATTTTCGATCTGTGTACGGCCTCCACAAACATGGTTTTTGAATCCCAAGCCACCTGCTCAGGACGTAGCTTATATGGGCGTATATACATGGAGATATTACTGTTTCATTTCAAATTTAGCTTTAGGTAACGTCAACTGAGTTGATCTAGGTACCATCAAAGACTCAGTTGAGGTCGCTATCGCGTTGAGTAATCCTAATTGCTAAGACCCAATCACATAGGTGATGTGAAGTGGTAAAAGGGTCTAGCCATAAGGAGATTACAATTGTGGATGGCTTTCAAGTCAACACTTTATACCATCTAGACAGTTGCAAGACGGTGCAAAGGCAGCGTTGCCTCTTTAATTGTTCATGTACTTAGGTGTATGCAACAGTTTGATTGGTCATTTATCTTTGTGCGCGTGTCGAGTGATGTTGATTCTGGACCGGACCAGTAGCTTCCCCAGTCTTTTGACACCTTGGCAAAGTGTATTCTGTCCCCGAAATTGATATTCTCACATTTTAGACCTAATTATTTCATACTTGTTGGCCGTGTTGGGACTCATTGTGCTCTTTGAGGTTGTTTAAACATGATGTCTTTGGTTATCTACTCAAACAAGGAACTGGAACCATTCAGTCCTAAAGATAAATCTGAAACAACGAAGCTAAAGTGTTCAAAGCTTTGCAGTACTCAGCTACGTGTACTCAAGGCATTCGGCGGTGCCGAAAAAACGTCCACCATCCATTCGCACCAATTATGAAGAAATGCATGTTGATTATCAATTAGTTACGCTGTTATGGGTAAGCATGTCGACCTTCACCCAAAGTTTTTGGCAAGTTTAAAATAGTTGAATGTGGATAATGTTCAAAGTCGGTTTTTCCTTGCCACCATTTCATTTCCTATCCATCTAGTACGTAGGAGGCAAAGGTTGTGCCACTTGTTTGTTTAACTGACATCGTACAGATGGTGTTGACAGCTTCGCAACAAATACTTCCAGAGGCTGATGTCTCTTTGCTTCTGAATGAACAAAGGACTGTAGTTTTTGCCCCAAAAGACGCCTTTTTAAAGCTCTCGCTTATTTTCTGGGGCCACAGCAAAAGCTCTTTGTCTGTCACACAAAGGTTTGTCATTTAGAAATGGAATCTTTCGCTGCCACTAGAGCACCAACTTGAGAATTTCCTAAACGGGATAGAGCCTGTTTAGCTGAATAAGTGGCAAACCTGAATGTAATGGAGAAAAAGTTTAAGATGAGTGGGCGAAGTCTCAATGAATTGTGACGAATAGCACGTCAAAGCCCCGATGGGCTGCGAGGTTTCCCATAAGTCGCCTGCTACTCTTAGTGGATTCGACTTGTTTAATGAGTCGGTAAATGAGACCTTCTCCACTGTCCATGAATTCAGTCAGACGATTGAGCCGCAGTATGATACGATGCCGTTTAGATAAAGTACAACGTAAGTGTCCGGTAGTACGCGTCGCCGAGGCCGGGATCAAAGGATCTATCGCCTCTGTTAAGCTTGAATGACTGGTGTATCCGCTACTGTATGGCTTGAAATGTGGTGTTATTACTGTTTCAAAAAAAAAAAAACATATGCGAAGTGATAAAAACGATTTTAGAAGTTAAGGTGGGCTTTGAATGGGATGGATTTCTTTTAACAACGTGAGCTCCTTAACCTCTCAGCTTTTAGCTCCGTCAGCTAGTCGTAACCACTGTCTTTTAGCACTCATCGGAGGCTGAGAAGCAACTGCCCTTCAATCCTGAACTTTATTTCTCAAATTAGCGACTGAACAGGCCACACCTATGGTGTATTGAAACTTGCATTAAATTACTTGGGAATCTTTTAATTCCCATAACGGTTGGACATAAGATGTTGATGGTGGACAGATTTCTGTTTCACAGACTTTTGCATGCTTTTACATTACGTAGCTGGCCTTGGGACAAAAAACAATCTTTTCTGACCTAAATTAGTGGACCATTGAGTTTAATGCTCAACCTTGGCCCCAACTAAAATGATTATTTCACAAAAATAGCAACTGGGTAGAGAGCTTCCTTGCCATTTGTAGTTGTTGTTTTTGCCCACTGGCCCTGAAGCGTCTAAACGCTGCTAGCTCAAGTGATTTGTAGTTTTCAGCCTTCTTAAGTCTCTGACCGTAAAGTTGATGGAAAGAAGCCTCTCGGACAAGAAGACATGCGGTTTCTACCGGTGAAGCAGAAGTACTGATGTATCTCACCTTTGGTGGGGTTCCACTTTGACCTGATTCTACCGCTAATTTTTGTTTTCCATGAGTCAACGTTTCTTTTATGGCCGCAATCAAGCATCTAGTCCCTCGCCTTTCAGCAATCTACAATATCGGTGTCGTCAACAATTTGTACGTGTGACCAAATTATGACTCGCCATCTACAAATATTCTATTAAATTTGCAAATACCTTTAGTTATTTTCTTGCTAACTTACTTTACCCGATTGTTAAACTAAAATTTTACAGGACTTCACCGTGCAGCAAATGTGCTGTCCTATTAAAGCGGCACGGGAGCTGCGTGATGGGCTTTCAAAAGGGTCTCATAGCAGGGGCTTTATATCCTTATAATATGCGGTGTATGCCTTTTTTGAATAGTTTAGACTTTTAACTTACGACATTTCGTTGAACAGTAAAATTCAGTTCAGTAGTCTACCTGCAATTAATACCGCTTCCAGTGCCTCATCACTCCACTGATCCAATCAACCCCAATGCCTTCGCGTCGTACTTTAAGCCCTTCTAAAAACGTCTGCAACGGAGCATAAAACAGTGTAAAAGGTCGTATGGAGGATAAGTGGATGGATGCTTTTGCTGAGCAACTGTTTGTAGGACAGGCGGAATTGTGGACGAAGCGAGAAATGAGAACATTTAACGAGCAGAAGGCTTTCTATGAGTGCTTGACGTCTCTACTTGATGACTTTTTGCATCTACCTACCCATCAAGTAAGAGACTTTAAAAGGGACTTCGCTCTATTCTGCCAGCCGGATGACAAACTAATTGATGGAATGGCGAAAGAGCAAAGGATAGCAATCGACGTCTTGGAAATTCCCATCGCTAACTCAACGCTCTGCTACCAGCATCAAAGGTAAAAACCTGCTCGTAATTGTCTTTCAAAACACAAAACATTTGAAGTTTGGCGAACCAGTTCTAGGAGGAGCATTTAAGAAAGTCTTTAAGGTTGGAAAAAAATTAACAATAATAAATATTAGGTTGAGGATAGCCAACAAATGGAGGGTCATTCTTCCCAGACGGCTTTGGATGTGCTTAGGTTCTCCAGTGGGCTGCTGATGTTGCAACCATGAACTGATTTTTCGACACGCACGACGTCTCACGTCGTCATGTTGGAGTCGAATACTGACCACGTCTACATCTCAAAATTCAGACATAAATATTAAATTAGATGTTAGTTTCAGAACAGGTTCCACGACTACAACATTACCTTCTGCAGGCTACTGCATTTCCCATTCGATGAAGGTATTCCAACCTTGGTTACCACGATTAAGTTGCCTCGTTTTTGATGCGTCAGTGCAAGCAGTGAATCACTTTATTACCAGCGTCATTCGATTCAAGGAGTTCTGTAAGTACCGCGTTGATGAACGAATAATGTTTAATATATTCGGAAACTGAACTTGTTAAACCCTGTACAGCATCGAGGTGTCAGCAATCGGATCATAGAAGGTGACGTGAAAATGCCGTCGTTATTTGTTTGTTCGGTGGAGTATTGCAAACTAGGCTGGAAAGGGCAAATGGCGTAGGGAGCAGTGAACGTGGAAATAAATACATTAGTTGAATGTCTCCTAGCACACAAGCAAGGTAAATCAAGGAAATACCTGGTTAAAATAACCTTGATTACTTGTTTACCACTAGTTTGTGTTTCAAGAGCATTTAAGATCTCACGATTGGATTATCTAGATTGGCCCTCTCCACTAGTCTTCACGACGTCGGTTTATTTTGCCCTCCTGGATCCTATAATAAGCACACACACTCCGGTTCAAACTGCCGGTTTTCTTAAATCAGTACTAATGGACTAGAATCAGCGCTAAAGGGCTGCACTTTCTGCGTTGAAAGAAGACGGTAAGCAAACATGTTTCAAAAGTGACATTTGAAGAGTATATGTCAACGATTAGCGGTAACTGAGAGTAACTGGAGCTATGCATTATTTCTGCGGGAATACCATTTTTTATTTTCGTCGAGGAACAAAGAAGAATCAAAATGCTTAAAACGTTGCCAGTCAGGGGGGTCAGTCAACCCTTGGGAAGATGAGGAGGGTGGCATTATCTGAGGACCATATCGGCATTCTCCAATCATTTCCTACATTCTTGATGATTGTTCGGTCCAGTTATTGTACTTTCTTTCGTCGTCAATTGGTTCTCGAGGCAGTGGACTGCATTGGTGGGTACAGGGGACAAACTCCATCCAAAAGGAAGGAAACCATCATTTCGAAACCGATGGCTAAAATTTTGATGTGATGGAAGAAGACAATATGCCGCAGACGAGTGAATCTGTGCCAACTCTTAACAGTAGATCAAGATCGACGTCCATGTTCAATAACAAAGTAGTTCTGAGCTCCTGCGGGGAAGATAATGACAGCTGAAACGAAGGAAACTATAAACTATCTGAAAGGCGTACACAAAGGTGCCGTTTAAACAAACTGGAGGGCAAGCATAAATGCAATATCCATGCTAAAATTCGTCTTTTCTTACTGACGGGACTTTTGGGCCAGTGTTACTAAATGAGACCAAATGGCTTTGACGAAGAGGCGGCCATATTTTGCTTTGTTCATTTGTCCAGCCTCTCATCAGACTTTGGACAGCACGACCCCTCATTTCGCTGAGTCAAATCTCCCTTTCCATTTCTCGTTCGTTTGAACCTTCAATGGAGTCCAAGTACTAATCTTTTGAGCAGTGATTAATTTTCCTGCAGAAACAGTCTGCATTTAATTGCCATAAAATTTCTCTTTGCAGTATGAAAAAAATGTCCGAGTTAGAAAAGCGTCAATTGCTGAACTGTGTAAATGCTACTGGATACTCCTTTGACAAGCGACTGTTTCATTGGATGCTGCTTCTGAAGGGAAATTCAACCAATTCTTGATAATCTCCTCTAAATTATTTTTAAGACTGATGTTTACAAACAAGGAGCACATAGTTCCGTTTTGTCTTGCGTGGATGACACTGGAGACTAAACACGAACAGTTCTACGGAGGAAGAATGCTCCCAATCTTTCAAACAGACCTTACCACTGCAAAAGGCATCGGCACTTTTAAAAAGTTCACTACACTTATTACTCATAATTTCATCTACAGCAAAATCATACAACTTTTATGTAACTAATTGATAAGAAATCCATTAAAGCTCTTCTGGTGGCAAGAGCTATCAGCGTCCGAATTGTCTTCTCTAATTTGCTAACCACACAAGATATTCATGTTCTAGAAGTCCCACTTCTTCATTACCCTTTGTAACGTTATAATGATGACTGCTCTCCACGCACGTTATTTCATTTTTTAAGACTTGAAATTGGAGGAGCATATCTGCTTTTAACAGTGAAAGTGGCAGTAGCATATTTGACTTTCACTCAACCATTTCCATTGAGTCTGTATAATTACTGACCCCTCTAATTCGCATTATGGATACTGCTCATAAAAAGCCAACAGCTATGTTTGCAGCGTCCCGGGACTTCCCACAACGTCGAAGAAGGCAGTAAGTGCAGCTGAATGCATGCATTCCAGGGTGGACAAAGGGACCAGACCAGACGATTCTTTAAGCAAATGCTAGACGTCAGGTTGTCACGTGAACAAAGTACAACAATCTTCCCAGCGTACGAATGGATACAACGTCTTGTTGTTTTCGTTTCAAGAGCATTGAGAGCTCCCCACTGGTGCATTTACACATTGCAACATTCCCTACGGACCATACAAGTGGTCCTCCACCCTCTTTTACGATGGTACTGCACTTTCCCACAAAAGGCTCTCAAAGCTGCATTATTCACCCAAATGTTTGACAAATTACTCTCGATGGGCTTAACATAAATCTCGATTTTGGTGACAAAGGTAACGCACTTAAACTGCAAGAAACATCACGTACCATGCATACGTAGATTTGAGGATCAACTTATAAACTCGCATTTCACAGCTCCAGAAACACTCCTAACGAAAAAAGCTCGAAAGACCGATATGCTCAATGTAAGGGAGGAAGGTTCACCACAAAGTATTGCGAAAGTTCCTTCTACTTTACTGACTTATGATATTCTGGCGGAAGACTACAGTCCTAAGGCCTTGGCAACTGTAGACTTCCTCCTACAAATTTCCAACAAACCTATTGTCATTCTAATCATAAATGAGAGAACAGAAACAAAAGCAATGAATCACTGCTCTTGGAATAATGAAATGTTTTTCATTCCTGTTATAGGACAAACCGTAGGCCTTGTAACTGTCAACTCAATGGTCAAAAAGAGCGTAGTGTCTGATTGATGCAACCCCACTTAACATCCCACAACGAATTGTCAAGGAATGAAAACACCCCATTTTCAACGCATATATTCCAGCAGAAGCGGAGTACTGCGTAATCATTTTAATATCCAATGGCAGAAGTAAAGAAATAGGCAAGTAAAAGAGCAATACATCTTCGCACACATACACATCGATAAAGTGGAGTGGTAAATAGTTGCCACGATATGTTTGGATTTTATGGGAATCTTGTGATCAGTAGCATTGTTCCGCGGACCAGACCAGCAGCTGGACAGCGGACGCGAAGCGTCCTTTCGTACAACCCGTTGCCGCTGACGCTGCGGTAGCAGCAAGACGTTTTCGAGCTGTAGTGTTGGTGGGATCTCCGGAGTCTGCAGCGAGTCGGTGAAGAGTATTGACCAGAGTGGAGCGAACCATCGCACCGAGGAGAGGCGAGCTGAGCAGCAATCCCGTAGTAAGTGGACCTGCTTCATGGCCAAGGTCGTGGAGACGCAGAAGGCCGAAGCGAAAGAGACCATTGCTGGACAGTGGATGAACTAATACCACCAAACTACAGGAGAATTTAACCTCGAGGGCGGTCACCAACGGGTTTGATAATGCAGGTGTTGCCAAAGTTGATTCTGTTGGGTTATCAACATTGCCTTTGTTTTCACTAGCCCAGCCAGGAATCCAGAGCGCGTCATCCCACGACTCTAACCACAGAATTGCAGCCCGGAAATCCTCTGCTGAGGAGCGGTCTTCCAGAGGTTCTAAAACGAAAAAAACGACGATCTCAAAATTAGAGACTGCAAAGACAAACACTATCATCTTACTTTCAAAGCTACAATTTTACGAATCCTGCAAAAAATAGGCAGAAATTAACAGCAACCAATTATGCACAGAACATCGTACAAACTTTCTGAACTTTAACCACGTGTTCACATTGCACAACAATATTGCCTGCCCAACACTGGCCCCACTAAGCGTGAAATAAAGATCGGATTAGGTTTAAAGCCATTCCCGTTTCCACCGTCGCCACAAATTCCTCGGTCTGACAGAATGGTGTTCAGTGTACTTATTTGGAAAAGTAAACAATTCACTCAAACATAGGAGAAGGTAACAATGAAGCTCTGCACCTGCCAGTCCGTGCGCTTATACTAAACTTCTTTTAGCGCTTATATTGTCTTTGGTAACTGAGGAACGGAGTTGAAAGAATTACTTGAAAATGCAGCCTAACAGAAGAATAACATCACATCGCAGCATCTGAATTTTATGATAGGGCGTCACCGAAGGAAGGCGCGTCTGCTGAAGGTGAATAAATATGTAGATACCATGGTCAAGGTTCGGAGATGATTTGGTCAAAATACTATGACGAAACCTCTATTTCAAATCACAATCTATGCATGATTTTCCGCAATAGAAGTCCACCTACTTTTATTAATTTTTGTTCGCTGAGAAGGACACAACGCAACCAGCTCAGTGAAGGCATCAGCCCAGTAGAAGAAAATCTCTTCGCCATCGGGTACTTTCCATTGGAGACCTTCGACAGCATCACAGTCAACGCCAGCAGACCGTAGTCGCACATCAAATCCAGAGAGGTGTGCTGTGGTGGCGTCAGAGCGGCTTAACCGAGAGGGTTGAGACCGCTGTAGAGGCCCACACCAGCCTGGGTGCTGTGCGAATTCCACACACCAACCGAGAGAGTGGAGAAAAGACTGAAAGTCTTTCGACGTCTCTGTCCAGTACGCCTGTGTGCATAAAAAAGAACAACTCTGATTTACGATGGTTAAACTGCAGTTCAACTTCCAAGGCTGCACAACCTATAAAAATGAATAAAATTAGGAAGTTTGATGCGTCTTAGTGCGTTTCTACTTCAGCCATGCCAGGTGCTAAATTGATAGACCAAAGGTCAGTAAAATCTAGAACCATTAAACATCCCACTAGATGACACGACTCTGGATTAAAGCAATACTATATACATTTCAAACTGGAGCTATTTCAAGCTAACAGGATGATAGTTCCAAATAAATAAAACAATAAACACGCAACACTGAACACAAGTTAGCATAATGTATATTTATGTTATAGGAGGCTCACGGACAACGAGGAACCTCGGCAAAGTCATAGCCATAGTCACTTGTCTGAAATCATTCTTCTACACCGGTCGGGTGACAACCACATATCAGCAGTGCCATGACCATTTTTTAAAATTTGTATTAAACTAATGACAAGTCGCTTCCACAAGACAGGCGGTTTGAAATGAAATAGGAAAAGCAGACCTCACCATGTTGGAGATGACATCTTCAAGAGAAGTTTGGCCCTTCTTAACATAGAATACGAAGGCAGTGGCGCTAGACCTCTGACTAGTTAGCGATTGGTCATCCAACTGTTTAGCCAGAGAGGGGGAAACAGGTATGAGAGCCGAGGGTATAAGAAGGCTAGGGTCCACGCCTCCGCCTGCGTCCCGCGTGCCCGGAATACGTTTTTCGGCAGAAAGGTGAGCAAGAGGGGCAGCGGTGGAATGTGGTTGGGACTGGCTTGTGACATCGTTACTTCCAGCGGTGGTGTCTCGGGGCACGCAGAAGGAGTTATTGGGACCCTGCAGCGCATTCACCGGGACGTAGCCCAAGTGACAGGCGAGGAGATGACCTGAAGATATTTGATCAATCCGTCTGTAGTGAGGACCGAAAAGAAACTACGTTAGGGACACCGCATATCCCCAATTAAACTATTTCCAAACAGAGTAAATACCATATCTACTGAATAAATCCATATTTCCTGGCCCAGTAAAAGTAGTAGTTTTCAATCCCTCTTTCAGAGTAGCAATGGTCATAACGACATGTGTATGAAATTTGCATATCACGCACGATATTTCACTCTCATATTGAATTAGTGAGAAGCATAACGCACCCTAAAGTTTAATTAACACCAAGGCATGCCAGCAGTCAGGTCATTTTGAGCAAACAGAAAATAGAGAGTTGTATCGCTGTAAAGTAGTTCCCACCCTTTCCACAAACAAATCAATGAGAATAATTTAACGAGACAAGAGAGCAACATCACAATGCACCCTTTATTCAAAAGTCTGCGACCTTACCCCCTCTGGCTGGAAATACCAATGGAGGATGCCAATACTTCGACATATGCCTTCTCTGGGCAGGCAACGATTAAGACTTTGGACTTTGAAGGGCAGTTGCTATGCTTTGAACTATTAAAGTGTAAGGTTTTATGCGAGAGAAGAAGAGCGTTTGATAATAATGGAAGAACCTGTGGAGATCCTTAACTTAAGGAATCGAAATAACGTCTGGCATCAATAACTATTTTACTCCTACTTTCTATAGGAATGCAATTGACTGCCTTTCAAACTTTTCACAGCTCTCTAATACTACTACCATCTAGAAACAAGGTAGGTGGGCAGATAAGTCTGAGCAGTATGGAAGCAAAAACAAATCAACCAAGCGAGTTGACAAGGCGTCTTATAGTCGCAGGACCATTGTGAACCTCCTCCCTCATTAATGAATTAGCTTTTGGGCCAGCATTTTTTACCACTGGAACTAGTGATGTTGCTTTCAAATAACCAATTGGATGCATGAAAATATGATGATTAATGGAGCTGGTTTATTTAATAAGTACCGTCATATATCGTGGTGCTAAGTGATGGAGATTCATCAGAAAGAACGTTAGAGACGATACTCCAAAGAAAAAATGAGCTGCACTGCTAAATTCTTTTTTAAATCCAAGTTTTTTATTTGTTGGCACTTGGAGTTTCTGAGCTATGCCGATGACCTCACACCTCCCTTACTTTGGTAGTGCATATTTCACCCCATTAATAAGACTTCTTTCGCCTTCAGAGAAATAATGGTAAAATGGAAAATAAACAAGAATTTAAGATTTCCTCGAAACGATGGTCTTGACAAAAGCAAAAAGCAAACGAATTCATGGAGAAAGCAATTTCCTATATGTACAAAAGTAGAATCCACTTTAAATTGCAACCATGCAAAAAACTGCATTTAGCACCTTGTGGTACAGTCACTGCAAAGCATTTCATATTACCTGTGCGCCTACAAATAACCAGTTCAGAAAACCTCAACATCACCTTGGCAGTCTCTTTTACCATGCTACACACATAGGCGATTCAACCAAAGTTAGAACAGAATGTGAAGAAGAAGAGCCTGCAAGACATGCTAAAGTAGCGCAAGTTCAAAAAAGCCAGCTCAAAAGTACGGACCATGAAATGCCGGCAAACATTTTGTTATACCCAAAACAACAACTTCTCACAGTTTAAATTAGCCACTGCCTTACACTGATTTATCCAAGCTAGTGAGATTGCACAACCCATTTATGCCATAAAATGGCAAAACTTCTTTTCTCCACTTCTACAACCATCAGAAGTGACTTCGCAGGGCTGTAAATGGGAAAGTCTTCCAAGTCGTCACTGCACGCGTGAAAAAAACAACGGTAGAGACTTGAAGCAAGAACTTGAGAAGCTACAGTCAACAAGGATGAAAACAAAAATTAGTAGGAGATGCACATCCAAAAGGAGCCTACGGTATGGACGCATGAATTATAGGCGCCAATCAAGACTGAATAGGCTTGTGGACTACAAGAACCAATAAAACGTGCTCTTAAAGCAAGAGGCAAATAATTACATTAGGGAGGCTAAGGAGGTAATAAAAAAGAGGTTTGCACTACAAAAGAAAGCTTTAAATCAGACAAATATGAAGCTTGCCAATATCAACCATTCAGGTCGGGACAAAATAATTCATATGCCTTTGTCGGATAAATAATTTTGCAAAAAAAACCCAAAAGACTTGAAAGAAATGGTTTCAAACACACTTAGAGTGTGAGGAGACAGTTGGCATTTCTCCAGAGATTCTAAAAGGCAATGAGCTGTAACTACCCAGATGGCAGCTTAAACAGAAAAATCCTGTACTCAAGAAGCCCAAAATTTTACTCTTAGTAAAGCTTGGCAATACAGCTGTGCAGAGTCACAGAGCTTATGTTTAATTTCGTGTTCGCCACAATCCCGCATGAATTATTGGGACACAAAACCACAATAAAGCCAACCAGGCCCGAAAAAGCGCCTATTTCCTTAACAACTAACTCGACACCCATACAAAGCCCCGCATTGCTTGATATCATTTGATCGCAGGAGTTGGTCGGCATCCAACCATGGCGTTTCAAGGAAACCAATGAAAGGCGACCAAAACTGAACCAGGACTTGGCAGCGGATAAGAATGAATGTATAGAAGTGGGGAAAAAACTGACTGTTCAGGTCGGCATTGTTCCTCAGCGTTGGATGAATTAAAAGCCTTAATTCGAGCCTTTCGGATGCGCCGTCCGAGAGCAGCAGCACGTTCCGCCTCTGAGACGATGAGCGATTTGAGTGCGTCTACTTCCCTCCTCGCCACCGAGCCCATTACCGAATGCGCCAGAGTTGGCATCTCCTTCTCTCTGAAAAAGGTCGTACAGGCAGGTATGATGTTAATTACTGACAAAAATAGCAATATAAAACGAATTAAGGAAATTCTAGTAGGGCATTACACTTTCAAGATCTACGAATGAATGTTTCATCAGTGTTGCGATTAACTTCAAAACCCTTTTTTACGTAAAAAACTGTTTCCAATTCTCCTTATTTGTCATCGTTTGTTAATTGTTTGGATGTAAACAAGTTGAATGTTTTTGTGAGGTTTGGAAAAGAATCTGAAACCTCAGAAGCAGCAATAAAAGAATGATCGTTGCGCCCCAGCTATATTTTGGACATTTGTTCAACTCTTAGAGGTGTTAGCAGTCCGCTTCTGCAATTCTCTGAACGTCCTAACCTCCGCACCATGAATGGGCCTCATCAGTGTGCCGATAATAAATACTCGATCCTAGCATTATCCTCTTCTTCGCCCTCAACACATTCACAACTACCAAATCTATGTAAATGAGGTTAAAGGCATTAAGTCGCCACCCATTATTGAACGAAAAAATATCGCAGATAACTTACCACCCTATTGCAAATATCCATAAAATCTTGATTTGTTCTTAAAAATAAAGGCGGAAATGGCAGACTATGTACCAATTTATTGCCTTAAGCTAGCCTGCACAAAACCAAAAGTCTATGAGGCTGTCAACTGGTGGCCATAAAATATAATTTTTTTACCTACAAATAACCTCAGTTTACGCATAAAAATTGTACTATACAAATCTTGTTCAAAAAAGTTTAACTAAAGTCAGCGGATAACCGTGCAGATTACAGTTCTATGAGAGGCATGAAAAGGTTGTTTGAATGTTAAACAAATTAGCAAAATCTTGACAACCCAACATAAACAATTTATCAAAGTGATTGATGACAGCTCCGATTATCATCATCAAATAACAATAGAATCGAAAAAACCTTGCCTCTTTAAAATAATGTAAAAATCAATTAAATTCCACTTATGTAGGAATTTTGACAAACTTACGCCCTAACAAGCGGAATGTTATCCCTCGTTCTGGGCATGAAAGGATCTCCTACATCCTCCGACCGTCTAATCGGCCAGCTACTTTCGAGATAACTTTTAAAATGTCTAATATTCCTTGGTCGCAGAGTATTCGTCGTATCCTCCCCAGCACTTATTGGCTCATAACGAAGCTTCCAAGACCAGAGATGACGTCCAGAGGCATCGCGAAAAAAGGTAAAGACGGGTGAGGGATTCGTGACACTTCGCCGTAACACCGGTGGACCCTCGATCTCCCTTTTGTTACAGGTGTTAGAAGGAGACCTCATCGTTTCCGCAATACTCAGGAGTAGGTCAGGGGTGGTAGGAGCGGAGGCAGATGTAGTTGGGAGGGCGACAAGGAAGTGTTGAAAAGCGGAAGTAGAAGTGGCCGAGAGCTGGATGACCTGCTCTTCGGTGAGGCGACAAGAAATGGTCTCAGGTCCACCGGCCTGAGGGAAGGACCCAGCAGCGGCAAAGAGAGTGGTTAGGAGCTGTTCCGCTGCCTCATTTACGCGTTTCGAAAAGGGCATACCAGAGGGTAGTGAAGGACCCCCAAGAGAACCGACTATCTATTGGAAAATGGGGAAGAAAGGGGAAAGTGACTATAGAGGCAAGGAGTAAACATAAAATTCTGTAAATAAGAAGACATCAAGAAAGACAAAATTTAAACCAATGCCTTTGAATCATTCATCATCAGCAATGAATGTTCAAGGGATTGACTTAATTTTGTACGCACGGTAAAGAATGTACCACAAGGGGCAGTAAACATAAGAACAAGCACATCCAACCAATAAATATTAACAGTTGGAGCGAATGACCTCATGTCGATGAGTTTGAGTAGTGTTATTCAAGGTGGTAGGCAGCAGCGGTATTGTGCTGCTGAACAGGGCATATTTTGAATGAAGGTGTCGAAGTTCTTGATATCTGGACAACGCGTAATGCTGAATGACACACCGAACGTTCACAGCAATGGAGATTCATGTCTCCCTATTTAACCAATTTCAAACAACGACTCGTCATAGATTTGCATTGGCAGTTAGAAGCCATTTGCATAGATTCGTTCAATTTCTTTATACCTGGTGTTTTTCAGCTTTCTTTTTAACAGAATGTGACCTTCATTATTTTACGACCCTCGCGTTAAGCCAGAATTAACTCAGTCATTTAGCTGATTAGATTGTTCTGCTGAACAATTTCTTAACCAACAAAAGCATACAAATCGTACAATATACAAATAATGACAGCTATCAAAAGTCATTATGAACAACCAATCGATCAGTTTCCATGCCAAGTAAGCTTAGTATCGGATCTGTATACCCAGTAATGCTTTCATCGGTGACGTAGGTATCACACATCTTAGCCTAAAGGACATGGTAGCTTCAAAAGACACACCTTAGATCCGGATGGGGGCAGCGGAACTGTCTCGTCACCGAAGATGCCTAGTTTAGTGGTCTCAACAACGGCACGGAGGGTCTCCTGATCGTTAAGGCCATTTGGTTGGGCCACTAGCCACACACCAAGACAATGGAAAGCATTGATGATGAGGCTGTGCAACAACCGTGTGTGATCCTTCTTCTCACGCCGACACTGAGCTTCGATGAAGGCGCAGATGCTCTGGATACACCGGCGACCTGCGAACACAGGCAAAAAGTAGGAGGAAGGGGATGCTAGAACAGATTCTCCAGTTCTTTTCAAATAGTAATATTCCATCCATGATTCTAACTCCGACTTTAAAAATGATAAAGAATACGCCATACATCTACGGCTACAGGCTTAGGCAAGGAAGACAGGCTAGCAGCGACGTTTTGAGAGATTTAATGCAAGTCTATTTATAATAGTAGTGTCAAACTTAAAGCATAACACAAATTTCTACATTACTCATTAAACAGCAACGACAATTAGAAATAGTAGCCACTAAGGTAAAGCGACTTGGCAAGGGAGCCTCTCGTCACCAGAAAACGAAAAGAGGAAAAGTGAAGTCAACAAATGTAGTAACTTGTATTTTGCACAACTGATGTGTTAAGTTACCGTTACATTTGTGAGCAGTTTTGAGGCTTCAGATGCGTTCCTGGCTCATAAAGCATCAAAAGCCGTTCAACACAATTTTCAATATTAGGCGTGGGCAATTTGCAGCTGCACGCACATGTAGAGACCATAACTTGACATTGGACATTGTGAACTGTAAAACCCTACCGAGTGACGACAAAACAATTGCTAAATTAATCTACTTCAACGTTCGATAACATATCCTGTTAAAAGAAGGCCAACTAGTGACTCAGTGAAATCGAATCGTCACAAGACATGTCTGAAAGCAACTTACAACGAGCCAAACTGGGATGAGGAACATGAGTATTGGCCAACCCACTGAGGATGTCAAGTGCAAAGGAAGACACAGCGAAGTCGTTCGTCCACCGCCGTAAACAGATGCAAATTCTGTCTAACAGCAGTGCGTACAGACCAGAAGCTGTCTCTGAATGACAACAAAACATTACAAATGTGCGAACAAGACAAAAATGGAAAATACATTGAAAGATCAGCCTACCAACATTGGGAGAAGAGTCGACGTTATTAGGAGAGGGTTTCGATTTTGACTCCGGCGCTGAGAGTTCTACCGCGATCATATCCAAGACCAATGTATAGGCAGCACCTAGAAGGCAAACGCGGCTTATAGAATTGAAATAAGGGCATCGCAAAATGGTGGTGCCATGCTATGTAAACAGCCACCAACCAGCAAATGGGGACTCAAACTGAAAGTTGTAAAACAAACCGCGATTCGTACTTATCTTAAATACATTCAAGCACTGCTTTTAGCGCAACTAAACCCTCCTCATATTATGCCTTTGTCTTGCTAGGCAAAAAAACAAGCTTCATGCTTATGGTCAGCACCGACAAAGAGTTGTAAGAGAGCAGCAGGAATAGAATATGGTTTGCCACTACGCGAAATGGGGTAACAATCTTTGTTTTCACTGCAATACAAGGCAAGAACTTTGAAGGGTAATGTCAATCAAAATAACGTTCAGTTGCCTTCCGACTTCAAAAAGGTACTCAACGTACTGAGAAGCATTCGGAGATTATGTGTGTCCGTCTCGAAAGCGAGGAGTTCGCATAAAAGTTCAGCTAGTTTCAACCTTAGTGTTCGCGTAGTAAGAGTGCCCGAATCTGAGGATGCGGAGGAAGGGGACGATATTTCTGTCAAAAAGGCAACAGTACATAGTTGAAAGAAGTCACAAGTAGTTTATTCGGTTAATCATTTACTGCTACTCTACCGAGATTTAGAGGCAGTTACTAAACACACGATATCGACATAGAGTGGCGAGGAGTGTTAAGTCTGTGCTTACAAAGCTTTTAGCAATTCTGATGACGATACCCAGAACCATGATATACGGTTTGACCAGCTCCGTATTCACTTGAAAAAATGGTGACCCCTACTGGCCTTACTCTACTTTAGATTCAAACAAAATAAACACTTAGAGCATTCCAATGGAATACAAGGCCTCAAACCCGGAATCTCACTTACATATATCCCACACCTCTTCAGGTTACAGCAGTAAGTTAATGCGATTTGCAGCTTTTTCTATAAGCTATGATGTGGGCACTTCGTAGATTCGTAGAAGTGGATAAGTTTTGTGAACTTAACCGACACAAACTTGAAAAGACAAATGCCGCATTTTCCACCCGCTCAAGTGAACCTCTGTAATGACAGACGAACAATGAATTATCACCATTGCTATCGCAGCGACAAAGAAGCAAATTTACAACCTTCATCGAAGCACAAGTAAAAACGCCCAATAACCTCCTACATATGCTATTTTGACTCCAGCAAAATGCAAATGTTAAGGAGCAAAACCAATTTTCAGAACTCCTTACTTGATTTGACCTCATCGCTCGTCTCTGGTAGAGGCTGAATGAGCTGAAAACTTATTCTGATAAAAACTGACTCAGCAAGAAACGGAAGGGATGTTTGGCTCGATTTTCTTGACAATAAATGGTTAGTTAAATATTGACATGCCTTGGCATAATTAAAAAAGGAAGTAAGTTCCTTTTCCCACCCGTGAAATACCCATCCTTCGATCGCAAAACTCTAACACAATACAGAAATTAGTAAGGGAAAAAATTAAAATGAGAAGCCCACCTTGAAATTGGATGCCATCGAATTGGTTGGGCAGACACACCATTGAAAGAAGCTGATGTAAGCTGGCCCGCCGCAGAAGTACCATTGAGACGTACTCCGGGCAACTACACCAGAAACAAGTGGAATAGTAGAAATTTTAAGGAAAAGTATGAGTAGGAAGTATTACATAGAGCTCAAAATAAGACTGTTATCAGGTCGATTGTAACAGCCAGCAGTGAAGATGAAGAAGGAATAGAAGGAATTACAATGGCGCATTGGATTATGATAACTTGGCCCAGACTTAAATGAGGTGCGGTGCTTACGAAACCATGCTGACTTTCATGCTGTGATCGTAACTTCCACTTTCACTTTCTCAAGATTCAAACCGGTTAAATAAGTGAGCATCTGTGAATTCTTAAGGGGAGAGACCTGAAAAATATGGCACTGTGCCATCTACGGTTGGAATCAAGCACAAAGGAAGTCACGTGGAGTTAGAATAAGGATTCTCGAACAGCTTAAATTTCAGTGCGCTGCAAATCTACCCAAGTAATTCCTTATTTATTGATAGATAAGCGAGGGTTATTTCAAGAAAACCTGCTACACTTCAATATGTAGCAGATCAAATGGGATTAGGGCTGAGAAGACCTGGTGGGCGGCCTACCTACACTCCGAAATGGATTGGAGCAAAGATTGACTTGAAGCACAAGAAAACACTTTGAATGTACTATCTTATGGAAGCAAACGTGGATAAAACTCCAGCCTTAATTGTACCTCCCACAGGGCTTTATCGAGTCTAATCAAAAGAACCCGGAAACAAGAAAGCAACAGCGCGGCCTCCAAGCAAACTCAAGTCAAAACGAAAGGCGATTGATGAGGACGGTTATGTTGAATAACGATGCCTACAGATCATAACATGAAGGAGGAAGGTCACATTCTGCCGCAAGTGGTCCTAAAGATGACCGGCCAATTCGAGTAAATTTAGCCCCGGCTTTTAAACTCAATAGAAAGTTTGTGAACACTGCTGAATATTCAATGATACAGTTATCTACATTCCATCTGAAAAAGTGTCTTTATACAATGCTTAAAATTAGGACAGTTTGAATAAAGGCATCAAGAGTCAGGCGGAAATCTAGCTTTAAGCTTCTTGAGCTGAAGACGATCAAAATATTGACTTGCTAAAACCTAGAGGGGCCAACCATTTGAAGAGAACGGAGCTTTGATATCTCCACCATCTCCAAGGTTGAGCACAAAATCGAAGAAAAAAATTTGATAAAAGACATGCACAATCCATTGATTGGAGTGAATAATGAAAATCAGATGATAAGACAATACCCATAAGCAGTGGCAGAAAGGGGAGTAGGTGAATAGGGAGAGGTCGCCAGGAGACGTTTCAATAAGGGCGCACACTCAATGCAGAGTAAACAGTTTGTTCAAAGCTGGGATAACACGAGAAACTTCCTTCCATGGCGAATTCCATTCGAAATGAAGTCTAAATTTGCGAATGCGCTAGCAGATTCAAGTTCAATTATGGGAAGTGGTCAAATTTGAAGCCGGACTCTCCAGCTTCAGACAAACACTTGGAGCAAATGATAGATCAGACATAGGAACGGCTTCAACGGCTTCCTCACTGGCTCAACGCCAATAAGGAGCAACTTAACTCAGAAACGAGAACACCTAGTAATGCAAAATTGGTACTGCTATTGCCTGAAGTATCGCTAGTAAACTATCAAAAAAGTCGTAACATAGGTAGTAGCAGCTTAAAATAAAATCTTATTCTCCCTCTTGATGGAGAGTTACCCGATTTCACAGACATGAGGAAAAGCCACCGCACTACTAATTGCTGAAAATGTGGAACTAGAAGCACGATTAAAAGCATCTTTCACGAACAAGGGCACAGAATAAGAAAAATCGACATATAGGATAGGCGGATTGTAAATGGAGGACTCAAATCTGACGATTGCGATGTGGGCTGAGATGATTTATCAAAGGAAACCGTGAAATTTACCAACTCACATACTGATCGAATAAGACTGCGTTAATGCTATGGGATCAAATACATGTCACTTAAAATTTAAGTACTTATTTCTCAGAAACAACAGCATGAGATACACCGCACATTGGCTAACAACCATCACAAGCACTGTAAATAATGAAGGGAGAGCAAAACTTGAGACTCACACAATACACGGTTTTCGAAGCACCCACTGAGCAGCGTTGAAGAGGGCGGGTACAACCGAAGAGAAGCAGGCCGTGAGGTCAGCGCGCAACAGATCGGGCGCGTGAAAAAGGACGGTAGAGACGACGTATTCTACTTCCTGCAGATATACAGACGGTCAAACAGACACATTTGAGCACAAAAAATACATCACTGACGCCAAAAGCGTCCATGAATGCGGTAGCAACAACAACAGCAAGGGCAACGACCATTCATGAGAGGCGCAAACAGAGCGGCACGCCCCGAGCGACCCGCGCATTGGCTACCTGGTTGTCATGGTGATCAGAGAATGGCGTGCATAACTTGGCTTACGTAGTGGTAGTGTGAGTGGGATAGAGTAACCAAATTCCCGTCTCTTTTGTCAACGCTAGTAAAAATTCGATAGGAAAAGGCCTCTAATTATGTGCCTCCTGGAAAGTGAACTTTGATCGCATACGTCGAAGCAGGGTATAACCTGCTGAAGGGAGGTCAAAGGACCAGATTTCTCCCTGATTCGTAGATCGAAAAGGAAGGTTCTCCATAGTTTGCGTACAACACACCTAACAGAAATTGCGACATTGATGGTCTTGGACAAGTGTAATCCATTTGTACCCTCATCTGCGTGTGCATCAAGATGATAGGATCAATGAGATTTGGCCACCGAACTATTCAAACTTGAAACAATCATCAGGCAGATAAGCAAGATTGTGAATAAAAATATTATACGCCATTCCAACAAACTCTGCTTCCGACATCAAATATCTAAGAAGAAAAGTTTATGCGGTGTGCGACATGAATTACTTTAGTGACTCGTAATCTGTGAGACCCCTAAAAACTCGCGACGGTTCCCATGGTTTGCCATAATGAATAGATAGGCTTCCACCCATCGGCACATTAACAGTTCTTCAAATGCAGCATAGCGGCTTAAAATGTATTTCATTTAGGAAAAACCTCACGTTTTCTTGATAACAAAGGACATTTATGTGTTGATGTTGACGCTTTGATTCCAATCTGCCGCATTAAGATAGGAAGTTTGAGAGAGTTTGGCGACTAGAGGCCGCGTAAGTGAAAAGCAATTGTGATAAGCTAAATAGGCTACCGTTTAAATCTTTATTTCCTTTTCGAATGAACAAGTTACGTGAGACAGCTTTCACATTCAAACATAAGGCAATCGTGCCTCTATATGATGGTCTCATCTCGAAAACACTACCACTTCAACAGCAAAGATTACGCTTGCCTTGTTTGGAGAATTGTAGAGGGAGCTGTGTGTTTTGTAAACCAATCACTCAAAGGTGACTAAAGGGGGCTCGAATGTGACCAAAAAAGAGCAGTCAGGACTGGTCAATAGGTCGAGAAAGATCCCGTCTACTCAGAACAGTCAGAGACCTCGCACCGGTCAAATTCGATACTGACAAGCTCTAAGATTTGAAGTGAAATTAGGTGTAAATCCGCCCCCATCTTCAGAGTTTATTGACATTTTCTATGCATGTTCTTTGCAACGAAGCAATCACACAAAAAAAACTAAAGTAATGGGGAATCAAGTGAGACAAATGGAGAGACATCCGAGGTCAGACCTCCTCTCTCCAGTGACAAAGCGTTTCCGATAAGCGAAATTTAGGGCAGAATTTTATCTCAATGAGTAAGGATGACAGATTTTAACCACAGCTTAATAATAACACAATCAGGTAATCTTAGAGATCTTGAGAGGAAACAGCTTTTTTGAATGACAATCGACCGTTTGAGTTGATAATCGGAAATGAGGGTGCACAATAACAACATACCATTGATCATCTTAATTATTTTGAGGAAATGAGACTTGAAAAATTGCAGAAGCAGAGACGTAAGACAATAAAGGAGTTCAGAAATTTTTGTACTTTCACGCCCAAATTAATTGGAAAACACAGGCACACGCCGCATAAGACACAAGCTCAAACAACTTGCTAAGAAAATGTGGGCAGAATTTGTTTACAACTCGTAAAACCATACTGAAAAATTTCTGATAATGGACTCACGGGATCGAGAGCTCTAATGAGGCATATGTAGAAACGAGTGAGAAGGTTAAGGGTGATCTGGTTTTTTTGGGCGTATATGAAAATGCGACAAAGACAGGCCATAGCTTCGGCACGACCCACAAGGAAACTAGCATTGTCCACCTTCAACGAGCGCTCCCTGATGATTGTACCTGAAACGTCAAGGCTTAAAAGTTTTTACTTATAACAAATAAGTAGGCATTGAAATTGTAAAATATGGATAAGGAACCGATTGAACCGGCACTGGGCACAAGGATCGTCCTAGTAACTGACCTCAAGGTAAAAAAAGGTTCACATAGCTATAATTCATAAACGATGGTCTCATGCGGGCAAAAGTTCATCCAAAATCAAGGAAAAATGGAAGCAAAGAACCCGATAAAGTAGACAAGCTATTTGACGCGGAAGTTGAACGAACCCGCCTACATTCCTATTCATACAGTATTACTAGCCTTGAAATATAGGGTTCAAATGAATACCGACACGAAAGTGAACATCAATCATAAGAATCATAATTGTCTTAAGTAAGCATCTCTCTCCAGAAAGCGTGCTGATTACAAATTAATTGAATCATATTGTTTGAGTTCATCACAAATGCCGCGGCTCCTACTAAGTTGATTTGGTTAGGAATACCATCGATTTGCAAAACATACGTACTCCTCGATGCAGGAACCCATTCGTATAACTATGGTGGCGAAAATTAACAACATTTGATAAAAGATTCAGCCATGATGCCTCCACCGGTTTCGAACACCGTTTTAACTTCAGAAGCGATAAAAGATCTGCCTCTGTCTGTTCACCAGATGATATGGCCTTCCAGCGATGCCAATAGCTCATTGACAACACGTTTTACCTAGGCAACCTGCCATCTTTTATACCTATGGAAGTATCGACAACTGGGAGAAGTTGGTCAAATTCTACAAAGTAACTATTCCGACTTATATTACTGAAGAATGCGTGGGAAGAATTAAGATGTAGAAATGACGTCCATCCTCGATAGAAATCCGCCTCCCGATCCACTGAAATTCGATTATTAATTCAAGCGACACTAGACGTAGTCGCGTACCGATTGGAAAAGTGTTACATTTGACGTAAACACTCGGAAAAGAAATAGTTGCTAATTCTTTTCAATACAGATGCAAAACCGATAATAAATACTGTGTGTACCTTCTGTGTTGTGCCCCACAGCGGCCTCAAAGAGCCAAGGTCCCAGAAGCCGCATGAAGGAAGTGACATGGGGTCGATTGTAGAAACAGGTTACTAGAAAGTCGGGCTGTAGCCAAGCCTCGGCTACAGCCTGAGGGTTGATGAGGGAGGAAGGAGAGCTAACACTGCATACTATATCCGTCGACGAGGCGGCAGAATGCACGATCTTCTGTACTGAACTGTCAGGTGAGGGAAGGTCCGTGGATCCTGAGGGTTCAACGCTGACCTGGATCTTGTCTATGAAGGCAACAAAAAGAAAGCAATTTAGAGCTTCAAGCAAATGCTAGGATTCGTTTTTCATTACTGATGAACGATCGTGGATGGGCGTGGGCATGTTGCCTCAAATTACACAGGTTCAATGCTATGGCAGCTAACGCCAGACTGAAGCAACAAGGCGATGTAACGGAGGAAACAATCGAATTGGTCATAGCTCTGAAACAACCTCAAAGTAAACCGGAAACGGCGAAGCGATTATCCCATAAAAGGAAGAGGAAGGAGATCAATGAGAAAAACAACGATGCTAGACCTAGTATGTTTTAGTGATGAAATCAACCAGCATGTAACGACTCGTCACTGATACTACGGAAATTTAATCCGAATGCATACTTTAGTAGCACATGTACCACCTCACGAGAAATAGGTAGACGCCCGAATGACCTGGAGCAGTCTTGCCTTTTAAATGACCAAATAAGCACAGAGATGTCACTAGGCAGAATGAATGCAACAGCACATGGAAAAAAGGTTACAATTTAAATGGAAGAAACAAGGTGGTGAATACTAACACTATCTTGGCTCAAAGAAAGCACAAATTAAGATTCGATCATGGCTAGCATCCTATGACAGGTGCGAATCAAAAAGTATGGGGAACAACTGTTTAAATACACAATTTTCCACCCAAATTATCCTTGAAGAGCTTTGATCTTTGGGACCAAATCTAGCTTGCGGGACTTGCGTAAGGAGGACATGTTTCAAGGGCTACATGAGAATGTGCCCGAAAATGACCCATATACAGCACATCTGCGCCATTTCACTTCCAACGCATCACAAATCACAATGTCTACTTTGAGTTCGAGAAGCGGACCTTTATCAGAATATGCTAATAAGTGAAGAAGTATGAACAAAAATAAGTTGATATGCTGACAAATCAAAGCAAGAATAGCATGGCTTTTCGAATTGAATTAGAAATATCATATGAATCAGTTGAATTAGAGGAGACTGATCAGCTGGTATTTGATGAGCGAGCGGATGTAAGGGGAAGCAACAGTTGGACATAAATGTCCTCTCCTCGCCGCAGGACAGGCTAACAGTTAGGATAGGGGTGGTGTTACCAGAGCCTCCGCTTAATTCTCCTCGAACACCTTGAGGCATTAACAGGGACAACCTAATTTAATAGCAACCTGGGTAGAACGCGCAGACGAGCTGCTTCCTACAGGACAAGAATCTATAATTTCCTCTAAAATGGTCAATCCCATTGCCAACCTAAGGAAACAGAACTTGATAATAAGATTCGATAAAAATAAAGCCGAGGAGCTCATATTGAGTCGAAGGCATACTGGTACTGAAGCAGTCGAGAACGAAACCAATACTCACTCAGAAAATAAAACTACCCAATTCTTTACAGGGTTAGTGATTCCACTGAGCTCTTCGAAAAAGCGGGCAGAAGTAAGCTAAAGTGCTCGTGATTTACAGTCAAAGAACTGAGAAAGACGTTGGGCAAACGTTCGATCAAGGCAAACGAAGCAGTAGTGAAAGGCCTACTGGTAAAGTTGATGTCTGGCGAGCGGACTGAAGCGTATTGGAAGTACTCGGGTACATCGGCAAGAGGCCCGTAGAGGCTCGGCGGCACTCCAATGAAGGTAGAAAGACAGCCAGAAAGGGAAGGTGCAATACCCAGGAAGAGGTCAACCATTACTGACAGGCTCCGCATCACATGGTGGAAAATGGCAGGCAGGAATGCCACTGTCAGACGACAACGTGCTGCTGCGTTTGAACGTCTAAAAGGATAGACGCGGAGAAGCACTTATGAAAGGCTGCCTTTCATGCTTTTTACTCGTGAAGTTAACCAGACATACACATAATAGTGTTTAAAAATTATTGGATTGAAAGATAACACATTTAGTTTGCGCGTTTGTCTTTAAAGTAGTCCAAAATCACATTCCAAAGACTCAATCTTAGTAATTACCTGAAATGCTCAAACACAGCAGTGTGTGTAATCTCTGCAGGATGGCACAGATCTACAGGATTGCCAAACAGATGGAGCAGAAGGAACCAGGAGATATTAGTCACTTCCTCCGGAAGTTCTACCATAAGCTTGCGACTCAGTAAGGGTTCGAAGGCTGTAAAGAACGCGAAAAGAATGGTAAGGAACACAAAAGAGAAACAATAACTAAAAGAACTGAACTACCGGAGAGAGGTGGAAGATTAAGCGGGCAGACTTTGGCAGTGTTTGCCATATTGCCTTCCTCAAGTACGCTTGGAGGGTAGGAGAGCTCGATGACACCCTGGGAACGAATTAGACTGCAGGTAAAGACGACTAGAATACGAGACCAAATGTAACTCAGACCGATTCTATGCCTTGAGACGTAACAGAGCTCCCGTAGACCCTGCCAGTAAGCTGGAGAAGGGTAGTGATGACTAAGGGCGCGAATCCATACTCGGTTGAGTAAACCAACTACCAGGCACTCCAGTTGAAGCATTCCGCGGGCCCCGGGGGACTGAAAGAGGGAACGGACGTAAATTGTTAGGAGCGTTTAGTGTTTTAAATAGCAACAAACGCGACACAAAACCCAGCTAACTTTCTTCATCCACGACATTTTCGCTTTCGAATTAATAGTATTTTGTGGTAAAACTACGAAACTTAGTGTCAAACATTTAAAGACAGTGACAAGTTTGCGTTGGTAGTTTTAACTGGCATGTTGCATAATTGGTAATGCTAGTTGCATGCAATCACTATTTGGGAAACCTACTGACCTCAATTTAAGGTACTACGAGCCTCGAAACAGAGAACCTGAATAGAAAATGAGAATGATGTCAACTTTGGTTATGCATACTAATGCTTAGGCCTCCTCAAGTGAGTTCTATTGAATATAGTGACAGAGATGGCACGAGACGGCATTCAAGCCAATCACTTGCGCGTTCGCAATCTCACTTTGTTCTATGATGGGCGTAACCAAACTAAGATGCCGATCGCACCTCAAATGAAGGGGGCAGAAAAACAGGTTCGTCAAATCTATACTGTAGTAGTTAGCAAACTGGATATGATTAACGCTAAACTCACATTAGACACTTCTTGAAGGCAGGTCAATTAATGGCCTGCAAATATGAGTTCTTCGCGTCTTGTTTTATTTGACGAAAACAGAAAAAGAAAAGTGAGCGTTGAGAGGCCGCGATAACTTCAAACGTAGGCTATTAGGGTGCTTTGAGAGAGTTTTAGTCGCTTTCAGATTACATTTTCGTGATCAATCAGAAAAGCAGCTATATTTCAATAGCACAACAATGAAGCAATACCACTTGGATCCAGTATTGCGCACAAAAGGTGATTACCTCATGGGGAAGGTGAAATAACGCTTGCTAAATACCAAAAAGCACCTCCAGTCAGCAAACATTCGAAATTACAAATAGCTCGAAGAAGGTTACACCAAATTCCTGGGAAGCAAAAGCAAACAGATAGGCAAGGGTTTCAGGATAGTGCTTTTTCGATTCAAGATACCAACGTTGCATGTTTAGAAAAGCAAACATCCAAAATCCTGTGAAAACCATACTACTTCATAGCTAAATCACAAAATTCAAATAGGTAAGACGACTACCTGCGAAAAGGCTCGCGAGTTAGTGACGGCAGAGTACTCAATCTGAGGAGGTGGAGCAAGGACTGCGTAGCAGATGGCCAGACAAAACTCTAGCAGATTATCCCAGAGGGATGCGGTAAGAAGGTGCGAGGTGAGGAGGATTTGCTCTACCCGATTGATGATGCGTGAAACCAAGGGGATATACTTCTCTTGTAGCCAACGCTCCCCGTCTCCCACCACCATGCCAGCATTCGGCTGTACAACTCCCAATGCCGCGTCTAAATTCAGAGGGATGATGGAATCCGGCATGTTGATGAAAGTCACTTTTGAAAAAAAGTTAGGTTTGTCTCTTCCTATAGCCACTGCAGAGTCAACTAGTCCCGCATCCTCAATACGCCCAAAGCATTAGTACTGCCGAACTCGGAAATCCTGTGATTTATTCAGATCCTTGAAATTTATTTTCAACTGTTTTGAAAATAAAAAGCGCTCAACAATGTCGACGTAAAGATATGAACCCCAACCTGCACCCTCGGTGGCACAGAAATACAAAAAGAAAGAAATTATTACAAAGCTCACCGTAGGTTCGCTTCACAGTAAGCGCTACTAAACAACTTTGCTTTAAAGTACAAATATAGCAGCATCCAAATTTTGATAGTGATTAGTAAATGAATACCTATTACAGAGCTCATCATTTCAGTTGCAGAAGATGCTCGAAATTAGTTAACTCACAATAAGACTCCATAAAAAAAACGCCCATAAAGGCGGTAATCTAATGTGGAAGAATTGCACAGACGTCAATTTTTGAGTAGGAAGTGGCTTTCTGACAGTTCGGCAGCCTGATCCTCTGCGCAATTAACATGAGAATTCCTACTTGTACCACCCATCTAACTTCTTCCCCTCTAGAACAAATAAGCTAGGAAACTCGTATGCAGTGCAAAGCCCTCGGGAGGAACCAGAGCGCCGAGACCATTTTGAACAAACTATGACAAGGAAAAGTCTCATAATGACAAGAGGGATCAGGAGAAATGATCCCATCAATGGTTGTTTCTCATTTCGGACATGAAAAATCGGCGTATTAAGGTGTAAGCTCAGATTTTTTTCTTTCAGGACTTCTTGCTTAACAGTTATTTAGCTGAGTTTTCAATGCTTCTATTATAACTCACCTAATCACCGTCTTTGAAAAAAACCTGATAAGACATTTCGTCGTGGAGTTTGGAGGTGTCGAAAAATCTCTAATCTGTTTAAGTACTGAGAATCAAACAACTTAGGGGTCTCATCATTTTCGCACGATTTGAATCAAAGCATTGATCAACGAAATAGTAGATACGATGTGAATTGTTGTTGAAGCGAGTAAGCACCGGATAAATCAAATTTTAGTGCTGTCAAGAATTAGGTGGATATGCTCAAAGAAGGGTAAAAAGGTTTAGGGAAAGGAGAACCAATAAAGGAGACTGGTACTACCAGTATTGCGGTCTCACCTCGATCGAATTGGCGAGTCTTATGGCATAATTTGTAACATCCTCCCGCAGTTCAAAACAGGGGTTTTAAGTTATTAATAAGGCTCCGCCTAACAATAATTTAACCTGCGGTCGTGTAAGGTCAGAGTGAGATAGTGCCACCTTGTCGATTGGACAGGCTCAAGGCCCCTAAATGCTGGTCTCATCATTACCTTGAAAAATGAAGTGAAACTTGAACAGGATGTCTTTTAGGACATTATGTTTTCTGTCCAAATTTCCGCGATGAGTATGAAACGTGGTAACGCTATTTACTCACTGGACCACACTGACAACCAGTGAGAAGCTAGGATCAAGACAGGCAAGGATCTCCTAACTAGCTGTAGCAAGCGTCGTGAACTAGGCAGGACCGTTCAACGTCTTCACTCACATCAAGGAGGACAAGTGGCGTCGACTAAGAGGAACTTTGGTAGGCATGCATCCTGATTTGCATTCTGAAAGAAAATTGAGTTTTTCCTTAAAATACTGATGTACTGGGACGAGTTCATATCGATGCCGAGTTTAGTTGACGATGGCAGAACATTGTACTAGGGTTACACTTGACACCCCCATAGCTCTCTCAAGCTCTTGATTAACGTCCAATTGTAGATTTTATTACATCAATCAAGTCTTTTAAGCGGGTACAACAGGTTTCCATTAGAAATACTGTAGCCAGATTCTATCATGCAATAAATGGACTCATTAATTATACGATGTTAGAGTGACGATATGTGACAATGAGATAATTAGACTATGAAGGACCCGTAAGGGTTTTGATAATTCCAGTTTACTCCGCAACTACTTTTCAGGCCATTAGTTTGTTAAATGCCATTTCACACTAGACGTTTGAAATGGCGCACAAAACTTTCTCAAAACAATAATTTCAGCGTAGGAAAGACGGTTTAACAAAAATTGCACCAACCGACACAAGTGGAAATCATGTGGTAAATTGTCGACACATAGGCAATGATAAGTCATCTCAAGATTTGGAGATGGCAGTAACACTACTTTCCTCAAAATAATAAACATGTTGATAACTTTCTGAAAAACTAAACTATAACTTAGCTCATACCAGTGAAACTTAAACAAACTGTATGCAGATAGCTGCAAAACAACAGCCAGAATGAAGCCGATCCCGGAGACGACTTTAAAGTGAGCAAAATTCGATATTATACAAAACTTAATGGGAGATTTCAATAAATACTCAAACCAGACCAAATCGAGTCGTGAATTTACAGCAGGTCCTATTACTACCGTTCGGAACGGGCCAATCCAGGCACCGTCAACCAGGCATGGCAGATAGCAGCGGAGGTGGTGCGCGAATGCATCACGACTTGGCGATGAGCACGTTTATAGTGAATCATTGCGTACCTAGCCATTGAGGAGTTGCAAATTTTTTATCTTCGAGACCTAACTCACGTGAGTAGTACCGCATTCAAAAACTCAAAGCACGAGTTTATTATTGCAAGTTTTGCGTTACACAGAGAGCCCAGCTTGAGAGGTAATGGAAAATACGCTTTTAGCGCTTTAGAAAGAGCGTTGCTTAATTGAACCACTTTGTGCGTGACTAACAACACCACCAAAAGCCGACTACAACCAAGTACAAAGTCATGTCAGTTTAACAGTTTAGAAAATATCTCCGTTTACCATTCAAGAATGTTTGACGGATATTAACCCCTTAATCGAACCCACACAGACCCTAAGTTCCATCTGAAGTCAGAAGAGGACATACCATTAAGGCTGAACAAGTATTGTTCATGGATAGGAGGGCCGAATGACCTATTGACACAATCCAGAGGTACAATTGCAAAGTTGTAAAGGCCTGAGTAACCAAAATAGAGGTGCCGGTGTTACGGTTTTATTATCCGTACTGACTTTCAGCAAAGGCATTGATAATGGCAGTGGAAAGGTGTCTATTCCCTTAGAAAACCACAATAGCCCGGAGAAATACAACGTAAGCTAAATATTACATAGATAAAGCTGCCAAGGGTCGAATACGCAATGCGTTTGTCTGAAAAAAACGAATAATCTTATGTTCCATCGATGCGGAACAGAAGTTGACAAACGAACAAACTGCATTGAAAGTAAGCTGGGTGCAACACAACTCACCAGTGCATTTATGTACAGATAAAATGAACATTGTCAGTGATCATAAAATATCTAATGGTACCAAATCCTAAACACCACTAACCTGAATGTTTGCGCAATCGCATTATGCCAATAAACCCGCCCCGTAGTCCGAACTAAAACTGGCTGGGAAGATGGAATGACATGGATAAAACCTCCACGCAATGACCAAGCGTCCCCACCATATCGCAGACGTATGACACCCAAAAGGGCAAACAAGCAAATCCAAATCTAGTAAAGTTAAGTGGAGAAAGTGGAGACAACACACAGCTACAAAGATGGAGGCTAAAAGGATGCCTACGTATCCATTCTCGTTTAAAAAATATCGATAGCAAAACATATTCTCATTAACTAGATTGCGGAGATAAAGAAGTAAAGAGGTTCATGCGCTTAAGGGAATGAATAAGTGATTCGTATCCTCAATCCGCAGGCACATAAGATGGATAGACGGACATCAGCAAGTCCTCTTTTTGACAGCAAGAGTTACGCTGCCAACGTGAGCTTCGACGTGATTTCTGAAGCAGCTCTTCATTTTCTATCCTATCCTACAAAGGAGCTCTATGAACAAAAAGCAAACAAGCAGTGGAATGTTCATTCAAAGACTTAAGGACAAACTAAGTGATAACAATCCAGCTTTATGAAAGAGTGAATAAGACAAATAATCATATTTATTCATCAGCACTACCTATTATAGCGGTGACTTCAAAATGAAAAGGTCTTCTTTATAGTAACCATCAGACAAAAGTAAGCCCACTACATAGTCAATAAATTGTTTCTACCGAAAGAATCTTTCATTTGAAATGCCAAGGCAGGGGAGCAAAAGAATTTGCGTCTTGATAAGAGGGACTGAATAATGTTATCTTAGCCTTCAATCACAGCCGATAAGATCGAAGTTGCAAAACTTCGAGAATAGAAGATGAGTAAAGGGAGGTCAACAGCAGGATTAGAAGGTTTGGGTTGCGTAACAAGAAAGGAATGAGGACCGATGCGATAGTTTACTAATTTAGGTGTCAAAATAGGCTAGAATTGAATGAGAACCTCATTTAATTAATCAATCATTCATTCATTCCATCGTAAAGATTGAAGCTTTAAATAAAAAGCCACAACTAACCTACAAAGGAGAGAGCACCAACTCACTATGCACAATCTCTTCTACAGTGTTATTGGCAGAGATGCCAGCAGCAATACAAGCGTGGTCGGGAGGGTCTCGAGGCGGCTGATGGAGGAGAGAAAAGATGCCTCCTGTTGGACGATCCATAGGGGCACGAGGCGCGAAGAAACGACAGAGGGCAAAGAGCAGGCGACGCGCGTACACCACGGGACTGGCATGAAGAGCACGCGGGATGTGCACGACCCTTTGACTTTGTGCAGGTAGGAGGCAGCTCAACCATTCACAGCAGAGGTGTACGCTGTGCGTCACTATGTCCCAGTGTTCAGGAGGCATTGTCAATCCATAGTTGACAGCCTTTAGTAGTTGGGTGGAGGAGGTGGTAAAATAAGCGAGCACTATCAATGTCAGTAGTCCTTCTAAGGGTTACTGCTAACTACGGTTTTCCTTAAAATGACCTGAAAAGTAGAATGAACGCTGCGATAGTGATAATGGTGCGAAACATGCCTTGTGTTTTACACCCTGCAATAGACAAGGTTGCTCAGATTGATTCCCTGAAAATCCATCTGATTACTAACTGGCAACAGCACAATCATTACCCACCTGCATAACCCATTGCAGATCTGCTTCGGTATCAATCTTGACGGAAAAGCGTTTGGAATGTGCCTCCACAGTTGTAACCTTGGCCTCAGTAGCGTTAATGGCATGACGACCAAGCGGACGCTTATGGAGTCCTGGAGCAGCCAGTGGTGCGGCATCCACCGGCACTGTTGCTCCTACCACCACCGCCTTCTTGCAGGAGCAGTCAGCCTGTCAATAAAAAAACAGAGTAACTTTGTCGCCTTCACTTATGTGGTCAAACATTAAACAATTAAATGCTAGATTAAGCTTTTAAATGGCTAGTAGACAGTTCAAAATAACTGCCACTTGACTTATTCAAGCCACAACTGAGAATAACTTATAAAAACCTGTTTGGGAGGTGAAATGAATAAAAAAATGCAAAGAATCAACTTAGCATAGAAATGAAAACGGTCTTGTAGGCGGAAACAATGACAGCCCAAAGCGAAAACACACAAGCCTAGTTTGAGATACGCTAAGCGTTACGCTCAACTACAGGTCCGGCTGGAAAGAAGTAGAACAGTGTCGGTGTAAAACAATGATAAGTGGGAAGCAAATTACTTTAGGTGTTTAAAATACAATATTTTTATAGAATGAGCCTAAAAAGTCGTCAAATAAAAACTCTGACAAACCAATCCAAAAATCGGCGCAAGGGCCAAAAAGTGATTATTATTTTGAAAGAAAAACAAGTTAAAAGAATGGGCTTACCGTTAAACTAAGAACAATTTCTCGAGCTGTGATGCTGGCCGCTTCCGTTGGGAATTGGGATAAAATGCTCCTCTCGTCAATGATGCTTTTCTTCATTTGAGCAGCGACAACATCCCAACTGTCGCTGTCCATTGCAAATGAGACCGTGGCTTTACCCAGTTGCTAGATGTGTGGTGAAGCTAAATAAAAGCGTTCCAAGGTTAGTCCATTGCCATCAGTATTAGTAGTCAGTAGTTTCGCACATCCAGTCACTGGGTGGAGAAATATATTTTGAATTTATCCAAAGGGTAGAAAACAACGTGGGCGAACAAATAGGTTCGCTGCCAATTTAAATAGGTGACCCAGCGTTTTGCGAATCGCAGGCACCTATGTCACAAATCAATTGACTAGCTATTTATAGCTAATGAGCTAGGAGATTTCCCTCAATGTTCTCAGCTAAAAGACAAAAAGGCACTAAGGAAAAGCCGTGAAGTCCAAAATAACCTCTCCTCATTTTTTACTTTTAGCAGTGAAATAGTCAGATAAGTAATCGCCACATACAAGCACGCACCTAATCGTTGTTTCAAGTGAACCAAATCAAGCATTGTTAATCGAGTGTTTCTGTGAGGAACAATTAAACCCTATGCGGAGAGAAGGAATCAAATAAAACGAAAGGAAAAGAAGAGCATATCCATCAATCCGAAAACTACGTGTTTATAAAAGCAGACCACTGTAGAGGAAGTGGAAGATGCAAAGTAAGCTCAACCGAGTAAGAGATATCGAGAATGACAGAATTAGAAAGAGTTACGGCACGAATCACAGGGCGAAGGTGGAAATTAAAATTTACGGCAACGAACAAAAATTGTTTATGCGTGTGCCGACTTCAATGAATCATAAGTGAGGGCAGAAAGAAACAACCACTAAACTATGCAGTGAAAAAACCAAAGCATAATGCACACGACGATACTTTCTAGAGCTTCCCAAAAATGTGATTGATGAAACGGGAAAGGGAAGACCGTGTGCACTGATAACGAGCCAGCAAATGAATAACTAGTTTTATGCGATTATCTCACTGCGTTGTGGGAAACATTCTACATTAAACGCAAGACTCCAGCTTCATGCTTGTAGGACGCGCATAACGCCTGTTTTTGGAAAGGCATTACTACGCTGCTTGTTGTACGCCATATTTAACGGTATAACGTTGAGGAAAAAAGATCTTGTATTTGTTAGGCAGTGCCATGAAAGCATTCGAGTATAGCAATAATTTGAAAACCAAAACAGTCAGAATTATCCATTACTGAAAACGTACGGAACGGCGCGCAGTCGGCAACTACCTAGGTAAGTCATAAGGTCCACCAGAGCACACGTTCTTCCAAACAAATCATGTAAATTAATAAGACCACAAATATACTGCGTCATGAGCAATAAATGATGCGAATTGGTCTTTAAGTCAATTAGAGTAAGGGTAATATGTTCTATTAAAAAATATAAAAGCAGCTGTCTTTCTGTTAGCTTCACTTTGGCGGACCTCGTCTGTGGTTTGGATTTTTGGGTACCCTGTTTAGACGAAGGTAGCAAGAAGGAGGAGAAGGCATTTGGTCTCTGGCAAAACCTAGTGTAATGGTTTGTTTATGTGACTATCTGACGTTTGGCAGTCACTTTAGGATTTGTCTGGCCCTTGTACTCGTGAGCTGGTCGTCGGGTCATGCTCAGGTTCAGTTGCTCTGTTGCCTTCGGATTAAATGTACCCAGCCTCACTCACTGTCTCCTTCCACTCTATGGGAAGTCTCCTGATGCTACACCTAGGAATTTGTCTAATTCTTCAGAAATTCTATTCATCTCTGTAGTCCATCAGACTGACTAATCTGTAAATTTGACTACTTTTATGAGCAGATGTTAGAAAAATATCCGCTATTTAACCTCTGAGTAGGTTAGCTGCAGGACAGTGGCAAAGTTTTACCCCATATTTTGTGCGTGTAAAAAATTTCCAGCCATAACTCATGTTTCCCGTTAGCATACATCAAGTTACAGGAACTTACATTGGTGGCGCAATACATACTGACTGTTTGCAGGGTACTTAGGGGGTAGAGAGCTGGAGATTTGGTTCAAATACCGTGCAAGTAGTACACGACGAGCTTCCCGGTCTAGCTCGGATACCTTGTCTCTTCTATCCCTTTTGATTGCATCGGCATAGGAATGCCTAACAAAATATGAGCGAATTATACTCCTTCTAAGAAGGTCGTGATGCATTATAAGTGGCCCTGGAAAGCGAACTTGGCTTTGTTGATGTAATGTATTATAACTTTCCATTTGGAAGTAGAATACTGTAACTGCATTGTCCCGAGACTGTCCACCAGGTGGAAGAAGGCATTAAGTTGTGCTGATCTTATTCCGTTCCGGGGGAAGAAAAGGGATTAATTCTGAGTCACCGAACATCAGATAGTCACACATGCAAAGTACAATAACACTACTTTGCTCATGCAACTACCTTCTTAAAAAAGACCACTTGTACGACCACCATTTAATTACCGCGCAATCGAACCAGGTCACAGCTACGAATTCGCCATGTTTGCCTGCAAAGAAGTATGTCTACTGCCTTCTATAATCGGATGGGAGGTCTCAGGACATAACATAATTATTTGATATGAGTGAATACTCTCTCCATTATCCTTACTCAAAATCACGATAAAAAAATAAGAGTTGCAGCGTTTAGAGACGTTCTACCTGGTAGAATAAGGCATTAGTTAAAATTGATAAATGCATTCATGAGAGAACAAAGGGACTAAGCCCGAGTTCGGCCTACAGGTCGGTCCACGCGTACAAGAGACAGACGAATCTTAAAGTAGGGGTTAGACATCGGGCGGTCGCATAAACAAGGCATTACGAAAGCGACTGCCATTCATGCAAGTGAGTGGGACTTTGAACTCTTCCGCTCACCAAATCTCTCTTGTTTATTTGGCGCCTTCAAAGAGGTACATGCAGTAAGAATTACGGGTACAGCAAATGGATATTCAACCAATTGGTGAAAGGATCCTTGTACTCCACTTGCACGGCATTAGAATGGACTTCTTGTCTCCCAAAGAACAATTTAAGTAACCAATATGAACCACATTTTTTACGGCACATAACAAGCTTTTCGGCGCGAATTAAGTGTTTATAATTTGGGAAGTGGAATCTATTAATTCTACTCAAAAGGAGGGTTAAAAACGCCATCTATGGTAGTCCTACCATAACTGAGATACGTTGTTTGTGTGACTAGTGGTCAATTTGGAATTTGTCTTACCTTTGTTTAAGGGAGGTGACCCGCTGAGCCGAACCAAAGCCTACTACTACTTTTTCCATAAATGTGCGTTTTCAGATCCACTTAATAACTTCTTATGCCTAATGGGAAACCACTATCTCTGGATTGTTTCTTGATAGGCCTCATAAAACTCTGTCTTCCTTTCGGTGCTGCCTTACCTACAAAGCCATTAAAAGCACGGCATTTGGGATACCAGTTCTCATCAAAAAGACACTTGTAGAACGCCTTTCATTTCATCGAATTTCGGCAAACGTCGCCATAGCTTTCCGCCACTTTTTACTATATTATAGGAGACATTATGTGGAGCCAGACACATGTATGCAAGGTGAAGATGGTGATATTTAATCTGTTCTTGGATCCAGTAAACGCGTGCAAGAGCCAGATAAATACAAGTGTCAGTTAGTTATACAGGAGATCACATGAGCAAAGTATAACAATCTCAAGCTAATAGCTGTATTATTTTATGTGACTCACCTATGTCTGGCGGATTCTTTGTGATTCACCTTGCCATTGACACGTGGGCTGGCTCCCGGGCCAAGCTCAGGCTTAATCTCTTTGCCCGCCCTGGAATGCATATACCTCGCTCCGCTTAATGCCTTTTTCTACCCTGTGAGATGTTGGGGGAGAGCTACATTGATGGCAGCAGAAAACGAACCTGCCATTTTTAACGGCTTTTATCCTAGTATATACCATTTTGTCCGTATCTACGGTGTGATTTAGACAGATTTGCACTGAGGGCGAAAGGATCTCTAAAGTCTTCACAACGAAAAAATTGAAAATGGCGTCTTGTTGCAAAGATATGGTAGCGCCGCTGGTTCGTGGGTGCTTTCTCGTAGTATCGAATATGTTGCGATGGTTGGCGCGAGAGATATCCTAAGGAGAGCGTCGAGGACGTCGCTCAAAAGAAAAGGCAGTGTAATACTGCAATTATGTGACCATCAGATGTCTGGAGATTACTTTAGGATTTGTCCGACCTTATACACGTGGGGCTGGCCTTCGTTCCAAGCTCATTCTTCACCGCCATGTGCCCATGAGTACATGTTTTATCTCCATCAGTACCCTCTTCTGGCAGGCGGGAAATCTTAAGATTTCACGAAGATGATAAATTAATTAATCGACCGCAGCCCCTTTGATATTGATCATGTTTATGTGGGTGGATAAACCTCGAAACACAACAAATAATCATATTACAATCTTAATACTAATAGCCAGATTCGTTTACTTCATAATTAAGCAAAACCCTTAAAAAAACTGATGTTGCAGCGCTATGCACTATAAGTAAAATGCTAACTTTTAAAAGGAATTTTTTCTCAAAAATTATATTGCTTAAGATTGCTATTTCATTTGCAATTCCTGAAAGACTAAGGTCAAATTATGATACAGACATAAAAAACACAGGCAATAGTTTGATTTTTTAAATATATGCTACATTAATTTGTTAATTTGTGCCTTGCTACCTTGGTTTGCTTTGTATGCATCACAATTCCCTTCCTACGTCGGAGCGCCTTTTCTGTGTTTCGGAAAATGGCTGGTTTCGACGCTGGTGCAGTGTATCGTTCTGACAGTCTTTTTCCGCAGTCAGTTGATCAAGACATTTTTGCAGACTATCAGCAGGCTAAGAGGAAGTTTAAGGACTTTCTGCGGCAGTACAACGTTGGTGGGTTGTCATTCACATACAGGTAATTATGGATGGGCTTCCTCATTGTCCTAATAGAGATCAGCTTAAGCGGAATTGCACACTTAAGAACTACAATCTTTTGATAAAACTTCAGGATTTGAATAATTTTGACAGTTACCTTGCACAAGTCCTTATTCAGCATCCTTCTGATTACATTATTTTCGTAGGGTTGAGTATTCTACTAATACGTTTAGTACGAGGAAGCTGCATCCGAACTTGCAGCAGAGATCATGAAATCTTCTCTCTCTTCGAGTGAGGCTTTTGCGTCTATTCAGCTTCTTTTGGAGTGGGAAGCATCTCCTATTAACATAAGGGAACTCCATTCTGAACTAGTTTCAAAGTTGGTGAAAATAACTGGAATTGTCGTATCGGCTTCTAGTGTGAAATCCAAGGTGCTTGAATTAATCTCTCATATTGAAGGGATATAGGCCATTCGTCTCACTCTGCAATGTCGCGGGTGTCGGCAATTTTTGCCAAATATTCGTGTCCGGCCTGGTTTTGAAGGTTATATGCTACCACGAAAGTGCTCTTCGGCACACGGTGGGGGTGCTGCTGTTCCCTGTCCTGTAGACCCATATTTCATTGTTCCTGATAAATGTCAATGTGTTGATTATCAAGTCTTGAAGCTACAGGAGTCACCGGATTCTGTTCCTCAGGGCGAGATGCCTCGGCACATGCAACTCTACTGTGACAGGTGCTCTAACATAGCTTAGCTTTATTTCGACTTCACTAGGTACCTGGTAGAACAGGTTGCTCCTGGTAACAGAATTACTGTTGTTGGAGTCTATTCCATACAAACTTCGGCGTCTACTAAGGTGGGGTAAAAGTCGTTTCTTTTATCGCTCGTTAAGCCATGTTTGTTATTTATTCACTAAATATCGACACTTATGCTTACAGATGCTTAATCCTTCCTGTCCTTCGTAAGGCCGCCTTCTCTAGCTACAGCCGATGTGATAAGCCTCCTAGTTTGATAATTGATGGCTGATGCTTTAGTTGTTTTATTTTAACTTTCTTCTCCTCACTGGCTTCAAATGCTTTTAAGGTTTTCTCTGTCTTCTCTCCCTTATCTTCTTCGCATCTCTTCTTTTCAGACGAAATCGAACGCACACGAACGCGTTAATGTTGGGGTTCGGATGTCTTATATTCGCGTTTTTGGTCTCTCTATAAATACTGAAGGTCCGGGTCGAAGTGGCGTGTTTTCAGGTGGCAAACCGTTGAATACTACGAACACCACTAACACTGAGCTAGAGGAGGAGGAGATGCGCAAGCTAGCTGGCACTCCCAACATTTACGAGCTCGTTGCTCGTAGCATCGCGCCATCTATTTATGGTAGTCTTGATATTAAAAAAGCAATTGCCTGTCTTCTCTTCGGCGGTTCCCGTAAGCGGTAGGTCTTTTCTATATTGATTCATTCAATATATGTAGTCTTCCTGATGGACTCTGTCGGCGCGGTGATATCAATCTTCTTCTTCTGGGTGATCCGGGTACTGCGAAATCACAGCTGTTGAAATTTGTCGAGAGATGTGCACCTGTTGGTGTCTACACTTCTGGCAAGGGCAGCTCTGCAGCTGGTCTAACTGCTTCAATTGTTCGTGATCCTTCATCTGTAGGTTCATGGCTTGAGTGTCGTTGACTTAGCTACTAATGCTAGCTTAGCCATAGCCGTTCCTTTTTTTAGCATAATTTCGTCATGGAGGGTGGTGCGATGGTACTAGCTGACGGTGGTGTAGTGTGCATTGACGAGTTTGACAAGATGCGCGAAGATGATCGCGTAGCTATCCATGAGGCAATGGAACAGCAGACTATTTCTATTGCTAAGGCGGGTATCACTACTTCACTCAACAGTCGTTGCTCTGTCCTTGCAGCAGCTAACAGCGTCTATGGTCGTTGGGATGACACCAAAGGAGAAAGCAATATCGACTTCATGCCTACCATTCTTTCTCGTTTTGATATGATTTTTGTCGTTCGTGATGAACATGATGCTGCTCGGGATAGTGCTTTGGCTCATCATGTCATACAGGTTCATCTGCACGGCAAGTGCGTTCACTTCTGGTTTTAAAAAAAAACGGTTATTTTTGAGGCATCGGCTCTATTGTTCCCCCTCGCATTGTAGTGACATGACGAGCAACACGGAGGCTGGGGAGGACAGCTTAACGTCGGAAGAAATACCGCTCTCAAAGTTGCGTCGTTTCATTGCATTCGCACGTGAGCACTGCGGTCCCCGACTCTCTCCAGCAGCAGCGGAAAAGCTGGTCAATCAATATGTGCTTATGCGCTCAGGTGCAAATCGTCTCGAACAGCAGAGCGGAAAACGCACTGCTATTCCTATAACCGTTCGGTAAGTGTGTTTGGAGCTCCATATTTTCATTGCCACAGCTTAAACGCCCCTGACATGATATCACCAATTACATTTATGATTTTCTCCTTTGTAATTTAACCTTTTCATTTAAACTTACCGTGCTTGGGGCGACGTTAACTATCAAATGAGAACAACTTGAATTATTTGGTCTTTTGTTTTTAGTCAACTCGAGGCCATCGTTCGAATTTCTGAGGCTCTCGCAAAAATGAGACTGGATGCTTTTGCGACTGAGTCGGATGTGGACGAAGCACTGCGACTCTTCCGGGTTTCCACGTTGGAAGCCTTTATGACAGGGAGTCTGGAGGGCGCTGAGGGTTTTACAAGCCAAGAAGAACATGACCTTGTGCTGAGGGTTGAGAAGCAGTTAAAGAAGCGCTTCGTTATTGGCTCGCAGGTCTCAGAGCACGCAATCTTACAGGACTTTACACGTCAGGTGCTTTACCGAAACCTCTCTCGTGCACGTGTTTGATTGATTATTGTCATCGTTTTTTGCTTCATTCCTCTTTAGGGTTTCCCTGAGAGGACGGTGATGAAGGTACTCCACTACATGATTCGTCGCGGAGAGGTTCAATACAGGATGCAGCGCAGAATTCTGTATCGAATGAAGTGACCACAGCATTAGTTATTGAACTGTCGATGTGCCTACGTGTGCATATGGCTTTCTAGTAGGAAGTGGTTGGGGGAGGTAGGGGTGTGATTAGTGATTTTGGAGACTCGGCGTCGTGTGTTGGTGTTGCTCGGTTGGTGCCTGACGGGGCGGCGAATGTGGGTCATTTTTGTCACGTCGGGGGGTGGGGTCCTCTGCCTGTGGGCCTGTTTGGCGTTCGGGGGCTGCCCCGAGGTCCGTGTCGTTCTCGCGAGCTGGTTCTCGGATCATGCCTCGCTTACTGCTTTCTTCCACTGCATGAGAAGCCTCAGGATGCTACATAAAGTATGGGCGAAAGTGGGTGTGCCTAGTGGTGAGTAGTGTGATGCGGTCAACGGAGCAATGGCGCCAGAAATAAAAGTTGAGGGTTTGGAATGCTGCAAGTATTCTTTACCAGGTTAGTACCAAGCACAAATTATGATTTGAAGTATTAGTTCAATAACTACCATATAAATTTTAAAATAAATATCTTTGGAAATATGTAGAGCCTGCTAGACGTGTTTTAACTGATCGTATTGCAAAACCATGGAATGATTTTTCAGCGCGGCTTAGGCTGTGGTTTGCGGGCGGCATGTATGTCTAAGAGCGTCCATTATTATATTTTCTAGGGTAAAAACTGTAAGAGCACCGAAAGGTGATGCTCGCTTCGACGCCAAGTCCTCAATGGGTGTTGAATCATCTGATGTTACATCGTATTCCAATGAGAAAGAACGGCTCACTAGTTGCCGCGGCCAAGCGTAAGTTTCGATCCCAATTTTTGGGCTTGTGTAAATCTTTTTCGTCCAGTATGGGCTCCATTTTTGGCACGAGGTCGGTAGCTGGCTTGGTACATGTTTGGCGAGTGATTTGTATGACTATGTTTCTGCGCATTCTTAAACACTGGTAGATTCTCTTTAATCTGTTCATGATTGTCAGTTCTACCCCGAATCCATTTTATATCGATAAATTGTGCAGTTGTATTAACTTTTGACTCATCCCATTATATTTTTCTAAAATGTAGAACTCATGTACCCAAGGTAGCTAAGAAATCAATGACTGATCCAGGAGTAAGAGCCCCATTTCCTGACTCGAGTAATGCAGAATATTTAAACGACCCTGGTGCTGACGAACATTACGATGTGGCATCACGCGCGTAGGTTCTCATTTCGTAGATTTGCAAGGTTGTTTTGTATAAATTTAAGTGCACATGCTTTGGTCCAATTTGCGCGTTCTTTAATTACCGTAGCGAACAGAGGGAACGTCGAAAGACAGAAATGAGTCGTTTGAGACGAACAATTTTTGTTGGCAATCTACCTGCCTGGATGACCAAGAGGTCTCTTCACAAACTTTTCCGCAGTGTTCTCAAAAACGCTAACATCAATCCAGAATGCTGTAGAGTCGAATCAGTTCGTCTTCGTGGAGCCGTGACCGCCACTGGTAGCACCAGTAAACAGGCGAAAAAACGTTCTTCTATCCAGCACGAATTTGCTGGTATGTGTTTATGGTCCTCATCAATCCTTGTCTGCAATTAGTTAATAGCGTCATTTCACCAACTTAGATTCCTTTAAGATTTTGTCCACAGTGTTCATGTTCTGGTGCTACCTGGCTGAATTGAGCCGATAATCCAATTCATAATTTAATTTTATTCTTTCCTGACGTTCACTGGAGACTGATTGATACTGATTTGATACTCCGCTCAACACGTTTTCGCAACATCCAGTAATTAACAGTATCCTCTTTTGTCTCTTCTTGCTTATATTCAATCAAATTGCGTCAGTCCGATTGCATACATTGTGATGGGTGTTTTAAATTGTTGAACACCTCAAACGCGCTTTTGATGCCAAGACTACAGGCTTAGCTTTAAATGTCCTGCTAATTGTCGATCCTTGTTCAGTTCTCATTTTGCCTTTGCTTGTAATCCTAGCTGGAGACAGACACACGCAAATTGGGTTCGTTGTTCTTACTTCCACTGAGGGAATTTCAGCAGCTTTAAAGTTGAATGGCTTTTTCCTCACCAATGGCAGTGCCGATACGGGTCGCCACATTCGTGTTGATACCTGTGGTCGATCAAACCTCTTCCACAACACCCACAAGACTATCTTCGTTGGCAATCTTCCTTTTTCTACAAATGAAGAGGAGGTATGGTTTTCAGCCCACACTGGGTCTTCCTATTTAGCTGAGCAAATGTCTGTCTATCTACCACGATAACCTGCTTACCATTTACTCTCTGGCACATAATGCTACGATACTAGGTTTAGTATTATTTTATTTACATTACATTTATATTACATACTCTTTTTTAGGTGCGTCAAGTGTTTCAGTCCTTTGGAAAGATCCTAAACGTTCGACTGATTCGTGACTCGGCCACAGGTGCGGTGAAGGGCATTGGTTTTGTGGAGTTCAAGGACCCTAGCTCGATCTCACTTGTCATCCGAAAGGCTAAAATGAGTTACTCCGGAAATAACAGTGACTCAACTGAGTCATCGGGTTTCGTGATTGGTGGACGTCAGTTGCGCATTGAAGTCTGGAAGTCTATCAAAAAAGCCAAGAAGGCTACTCCACAACGAGGAAACAAACTTGGGAGTAACCAGACGCAGAAACCTGGTGCCAGCAGAAACAGTCTTAGAGTTCCAACCAACTTGCGGGGGACTGCGGCACGGAAGCAGTTTATGAAACGCGCCTGGCATAAGCGAAGTAAACGAAAGCGGATTAGTGTTGCCGCAGGTGGTAAGGCGGTTGTAAAGGTGGCCAAAACAGACAAATTCGCTCCATATGATGGTCGGGAGGTGAAGAGTGAGAAGTCAGACTCAAGGAAATGATTGTTTTTTAGAGGGCTGTTGCTGTATCTTGGAGTACTTTGTAACGTTTTCCTTGTATATGCAAAATGACACATCATCTGACTTTTTGACGTGGGTTACCATGGCCGCTGTTTGTAGAGGTGATTTAACTGCATCCATTATGGGTTTTTCCTTGCAATTAATTGAGTTCCCTTATTATCCACTTCGAAATGTTCATAAATAACCAACGACTGTACTTCTTGGTTTGAATCTCGGTTTCGGAGACATTAGTTCCTTGGACAGGTTTGCTGGTTTACAGGTCACGTTGGAGCTTCGATCCTGTTCTGTTTTGCTGAATACATGCACTGCACTCAATGGCTATGCCTCCACTCATTTATAAGGCGGCCTTGGGACATTGCAGTGTCACAAATGCTGATTGATTTGTCTCAGCTCCTGGATTTTGACGTAGAGAACATGAAGCGATGTAACCCATGAAATCGATGAGAATGCTGAGGATGCGGATTGTAATTGCTCTCGGACGTAGGGATGCGTGGATCTGGCGATGCGTTCCGTGGTGTGTGATCAAATCTCTGGGTGGCACGCACGTCAGGACATCCACACTGTAACGAATACGCTGGGGGGACGAATCACGCATGCGTTAATCTCTCTAGGGTCTTTGCCGAATGGGTATAGACCGGAGTCCGGATCCCGTGCGTGTGTGCCCTCCTGGTATGCCGTGGTACCGTCTATACCTGGACTGGAGTTTCGTCTTTCATATTGCTCACTAGTTGCGAAATACGGGTTCCCTGTGATATTACCCTCCTGGGAAGAAAATGGTAGGTAACGTCTCATGATACGTTAGAGAATTAAACAAAGATCTGCGGTAAGCACTTAATGCACGATGAAAATTGTTGTTAAAAGCACACGCACAGCAGAAGAGGTCATACGGAAAGCAGTTCAGCCATTGCCTTCAATGAATTCGATTTGGTCAAATGCGCATATCGATTCCTTCACCAAGAACGCATTGGAGATGCTGACGCTACTGTGGCAAGTGCCCCTACTGCATAGACAGAGTACTCTCGATTGCGATCTGTCTTATCCAAATCACAGAGCTCCGTATTTAGTCAATAATGTTGCAATGAGAAAGGCATTCCCTAATAATTAAATTAGTTAATCCATACGCCTTCCTAGTCAGTGCAAACCTTCGAAAAGACCCAATAAACCCATTCAAGGCAAGTTTTTACTTAAAAGTCCTAGGAAGGAAAAGCTCAAACCGAGGTCAATAGCTTAAAATACGCTTTGAGTTATACACTTGGCGGTTCAAGCACATTCCGAGCGTGTATAGAAAACTTTTATGTTTTCGTTAAGCGTTTCAAGCCAAAGATTGCGTGTTCAACTTCGCCTATTTGCGTACACTTTACTAAACATATTACTGTTGTACACCAGCTGTAATCCTTTTTATTGGCAAAAGCAAGCGTCTAATCCTTTAAAAAAGCGCGCCAAATAAAAAAAAATTATGTAAAAATTTTAAATTTGAAATGACAACCAATTTATTACGGAAATGCGCAAACGTTGTTTATCGAAGTCAATAGCAATCAGCGTTTCATTAACCACCTCTTCAAGTTTGTAAACAACATTTGCTTTGTTTGTAGTGCTAGTACTATAGACAGGTGATTGGCTCAAACTGCATTTACGAAGCAGTCATTGGTTAGTCACGCAGCTTGAAAACTGCTGAATTTTGGGCGGAGATGGTAGTGGAATCTGAAGCCTTTTGCAGTACACGGAGAAAGCTGAATGTTTTGGGCTATAAAGAACATTTTGGCGAGGAGAGTTTATCCCTTGTTGTACGCCTACTGGATGATCTCATTCTAGCGACACATGGGCTACGAGAAAGTAAACGTGGAACCTCATCCAAAATGGTGTCGGAACTGGAAGAACAAAACAATATTCTGAAGGCAGAAAACTCGGCCTTGAAGGATGAATGTTTATGTCTCAATAAGAATATATCAGAAATTCATGAGAGTTATAAAGTTCGAATTCAAGGTTAGCAATTAATCTATGTTATCTTTTAGAGCTTAATGAGAAATCACGGAATCTGGAGTGTGCAAATCGTGAACTTCAAATACTTTATCTTAATAGCTTGGACAGACTTCGTATTCTCGAGTTGGAGTCAAAAGGGGGAACTAAACCCACTAACGAGCACCCACATACCATTGTGTTGGGTTCGTTTATTTCCATTCGCTTTACTCCGAGTTGCACACTCAAAACTTCTTGTAGCTCTAACCACCTAACTACCCATGTAAACGATAGCTGCTAACTAAACTGTCCTCGTAAAATAATCGAGGTTGTAAGTATTTTTTTCATTATTAAACTTAGGTCTAATTTTTAAACCAGGAAATTTGTATAAATTTACGATCAGCGAGAATGGGATGGCTTTGCTCATTATTCTTTGTTCTGCGTTGATGAGGCTTGCTTTGGGAACGATTAAGATAGTTTGGTTGTTGGTGGCTTATCGTGTGGAGAAATATCAGTTTAAACACATGTTGCTTTAGGTTATCTGCACCATATAGTGTATTTTATTATGTTCGAATAGATACTGAAAATTCCGCCCTGCCTTCGAGTTCGCGAATCCTGATTATTTAAAACGAGCATGTCTTTTCAGATACCCGAGGTCCGAGCTGCAATTCTTCTCGCAGTAATCCTGACCTCGATGGGTCTGCTCACTCAAACTCAAATACTTCTATTCCTCTTCCAATTTGTATTGACGGTCAGATCCATCCATATGCTTGCAGTGGCGGTAAATCTCTGAGTGGAAACGCAAATGCGAATGGTTCTGAGGTGTGTGTTCGTTTCTAGTCTCATGGCTACTTATTTCGCCAGCCTTAGTTTAATTTCAATTTTTGGTTCTTATTATACACTGCATTCAATATTGGGTTCAGATAATGATTAATAATACATAATTATAAGTAATTTAATCCAACTAACCGTGTTCGTGTTTCTAATTTGATGCACTCCCTTTATCTATCTGCTTATCAGTTTCATTATCTTTTGTATCTTACCAATTACTAACAAATGAGGCATCATTGACGTTGAATTTTAGAATGGCGACGTAGTGAATACGCTGGCTAAACGCTGCTCTGATCTCGAGGCAAATGTTCTGCTTCTTCAAAAGGAAAGAGAACTTACTGAAAAGAGGACGGCTGCTTTTAAGAAACAGGTAATGTGACCCTGGAGTCCTCCTTGGAGGCTTTCAGGCTGATGTGCCTGGACAGCAATCTCGTGGTAGCTGACATCATGGTCTAAGGACTCTCTTAGTTACAGGTGATATGAATGCGATCTATAACAGCTTTTCATCCTCACCAACTTTAGATTGAGGTGCGCAATGAAGAGATTGATCTTCTACGTCAGCTTACTGAAGAAAAACTGCTTGAGAAATCGGTATTGGAGACGCGGAAGAGCCATGCGGATCTGATGATTGGACAGTTGCAGGCTCAGGTAGATCTCTTGCAGAAGCGTAACGAAGAGTTGGAGAAACGGATGTTCCTTCGACTCGAAGCAATCAGTCAGTCTGCTTTTACTATGTCATCAAGGCGGGATTGTGCTTCCCAATGCGAACTTTTGAAGCACCCCATAGACGTCAAGGTACTTTGTTCTCTGAATGCTTTTTAGTTGCTATTTAGCTCAAGGCCATTTATGGAATCCACTCCATTACCTTCTGTGCGCACATGGTTCATAGCGGTCTTTCTCAGTTTTCAGTCTTATGTATCCCTAAAGTTTATATGCGAACGATTTATGCGCTGCTAGAAGCCAAGTTAATTTTAATCGTAGAGGTACTTAAGGTTTTGCCATGTTGGTTAGGCTGCTGCAATTTCACCTTTCTTACGTACTGTTTTTACCATTTTTTATCTGTACCTTTTTAAGATCTTACTCGATTGCTGAAATCGAACGACTTGAGAAAGCTGGTTGTTCATGTCCTTGTGCCAATTGTAGCGTTTTTTGTTTTACAGGTGGATAGGCGCGAGTTGGCAGACTTGATTGATAACTTTGAAAAGATCAGCAGTCACTTCCTCATCCGGACGGATGAATTGGTGAATTGTCGTAAGTTTTTCTGGCAGATATGAAAATGTATTCGGTGAAGAAGCTCTAATCCTTATTTCGATTAGAGAAGAAAATGGTGCTTGAGATAGAACGTCTGAAACGCCTCGCTCCACCTGCTAAAAAACTAGCGCAACCAGTCAAGCGGTGTGCAATGAGAGGTACTACCAAAAAACCTCCCCCATCTTCGTCTGCAGTTGTTACTAGAATCGGTGCTGCTGCGACTTCTGCTGCAAAGCAGATGACAGAAGGTTATGAGCCTCCAATTAAGGAATACATAGAGGTAGAGTTTTTCTTTGTAGTGGGGATGTGCGAACTATTTGAATTTGCTTTCATCTGTGTGGCCTCGATGCACTGGATGGGGCTCACTGCTCCCAATTCCATCTCAACTCACGTACTTATGAACACAGCTTCAAGTGACTTGCAGAAAGTGATCTAGCTTTGTATATCTCGCTCCCTTCATTCCATCATGTGCAGGGTCTGCTGGCAGATCGCGAAACGCTGCGCGCACAGGTGGACTACCTGAATCGCAGTCTGCGCCAGTGGTTTACATCGGGTGATGCATTCACTACTGCCGCCGGGGACATCGTAGGGGTTGGAAGCCAGGACGCGGCAACACAATCGCTTCACCCTGACGCTACCGCTGGTATTCGTGAATGTGATCAGGGGTCTGCTGGGCTCGAATTCACCTCAGAGGTGCGTTGGCCTCATTCGGCATCTTTAATGCTCCCCCTTCCCAAAACGTCCCACCCTATTCTTTGATTGTGCCAATGGGGCAACTGCTGGATGTGCTAAGCTATCGTTGGGTCCAATCCGGTCAGTGGAGTATCATGGTGAGGACTTTGGTTGTGTTTCCTCCAATGTCATCACTAGTTTTCTGTTCCCGATTAGTTTCTCTTGTCACGTTTAGATAATGATTGGAAGTGAAACTAAAAGCCTAAGTATTTGAGTTACTCCGGTCTGTAATGGTACGTGGTATACTAAGATGATCAGCATAATAATGCTAACGTTTCTTACCTACGATCTGCCTTTTGTTGTGCTTCGTCAATCGGTCACCATTTACGCTTGTGACCGATAATGTTTTCATTTTCTCCATTTCCGCACTACATTCTTTAGAGGATAATTCTAATCCTCTTTCTGTGTGTCTCAATTGCTTAAATCTTTTAAACTACCATTTTTATCTAAATTTGGCGTAACACATACTACTGATGGAAACTAAGCAGCATTCACAAATGAGGCTCCTTCCACGTCTTTTTCATTTTATATCATTCAATGGTTATGAGGTAAAAAACCTAATTTACCAGGAAGAGTTCTCATTCGAGTGGTGTAATTATTGCATACTCTATTATGAGCCTCCTGTGTTCTGCTATTCGTCCGATGTTGTCCATCCTGGATTGTTCGACATTACAAATGTTGGGTATGTCAATTAAATGCACGACCTGTTTTTCAAACTAGCAGGTGAGCATTTTGGATTTGAGGCAGAAGTGTTCCATCTAGACCATGAGACTTTGATATACCTACTCCTTTACCAGTACCAAATACTTCCGCCATATTTACCCGGTTGAATCAGAAGTTCCCCCACCTTCACCACAAAGTTCCCAACATTTCCTGCAGATGCTAAGAGCTCTGTTAAGGGCGAAAAAATCGAAGCGTGATTACTACATTCGGCTAATTTAGGACCTTCAAGCTGAGGTCTCTCGCCTCACTTATCTATCTAGTCATCATTATCATCACGGCCAGTCGGCAGCCTATGTGAGTGAGTTCACCTCTTCCTCCTCTCCATAGCATTTTTCTTGGCTCTGTGTTCTTTGTTTATCCCACTTTTTCAAACCTATCTTCAGGATCATGGAATTCGGACCTGATTCACCAATATTATGGCGTTTTTCAAAATAGAATGGTGGATTTGAACCAGTAACCTACGAACTTTTGATGTTTTCATCCATTTACTTTACAGATGAGCCTAAAGAATGACACAGAATTCGAGACCGTAAAGCGGGAGCGCAATGAGCTTCAGAAGGCACTGAATCAATTCGAGCAGAATCTTCTTAAGGTTCGTTTTTTTCTTACTTCCCTTTTCAGGAGTCTTTTGCTTTACTCTGTGATTTAGATCCAGGCCGAAGTCAGATCCTTGCGAGCTGAGAGGGATCAGCTCTTGCTGGAACTAGAAAAGGTAAATTTCATTCGCCATTCCTACAGAGGATTGCTTATAATTGCAACTAAATTAAATGTACGTTTAGATGCGGAAAGCTGAGCCTTCTTCAAAACCTCCAACCTTCTTCTCTGAACTTAATGGCTCAGAGCGCTCCCTGCTCCTAGATCGTCAATTGACAAATAACATAGTTTCGAACTCCAACGAGTCGGTTCATGACAGAGACCCTGCTGAAGTTGGGAGACTCTCACGACATGATCACGATGAGTTACTGCAGTGGAAGGAAGAGATTTCTACCCTTACAATGTCTCTAGCCACCTCTCGCAAGCAACTAGAAGCCTCCCAAAGACGCATTGAAGAGCTTGAGCAACAGATAGAACAACTTAAATGCGTTGTGGAACAGGCCACATCGAAAAAAGTAAAGTAGAGTTTTAAAGCTTTGGCATTGTGAAACTGATTGGTGCTAGTTATTTGTTGCTAGAGTTTCAAACAACGGGTTTACATGTTGCTGAGATTGAATTAGTTGTCTTCCTAAAATGAATTCACTTTCTAGCTTTGGGTGTCATTTGTGTATTTACTACAGTACTTGTCAAGCAGTTTAGTCAGCTCGAAAATGCGTCATAGGAATATTAATAGTTTCCCAAATCGTACAACTAATCTTGGGCATTCTTAACTACTTCTATGGCGATCAGTCAGGTGTGTGCGCTGTTGTGGATTTCAAATCTTTCCTATGTGTGTATGGTTTCCCAGATGAATCGAGCAATCGTTCAAGTAATCTGTTCTCAACGCTCTGCACTAGTCTTTTGTATTTCTACACTTTAAGGAGCTTTGCGTAATTCAAAGTGGTTGCTCCTCTCTGTCAATTATGCTTTGTAGCTTCTCACTTCTCCCTCTCCCGCAATCTAGGAGGAGGCTGAGAAACTGAAGGAGCAGCTTCAGACCGCACTGGTTCAGACAAATGGTCGGAACTCCTTACTGGCAAGTGAGTTAACATTGCGAAAGAACATGTGCAATGAGGCGCTGAAAGGGAAACAGCTCTCCGACGCCTTGGTGGCTGAGGCTCAGCGCAATCTCCAGTCCTTAAATGCTCACGTTATAGAGCTCGAAGCAGAAATTAAAGTGAGTCAGTTTTGGTTTAGCTTTCTACTCTCATTTAATGCTTACGTTTATCTCAAAACTCCTACGATGTCTCGCTTCGATCAGCAGATGTGATCCCATCTCAAGTTATTCACATCAAATTCTTAATTACGCCATAACTACCGCGGCAATAATGAACGTTACTCCCCGATCTCGTTATGGATACTAGTATTATTAAATACCACTCTTTGAATATACTTTCCAGATCATTTTTGGTTTTATCGTTAATGAGAGATTGTTGGACCCTTGTTTTCTGCTCCTGACGATAAAATCTATAGTAATGATATTACTTTTGCCTTCCCCATTCGGTAGTGCAGCCACGAGGAAGTTTCGCGGCTACACAAGGTGACTTCCCAATTGGATGCCGAGAAGGACGCCCTCCAGGCAAGCCTTGATGATCGCACTGAGGATTTGGTCACTCTAAAACGCGATCTGGACCAGCGTACTCAACTGTTCGAAGATAATAAGGTGTCTTCCATTTGTTCCAGCTCCTGACCTGTTTATATTCACGCTTAGGCTAAAGCATTGAGAATTGGTGTTTGGTGAACCCAGACATGTGTCGAAACTTTTAGTCAGAATCCTACTTGTTGTTAGCACAACCTCATTCATGCAATTGCTACTCACCGAGTAAAAAGTACCTAGTTATCAGGAACATTTAGATTTTCTTTCGAGTTAATTGGGGAAAAGACAAACTGATCTATTTCTTGGCAGAAATATCTGAACAGTGTTGAGCTGCGTCTCTCTCAAGTCACTGCGATGGCAGCCGAGCGAGATCGCGAGGTCCAAACATTGACTGAACGGCTTCACCACGTAGAAGCATCTTCACAAGTTATCAGCCGGAGTCGAGACATTTCGGAGGAGAAGTACGTGAAGGCCAAGGTACTTCCACTTTTGCAGGCTGCTATTGTCAATGTCGAGTTTTGCTCTATGATTCTTGGGTGTGCGTGTTAAGGACTGCTCTTAATGAGGGACATTACAGATAGCTTGAAATCGCTTGGTTTTATGCACCCGAATCATTCTTGAATCATTCTTGAGACTAGAATTCCGTTTCTCGTACGTATAGAGAAAGCCCAAGAATCCATTTCATCCTCGTAGAGGCTTATATGCCATCACTTTTTATCTTTCCTTTAGAGTATTTTTCGATGAATCTGATTGCCTAAACCATCCAATCCTCCGTTACTATTTCTTGCGTTTTTAGGACGACATTACAGTTCTCAGCAATGAAGTTGAAAGCCTCAAGACTCATTTGCACGCTCTCAGAAGTGAGAATAATGATCTTCGTTGCCGTCTGGCTGAAGCTCTTCAAAATGTCGCCTCATCTGATCAGATGCTCGATGTAAAATTAAAGGAACACAAAGATCTGCTAATACAATACGGGTAGGAATGGCATCCTTGCCTTGTCATGCTTTGACAATCACTTTGACCATGCTTTTATCGTAAATCACTGAAACGGCTCAATTGACTGCATCTTTATAGCCTAAATAATCTCCTTTGTTGCATACTCAATTCAAATGCCGCCTTCGCTGCACAAAAGATGGGATGAGGGCTTATCAAATTGACAAAGTTCAATTAATTCATCAAAAACAATGATAATTCAAATGAAAGAGGGATGTCACAATTTTCTGCCTGGTTTCTCCTATTCCTTCCAGTTCTCTGAGCAAAGAGCTTGAAGCAATGTCAAGACGTAATATGGAATTGGAACGGACTCTAGTCGAGGTGGAGGAGGCGCTGCAGGGCAAAGAGGCCGCTGTGAGAAACCACATTGACCGCGCTCAAAAGGCCGAATTGGCAGCTCTGAGTGCGAAGCGCAATTGCATCATTGCGGAGGAAAAAGTAGTTCCTCGTTTTAGGTTGTCCTTTTTTCGGTCGTTGTTAAAGGTGGTATTCACCTGTTGTTAGTGGTACGACAATTGCATAGGTATGGAAGTGAGGTGCTGCTCTTAGTTTTTATGGTTACAGTTATCAAGTTCTGTCAGGAATCCTTATTTATTTTCGGCGGTTTCTCCACAACCTTAACTATGCTTAGTGTGTTTGCCTCTTGCACCAATTGTACTTATTTAAAATGCAAATTACTGAGTAGAGCTACTTTTGGAACAATCATCGGACGCGTAATGTTAGTTGAGGACTTCTTAGCAAATGGTTATTTAAGTGGTATTAAGTAAAGTCAGTATCAACAAACCATTACCTCTGCTCCCTCGTCCGCTTTTTTACAGTGCGCCCGTCTCACCACTGCGGCAGAGACAGCAAAGTCGCGAGCCCAAGAGTTAGATGGCGAGATGGAGGAGGTGCGACGCGACCTCGCGGCAACCCGTGATCTTGCTGGTGCTCTACAAGCCCGCCTGGACAGCACTGCCGACCAGGGGGTCAGTGCTGCTTCTGATCTCACTGTCAAACTGGTTGAGTGCGAGCGCAAGCTGCGCGATGCTCTTGACGAGGTAAATGCATTCTCCCTTGGATACTAAATGTGAAAGCGCTAGTGTTGTAAATGGTGGAGGCAACGTCTTGGGTCATGGGTTCGATTACCCTTCCCAATCCATGCAGACTCTAGGCGAAACCTTTTGTCAAACGTTGCCTTACAGAGCTGGATTTCCTCTATGTGGTGGTGGTGATACGGATATAATATTTGGTAAATAAGTCTGATTGCATTTACATTTTAGACCACCTATTCTAGAGTCTTATTGTTGTTACAAGAAACTCCTCCAACTTTAGTGAATCTGATCCCATTGGTTATTTTCTGGCAGGCCTAGTTACTGAACTCAATAGTGTAAGCCATTCAACGTAAATGTGACTTAGTAATTCAATTACTTTATTGCTGCACAGCTTTCCGTTTTTCTATGGGGTGATATCCTTGTTTTTTTTATTTTTGTATAGTACACAAAACTGTAAATTTGATGCCGTTTTTGAATCTTTAAATTTTATAGACGGCTCATCAGCGGGAGATTATACAACAACTGGAATTACTTCTCACAGCCGCTCGGGAAAATCAAAATCGCCTACAAGCTTCCCTTGATGTAAGCTTATCTCTAGCACTTACAATGAACGTAGTGCATTAGCCATTCTTCATAACTCGTCGGCTTTTTCTCACCTACAGAGGAAGACAGAAGAATGCGAGCAATTGCGTAAGGACACCCACTCCGCCCATCAGGTCGTGAGCGCGGCGACTACAGAGCCTCTGTCAGTCCACAAGCAATTCATCACCCACCTTAAGTACGCCGGCAGCACTTGTGTGGCCACCACTTCCGTCACACAGGCTGATGGGGTTGACCACCCTCTCCTCTTCTACAAGCCTCTTCACCCAACGCCGTCTGTCAGTTCCACAGTTTCGCCTCCACATGAATCCAGTCATGTGACCACCCCCATCAGCTCCTCTGTAACTACCCCGAGGGGATCTCCCACCTGCTGTCCTGCCTCTTCCGGGTAGATTATTCATTACCTAAAAACCGGTTTTCATAATTGGTTGATACTTCAAGTTGACATGATGAATCAGTTGGTTCATGTAGCGAAGCAGGCTGTCGTAACGGGAATTGCGATCATCGTAATTTGGTGACATCAGAAAATTGTGCTACGCAAATTGCTAAGTGCGTGGTAGTCTGCAAACTTTGTTTCACAATCTTCAACCTTTTTTACAACATTCCTTTTCTCCGCTGAGATATCGTTCTGCTGTCTCATGGTAGATGTTCCTCTGTTTATTTCGGGTCTTATTTAAATGATTGAAACGACCGCTTTTTGCAGTACTGTTTGTTTTCAGTTGCCATCTCTGAATCAAAAGTCACTAATCCGGTTGTTTAGCCTTTGAATCTTCCTCAAGACGGAATTCACAAATGGGACACTCCTTCGCTTCTAATCCTTGTAAGTTGGATTAGAAAATAAGCGCTTTTGAGTAAAATTAGGCCAATCCACATGCTACCATCCCCCATTCTCGCCTTGAAACAAAGAAATCTGAAACTAAGTCGTAGTGAAACGTTACGTTATGTGTATTATCGGGTAGGATTATGGGGCAACTTCATTATTGCGGTATCTATCTGCAAATGGTTTCGGTTGGTTTGGAAGTCTTAGTGTCTTTCTGGTGGTTGATCCTTCTAAATACTCATTTAATATTGTAATAAAATCGGTCATAAAGTACCTAGCTTAACCTTGAAAACCTAGCAGGGTCGTTTATTATCGACATTAGCTTTCATGTCCCCAAAGCAGAAGTCAAATGGCATGATACTGAAGGTGTATGCCGACCCCTGGGCATAATTACACAAATTCTGTTCAAGTAGGACAGAGGATAACGACAGCCTGTATTTGATACGATTTAGTTTAGGTTAATTGCGGTTCCACCAAGCGCTGTCGATATTTAAAGGTACAGAGACGCTGATGCTCACGGTTGCTTCCGATCCTTCAAAAGCCACTATCCCTTCCTGCTGTCCAGCGATGTAGGAATCCGGGATTTGGAAGCGCTGACTTCAAGCAAGTCTACCCCTTCCGTCATTGAAGCCGACTTAGTCTCAGTTATCTCCTCATCCTCAAGTTCTCATGCTAACGTCTTCAAGGCCAATACAACCCGTATGCTGTGTAGTTTGAACCAATGCAAACATGGATGTTTCCATTCCTTCGAATGCTTCGATGGGCGTTTTGTTGAAGAGACTAATGAGGGTGGCTTCAAAGAGGGATTATTCCTCATGTAAAGTTCATTATTTCGTCTCACTCTTCGGTAACGGTGAAACAATTCATCTGCTTTTGCTTTTTCTGCGAAGATGTGTCAGCCTTTGTACCGAGATCTAATTATGTTATTACCCTGCTCTCGGGAATAATGATTATTTTTTCAGGCTCTGCGAACCGTTGAAAATGTCCGAGATCTCCTCAACCAATCAGCCTTCAATGTAGCCATCCGTCCTTGTTTCCTGTGGCCCCCTTTCTCATTTTGTACTGTACAAAGGGTATTTCACTCGAATTTTGTTACTTTTTGTCCCGAAAACGGTATTTTTGCTAGTGATCTCATGCATGTATTGAGGCGACTATCTTCCTCAGCTATTGCATCAAATGATTACATAGGAACACTTTGCTAGATTATTTTCCAGTATTGTCGTGATTGGAGTCGCGAAAGTCGTTTCTTATTAATTGTCTTCTGCATTACTGAGTGAGGTGTAGCACGAAATTGTTGAATGAACTAACCCTTAGCGGCTATTTCGCTCAACAACAACAACAAACTCAAAAGGATTTTATCAGGACAGAAGAGATTAGCAACGTTGCGGTATGAGTGTGACAGGCTCAAGGCGGGTGGGGCGTTGCGGTGAGTGTAGGTACGCAGCGAACGTGACTTTATCTGGGGCGAGGTGCAGCGTGCAAGGGATCTAGATTGTCCTCAGGCTCCTAGTGAGTTTATAAGGCATCGTTAACCGAATAGGAAAGGGTATGAGAATGGGCTAGAAAGTGTGCAGAAGCGTCGCTAAAGGACCCTCGAGTTCTTTAGACTCATATTTAGCCGCCTCTTGCCTATTGGAGTAAGGTAAACACGTTTGTATACATATGTTGCGCAGTCGGCATGCTTACCGTGGGTAATTTTGCCAAGGCTTTTGGAGTTTTAACTTAGTCTGGCTGTACCATTGAAGCCGTACTTTGATCAGGAAAAATAATAATCTTGTAAAACTTTTTTGCTTACGAAATTATTTTAAAAATTCAATGATGATAATTTGTGCATTTGTTTAAGCTGGCAGTCTGACGATATGGTTTCCGTTGCTCTTTGGATTCTGGATCGGGTGTGCGTTGGAGTATGTACAATCGGTACTCAGAAAATAATGATAGCAGGACGGAGCAGTATAGGAAGCTTTTCATTGGCGGTCTTACGCACAATACGACAGAAGATCACCTGAAGGAATACTATTCTGCTTGGGGTGAAATCGTAGATGTAGTAGTTATGAAGGACTCACAATCTGGCCGGTCTCGAGGTTTTGGTTTTGTAACTTATAAAGAGCCTGAAATGGTTGACACTGCCCAAGCCAATCGTCCCCACGAAATCGATGGTAAGATAGTCGAAGCTAAGAGGGCAATGCCCAGAGAAGATTCCTCTTGTGCTGAGGCTCATATGACAGTCAAGAAGCTATATGTTGGTGGACTAAAGAGGGATGTTACAACTGAGGATTTGCGCGAATACTTTTCTAAGTACGGAAAGATCGTTGACTGTGAAGTTGTCACGTCAAAGGACACAAACATCTCTCGGGGCTTCGGTTTCGTCACCTTTGATGACTACGATCCTGTTGACAAAGCTATTCTCTATAAACCGCATACGATTAAGTCCAGTCAGTCTGATGTTAGGAAGGCTCTCAGCCGGGAGGAGATGAACACTATAAGGAGGAAGACGGACTATAGGCAGGATTACGGCTATGGAGGTGGATATCGCAATGGAGGCTACGGTCCTCCTGGTAATTATAGTGGATACCTTCATCATGGTTACGCTGGTCCCCCTCCGGGTCCGATGGGTAAGGTCAATATTATAAGCGACTTTCTTTAGGTGGTTATCATGATAATTGGGATCCATATCCGCCGAATGGGTGTTGGAATAATGGTATGGGAGATGGATTTGGGCACTATGGCGGCCAAAGTTACGGTGGTGGACCGATGAGGGGTCCACCAGGTGGCGGTTATCAGCGTAACCAACCTTATGGAGGTAACTACAGTCGTCGTTAGTGAGGGGTAGGTTCGTTAGACTAGCGGTAGTCAAGCGCAACGGAAGGTGAGGCATGGTTAATGCTCTTTTCAATTTTGTAGGGCTTTGATGTTGCAGGCTTAAGTGTAGCACAGGCTTTTTGCAGCAGTATGAGCCTGAATCGTCGTGAATGCATAGCCACCTACACAGATCCTTTGTACAGCTTCAGGATTCACCTTCCGTTTATTCAACTCGTCTTGTCACCTATTGTTTTATTACACTAAGGTCCATGTTTGCCGTCTAGGTTTTTAGTCCGCATTTTTATCAGCTCTATGTGACTGCATGTTTGGTTTTTCCCGATTGTCTTTGACGCAAAATAAACGGTTGATAACTCAGTGATTGGCTGGTGAATGAGGTAAGGCGGTAGTGAGGTTTAGCAGTGGTCGTGTTCTGTATCGAAGCTTAAGGCATTTATTGTTTTATTCTTTGCCAATAATAAATTGCTGCAGTCTAACAGTGGCACTTTTGCGTTTTCACGGACTTAAATACAAAAGTGGGTGGTACACACGGGTTGACTGACGGAATCATTGTTAAGGGGCGGCGATTATTCTCCGTCCCGGAGAACTCTTATGAAATACCGATCGAGGTCGGTGTTAGGTACGACGTCTGGAGATCCTGAGAGGAGGTCGCGGCCTTCGGACGTCTTAGGGAAGGCGATAACATCTCGAATAGTCTGCGCGTTCGTGAGAATGGCTGTCAGACGGTCCACACCTACAACCAAGAGGGGGTCATTTATTGGGATCCACGATGGTAGTGCGATCGTGCCTTGCCAGGGCTCAAGTCTTCTCGCATCGAGAGGAGTGCTTGGTCTTGTCGATGTTTCCTATCCATCACGAATGCTTTTGAAACTACTCGCTTCAATCAAGTAATGGATGCAAGTGCACGCTTGGTGAGCAGCCAGGATGAGAGCGACTTGCCTAGAGCGAATCCGCCATGTGGTGGAGCTCCAGAGGCGAGGGCCTCAAGGAGATGCTTAAGCGGAGCTACGTTTTCGCCAAGAATGTTTTCTAATACGTAGCGCTGCATATCGGCCTGATGGATCCGAAGGGATCCGCCACCCACCTCCTGGCCATTGCACACGAGGTCGTAATGCTGTCCATGCACCTACGAGTCAGATCAATGAAGAGCTGGGGTGCTTGGTTGCGTGCAGGAATTTTACTTATTTGACACCAGAGGTTTTTATGCAATCGCTCACCGACGCTGGTTTCGTTTTGAGCAAATCGACTTCCGATTCCACGGGAGCCGTGAATGGATGATGTTCGGAAATAAAGTTACCTAAAATCGTAGACGGTGCGGTCACAGGGCTCTCAAATTTCATCTACCTTATATCGGTGCATTGAGTCAGTCTGAGAGTCTCTTCTATGGCACTACAGCAGAATAAGCTAAAAAGATGTAACCCCAGATTAAGCATTGGTCGTTTCAGCTATAAACCTGATAAATGGGACTTTGAGAGGTGATTGGGTGTGGAAAAGAAAAATAGAAGGGTCCTTAACGCAGAAGCTACAAGTGGCTCTTTGGTATCACATCTCATGCCTACCCAGCTCGTTTATTGAAAACAGTGGGAAGTTCTCTACCCAGAGGAAGAAGATTCCAGGCTTGTAGATGGGTACATCTGGATACTCGCGTCATGAGTGAAAAGGAAGGCATACCCTTAGACTTCAATGCCTTAGCAACCAGAACCCGTGCTGTTCCCAGAGCCTTTCGCTGTCAATACAGAGAAAATTGAGAGCGACTAAGCAACAAAGCGACACTTACCCAAAAGTGATCGGTTCCACCGGCTAGAATGGCGACCTCGCCAGGTTTGAGGTCAGAGAGACCTGCGGATTTCAGCTCATCAACGAACCTTAATTTATTATATGGCACGACTGAAAGACTCTAGACGTAAGTAAAAGACAAGTTTCACAAAGTATTAAATTATGAAAAATTAAAAAGCTGAGATGCAAAGGAATAAGTACACCTGGATCGTTGTAGTGAACGGCGCCCACGATCCGATTAATTAAAGCACAATAGTACCAAAAAGGCTTGATTGGGAATAGACCTTCCCAACGTTTTAAATCGGCTATAATAAGTAGGCATCAATGTTCAAAAGGAATGAGGCAGCCGTTCAGGGAGTAGAAAAAATCATGCTTACTAAGGCGTCTTTCTCGGCCACAAGGGACGGCAACTTAGAAAAGAAGGTCTTTGATAGCACCCTAACCTGTAATCAAGGTGTAATAGGTCAGCCTTCTATTTCCCAGGTTTAAATGGAGTAGACAACCTTATCTTACGTAGCCAGCTGGAACAACAAAAAACGCAAATTCCTCGTTGGCACCACAGCGAGAGTTTTTTAACTCCATATCAAAACGAATATCAGGTTTGTCGCTCCCGTATCTTTTCATGGCTTCCTCATAGGACATACGCGGAAAAGGAGTTTTCAGCTCTCCGGTTACCTCGTTAAACTTACAGACCTCAGGCCAGGCATAAGCCAAGGCAGATTCCACAAAACCATAAACATCTTCCTTGCTTATGAAAGACGCTTCAATGTCAAGCTAAGAGATGGAAGAATGAATTGATCATTTCTACCTGCGTGAATTCTGGTTGCCTATCTGGTCTCGAGATCTCATCGCGAAAACACCGCGCGACTTGCATATAGCGATCAATTCCACCAATCATCAAAAGTTGTTTGAATTGTTGCGGGCTCTGGGGAAGGGAATAAAACTGGCCTTGGAACTGTGACGGAACGATGAATTCTTGGGCACCCTAAACAAAGGATAACGCTCAAATAAAAGTAAGCCACGTACCCCAGGTGTGCGTTTAAATAAGCATGGAGTTTCCACATCAACAAAACCTAAGCACGTAAGGGTAAGTTTTCAGCGCACCTTTGTCTTCGCAAAGGTAATTGCGCAACTTGCGTAGGAATTCCGACCGAAATCGGAGGCGTTTCTGGAACTCAGACTGTCTCAGTTGAAGGTAGCGATACCTTAAGCCCAGCTGTTCATGAATCTAAATGACATAGAAAAGCGTGTAATCAGCATACCCGCGTTCTTTCCTTCATTTTAAATGGAATGCACTCAGAGGCTCTGTTCAATGTCTCAATTTTACTTGCCCTGACCTCAATCATTCCTGTTTGCATGGACTAAATAAGTGATTGAAGATTACAAAATGCCACCTTATTTATGTTTTTTGGCGGTCTGGACTGAACAATCCCGTGCACCCTGATAACAGAATCACAAGTCGGCAAGCCAAGTCGGAGCTGAACGATCTGTTAAAATCACTAAAATACACAAACCATAGGCTCCAGAATCACTTGCGTAATTCCATACGCATCTTTTATTAACAGAAACGACGAAGATACACGCGTATTGTATAACCAACCGCAAAGCGTAACCGCCTTTCCTATATCCGACTCTCTTAATTCACCACAGGTATGAGTTCTTAAAGAAGCATTGTATAAAGTGGAAAACAGATTGAATTTCATGAGCGAAGCTCCGAAAGCACGTCCAACGCGCACCACCACAAAATTCGCGGTTACAAGCATATTTAACCCTGACAATGAATACGGCCGTTAGCTCAAGGCGATTAAGTAACATTAAACAAATGCCGATTGTGATGTTCTACTTTTCGGCGTGACACATGGTCCCAAGTACACAAAATTTTTGTTGCATTTAAAACGATTTAAGATTGCAAGAAGCTTTTTTTAAAGGATCTGCTGAAATTAAGGTAAATTATCACTTATTTCTGCTCTTAGAAATTAAATATTATCCTCTAAAAAGTGAACAAGTTATGACTACCTGCTATGTCCATGGAAATAAGAGAGGGCAGTTTAGTGGCATAGAATGTTAGTTTAATTCTCGTCTTTAGTTGGGTACAATACATGTTAACCGTTTGAATTACCCTTCGTAGGGGAGAATCAGAAGGGTCTTTGCTGGTCAAATGTATATGATCATTTGCCATACTCACCTCTCTTTCTGCTTGTGCCTTTTATATACGCCTACCTGGTTCATAAGGCAAAGCTACCTATGTCGGCATGTGCAGTCGACCATAACAAGTTTCCCTCTTGCGCCGGGAACCCCTTAGTTGGCATTGAGGAGGAGACGAAGTACTCTGACGACCTAAGTGAAAGTTAACAAGCTTAAAATGAGGATAATATTCAAAAACAAACGGGAATGTGTAAGGCATATTGGCTTAATTGTCCTTCTTAGGGCAGAGGTGGGGAGTCAGTTCGATTGTTATGCTGGTGTGGGCGAGCACAACATATTGGGTTAGCATAGGTACCTGCATGACGTACTCATTTCCATTATGATTGCACCTTTTAAGCTATGCCACATAAACTATCTTCGAGTGGCCCCACTCTCGCAAAAACTGAGTCGAGAAACCTGGAGAGTGAGGAAAAATGTGTTGCAAAAATTTGCATGGTTTGCCATCCTGCATCCGTTATTGAGCGGACAATACTCTTTGAAATTGTATTATATACTAGTTTGCTTAAGTGGACTTTTATAGGTGATAGGCAGGAACCATTTGGGAACACGAATCACGTGTGCAAAGCCAGTGAGGAGTCTCGTTCCAGTTAATGTCTCCTATTCGGCACATCTGATCCCATTCCCCATTCTTTCTATAACAAATGCCTAATAAATCATCTGCAACCTAAACCCTCTTGAAGTCTGGGGTTCACAGACCAGAGGGTAGACAGACAGCTCTTACAGAAATGTAACTCACTAAGCTACAGAATGCTTAGATTTGGTTGGGACGGATGCCGAGTACTTATGCGACCATAATGTAGAAGTAAGCAGCTAGCCTTTTGGCGTAGCGCCTTGGTTGACTGTCTGTATGGGTGCATTCACTTCAACTGCCATCTTATCCTTGTCAGACAGACTCGATTTTGAAATTGAAAAAGCCTCTTTTCTACTCTATCTCTTTCAATACAAGTACTTTGTACAAAAATAGGCAACCTTTTCTCTAGGGTAAGTCTCAGGTGGCTTCAATGACGCTTGCAAAATATAAGATATGAAAAGATTTTTCTCAGGTTCACTGCATATCACAATTTGTAGGCAAGATGTGCACATTTTGTAAATAAATCTTATGTTATGCTTAAAAACGTCTCATTGGAAATAGGAATGTAGTACCCTGAGACCTCCCGCAAGAATGAAGAGAGCATTACGACGAGCTAAGTACATGTATTTTAGGGGAAGAAGAATGGAGTAAGCTTTGGCATTGTTCGAAGGACAACGTGGGTACAAAATTAGCTCCCAAAGTATTACAAAGTATTTTAATGAGAGTCAGGTCATTTTTGTTGCAATTTTTAATATATACAAATGTGTTTAAGCTTGCCTATAAAGGGACGGGCGGGAGAGCGATTCAAACACAAATCCAGGCTGATATCAGATTTCTGTCTCATCAATTTCTACCCTCTTTTAATTCTGTCTGCTTATGATGCTTAATAAAGCTTCCTTAATTAACCCTCTACTGAATTCCCAGGTTCAGCGTCCTGAGGACAAATAGGCAAACAATGTCTCATAACTTCGTTTTTTGCAATGCTAAAGACGTGTGTAATATACACCAGTTTGTTTAAGTAACTTCTATAGGTAAGAGGCGGGAACCAATTGGAAACGCAAATCACGTGCGTGATTCTCCCCCTCCAATTTGTATCTTCTGCTCACCTCACCTGTACCCCATTCCCCATCTTTCCTGATAACAATGACTAATAAGTCGTCTGCAACCAACTGCCTCGTGAAGTCTGAGGATCAAGGACCAGAGGGTAGACAGGCAGCTCTTACAACTTGCTGTAGCGTTTTTAGGCGCTTCATAGGATAGTAGAAGGTATAAGTGACGTTGAACACATGTATTCCAAAGATAACAGGAGAGATGGAGCCTGAGCGTGGCTCGAAGTCCGGTTCACGTGCTCAGGGGTCGGATAAATCCTAAAGTTACTACCAAACGTCACGTCGTCACATGTGTAATGCGTTGTTTATGTGACTATCTGACGTTTGGCGAGGACTTTAGAATTTGTCTGGGTCCTGTGCACGTGGGCTGGCCTTCGGGTTACGCTCAGGCCCCATTTCTCCTATTGCTTTCGGAATGCATGTATTCAACCCCACTTATGCCTTATACTATCCCATTGGAAGCCTCGGGACGCTACAACATAAACAAAGCATTACACGCGTCGTAATGGGATATGCTCTTGATCACTACTAGAATTCTTTACCTTGTCTTTATAATTTTGATCGCAATTGTGTTTATTTGTCACACAAAACTTAACTTATGTGGTTTTTTAAAATTAAATTAGTTCGTGTCTTTGTCTTTTTTTGTTGATTTTTTCAAAGAGTATTTTGTTTCATCCGACTAATTATATTGATAATGGATTCTCGCGTTCTCGCAAATTATGGTCTATACCGCTTATCCTGGGGTTGCCTGCCTTCTCTCTTGTGATACCATTTTGAACTTAAAAATAGTTCTCCTTTAACGCTTTTTAAAATATGGTGGAGGAAAACCAACTTAATGAATATGGAGTCTCACCATCCAAGGTGTGCCTACCTTTTATCTTACTCTTCATGCATTTAGCTAAGCCACGAGGAACTTGTACATATGGTTGTCGGGTTGCAGGCGGATGTTGAGGCTAGAGACATTGTGATCGCTGCTTTACAGGTAGTAGTTGTCCTCTTCGTGACTTATTCCTCATTAAGTGTGAGCAGAACTATTTTCTTGTCGACGGTGCCCGACGACATCGGTATTTTATGGACAAGGCTTTTGAAATCAACCTAGATGATCCAATACTTGCACTTCAACGTGATTATATTCCTTTTCATTTGTCATCGGACCCCTCAGATGGTTGCGATTTCGGTGTCAATGCAGAGCATCACCGTGAAACAAAATTAACTAGTTTAGAAGAACTTTTTGATGTTCAAAGACGTGCACATGCCTTTTACCGGGAGCAACTAGAGTCTGCGGAGAGGAGATATGCTGCTCTTTGCAGTTCATTTGAGGAAGAGCGGAAGAGGCTGGAGCGTGATGCAGCACAGGGTGACGATGTCGTAGCTATGCTGGAGAAGGAACGTGAGAAGTTACAGTTGGAGGTACTGTAATCTGTCAGTGTTCTATTTTATGTTGCGTAGCTTGGTTTTTAATCGGTGCTTCTGGTTTTAGCTGGAAACTGAGCGAAATCAGACCAAGCGTCTGGAAAAGGAATTAAAGAAAGCATTGGATGGTTATAACAACCAAAAGGCGCTTTCCCAACGTCAACGGTTAGTGGCAGCTCAACTGATACGAGAAAAATGGCGTCTTCAAAAGGAGCTCTCGATGAAATGTGAGCAAATCGAGCAACTTGAATCCAAGTTGGGACTTAAATCTCCGCTCCCTTTTGACCTCCCCTCTTCTGTGAAAGTGTTGGTACGCATTCTTGCTGCTAAATGCTGAGTTTATCCTGTTTAGCAAGTCGGGTAGCATTTTCCGTATCAAGCTCGTGTAACAGGATTCACTGACTTCTGATCATGTCCATTCCATGCATTCTTATACCTGGAACGTAGTTTATAGTCATTGAGGCCTTCCATAGCTTTTTCAAGGCTCTTACTTTATTATTTGGCTTGATAATTGCAAACATTAGTTTTCGTGTCGTCCGCATCACAGTACGAACGATTGAGGCAACACTGGCTTAGGCATTGTAAGATTACAGATTCGCTGCTTAATGTTTAACCATGGTCAAGTAAATTGCATACCGTTTCCTTGGAGTAATGACCATAATCCATACCATCGCATTTGAGATCTAAACTTTCGCATTTGCGAATATCCTAGCGTGTAAAATATTTCGGCGTCAACTCAACCAAACGACTTCTCTTTTGCATCGATTGTTTCGGTGGTCATAAGTTTTTGGCCCTTTGGCCATGAACTACCGCGAGTATATTGTATTGAATTCCAGCAACTCGCTATCCTCCCCAGGGATTCTTTCCACTTTTTTTTTTGGATTCACGAGGGGCTATTGCTCTGTTGTGAATGGATTCAGTGCCATGCAAATTAGCCCGCGGGGTTGACATCTCGCCTGTATGCATGCGTGTGTTTGCATGCATTTGTGCACGCCGAAAGCTAGGTTTCCATTTCATCGCGTCCCCTCACTTCTTGTCTGCCGTCTCGGCCGTGAGTCATGCGGCCAGGACGACGACTACGCACAGGCGCGCACTTGCAGACTGTACAACATGGCAAATATGAATCTCGAAAGATTTTCCGCGTTTTTATCCTCTCCATTGTTGCCGATGCTGTGGCATGCCCGCTTCCGTTGTCTACTGATTGAAAGATCGCAAGCCACGAAACGGAAGTCCATTTGCGGTAATTTCCCAGATCTTGGCGAGAGCTGGGTGGCCTTATAGGCGAGGTGTGCATGCGACAATGACAGTGGAAAGGGAAGTGATCAGCATCTTCATGAGCTTCTGGGGTCTACATAAGTTATCCCAGCTTGCTGATGCGTTCACTCTCTAACTCCGCCCTCACCAAGGGCTAGATATTCACTGCTATTCTGCGGATGCGAAAAGGTTGAACGATTTGCTGTTTGGGAGGTATTCACCGTCTTCGTTTGACAACCATTTGAAGGTCGGACTCACTTGCACAGTGGATTATCCACTGAAATGTTGGTCTCTGCTATAGTTTGTTCGCTTATTTTTCTCTAGCACAGACAGTGTTTTCAAATTTTTAGAGTGTACTGGACTAAATATCCTCGTCTACACGTGTCCTTTACGCTCTACTGAAGGGACAGCATAAGCGTACTTTTCAGACGACAACATAATTCCTCCTGTTGTAATCAATTGGCCCTTCTGTTTCAAAGGCTTTCTTTCATGAACCGTCACTTTCATCCACGTTACAGCTACCTTTTTTGCCATGCTGTAGGTTCCCTTTCTGTGCTTTATATTTATTATCTACGTCTCTTCTCCCTTCTCACTCAGCTTAACCCTCATATTTCACGCATCTGAAATTAACTTATGATTGTATGGAATGGCTCATGGAGGTGCTATTTCTGCTCAATGCAAATGGGACTACTTAATTTAATAGCCGAGCTTGTCTCAGCCCTCCTCAGCTGCTTCATTCAGCGATGCAAATCTATACCATTTGGCCACCTCCATTTGTCGCAGGAGTAGTGGGGTGTACAATTACGTTTCTTTTCTCAATGCGATTGTCATTGTCTGCTGCGGTTCCTCGAAAGAACTGTTATATTCAGTAGTAGCATGCTCTTGTACTGAAGGCTGATGCATGCATAGAATGCTATGTTTGTTCTGAAGGAAGTTGCATATCTTGAGCCTTTAACCACCTATCCATACAGAAGGCCACGTTTACTACCAAAAGGCGGGGAAACATTTAGCGGACCTATATTAGGTTGTTGGTTTAAGCGGAATCAACATCTTTAAGATGCCTTCTTACCCGTATGCCAATAAAACTTATGGCTTTTGACGGTTCTTACCTAGACGCGGAAAGCCAGCGTGAATATTAATGACGCGGAACGGTAAAGTCTTGACGTGTAAATTATTCATAGCTTGGTACAAGATTACAGAAGCGTCGAATCTTTGGGTACATTAAAGCTACCAATGTGTGAGTATTTGCAGTATCCCATAAGTAGCGTGCACTGGGCAACAAGATAGCCCCCCACTGTGGTGTTCCAACAAGTCTTTCTGTGCCGAAGTCGCTTTGAGGGTGTCAGTGAAACAATGAATAAGGTATTCAAGGTATGGTGACAAGGAGCTAAGCTATGATCATGCACTTGCGTCTCTCTGAAACTTAATGCCTTCTGTTTATCTAGGTTTGTCTCAAGTGATCTCCATATCATTGTCCTTATCAGCCTCTATTTGACATTGATGATAACATTGATGGTACTGACACATAATTCATTGCTATCCGCTTCAGTTAGTGCGGTTCATCAACGTGGTAAATAAGATGCCTCTTAAACGACGCACTTATTTTGTATAAACATATCGTTTGTGCATCCTTGTGGGTTTTTAACGCGGGTAGTCTCTTGAAAGTCCATCGAGATGCTCTTTCACTTTTGTTTTGAAGTCTGCTCATATGAGAATCATCTTTTTATTACTGATTGTCCATCAAAACTTAGCGCCACCGTTCCTTTCCGAGTAGGCTTACTGTCAAATTTGCGTAAGTTGCATCACCCCTGAGGAATGTGTACTGCTTTTTCCTGTTTTAAAGTAGTTGGTTCAGAGCGTTCTCATTTTCGACGGAAATCTATAGACGGTGCGGTTGCTCATTTGTAGCAAATGGGAAATTCGGCTGCGACATGAAGCTTTGCCTCAACCTGTCGAACGCGTCTAGAAATACGGAAAAGTAGTGTATGGGAAGGAATGGATCAGTTGTTCATGTTGTAGGGCATGTCAGAGCAGATGCAAAAATGAGTAGTTTAAAATGTTTAAGTCGTGTCAGACATTTTTTTGTCAGTGCTAATAATAATGATTGCAACGTTTTGATTGGTTTGATGTTGTCTAGACTCCCACTGACTCCAAGTTAATGTATCATTTCGAGAATTTTTTAGAAACTGATCCCAAAATCAAGTTGATTGAGGACATCTCATTACTTACTGGCCTCCATAAGGCCTGCCACACGACACAAACTTCACCGGTCCTAACGCCGCGATGCTACCGGCAATTCTCATGAAAATTGTAATTACTCATTACATTCCTGTATCATTCTTCCCGATTCTTTGACATTCACTGATTCTGTTTGCATAATTATCCAGTCTGTTGGGTTGTTGCTTTCCTTTCCATTTGCCTCTGTGAGTTCCTTCATCCGAATCTTTTATTTCAATAACTGATAGTTCGTGAAATTGCACATTAGGAAACCCCTTTATTCATTCATTCATTCATTGGGTTGAGCTTAGATTGGGACGTAAGCAGCAAATTTTCTCCTCTTCTTTTTCTCCTGTAAACATGCACATCTGTTTCGCCACTAATCATTTGTGCACCATATGTCCTGAGACATTAACATTCATTAAAGATGTAATTTTGGAATACCTAGACTGCCATTTTAAACCGTCAAAGCTTGGGAACTAATCTTGGCAATGTATCCAAATCTATTTCTAAGTCGGCTCGTTTGTCCTTCACATTGGTGAAATTGCATCATCAATTTTTTTTCCCAGTTCAGGAACTTTGAATCCGCAACGGTAGTTTGCAAAAGTTAGTTTTGATGCTTTCTGCTGTCTCTAGTTTCTGGCTACTCCATTCACACGAATCATTTTTCAGGATAGATAGTCCTCCACTAGAACAGGTTAGGATTCAAGTAACAGTTGTCGTGGGATATAACCTTCTTATTATGATTCATGCAACACTTGGCTATGCCGTGCTTTTACTTGTGTGAGTACTCCTGTTGGTCCTCATTTTCCGCAGTGATGGATAGGGTTTTCTTGTGATTTATCTGCGAAAGTAAGTTAAACTATGCTATTCACCACCATCCATGACCAAACACGAGCCAGGAATTTCTCTCTCATTCATCCTTCTTTTCTGCCGCCATTGGGTGACTAATTTCTCACTTTTTAAGCATTGATTCGTCGTCCCTTGTGGAGGATTTGCATATAGGCAACTTTGCTTTGCGAGGATGTTGTAATTTGTGAAATCACTAGGTAGGTCACGTCCCTCCTGCATCTTAAGCAGAACTAGTCAGATCGCGAACAACTGTAACGAATTGTTTAAAAGCTGCGGCTAAACAATATATCCTGTCCACGTAGTTGCATATCTGATAGAGGAATTTTGTGCCATTTACTTGACACTTCTTGTCCCCAAGACGATCTCGGCAATGAAACTTGAAATACTTATGTCATAATGTTTGAACAGATGGTTTGACTCTTGAATTAGTTAGTTAGTTCTTGACTGGATTTATGAAACATACGAATTTAGTTGATCCAAAGGAATGTTTCAGCCAATTACGTGAATGCGTTGTTTAGCGATTTCATTCTGCTTTTCAGGATGGGTTTATTTGTTTCCTACAGAAGTTGGTTTGGATTGGGTTCACTCATTTTCTGATCATCCCTTCTCAGTTTATTTCGGGTCCTAACGCCTCCCCTTCCACTCTGTGTCGATTTCCTCCAACTGATTCCTTCAGCTTTGTTTACACATATCGCGGCTTATATGGAAAATGATGCCTTTTAAATGCGGTGGAGTATGGTTGGAATTTCCTCCTTTCAAACTAATTTTGTTCTTTTCTTATACCTGCTGATCAGTGCCTATCATAATTGCCCCACTTATCTGCTCGCTATTTGGATATTTTAGCTGAATGTCTTCCTGACATTCGTATTTTTACCATATTGGCAAATGTCAATGCTGATTTCCAGAATGTAATTCTAGTTCAACTTTCATCTTCGGCAAATATTGAGATCATTTGAAGGCACTTTTAAGCAAATCAACTATGTGTGACTTCAAGAATATTCACCGCTAGTCAGTCGAAGAGAAAGAACGAACCCGCATTTTTTCAAAACTGTATTTGCTACCGTGAAATAGAAATAACCCCATGATCTATGATGATAGTAATGGTTCTTCAGCAGATCTACTCATCAACGATAAGAGGTCGGTGTTACAAGTCATCGCTTCCGATATCCTATTGCAGCAAGCAACAGATATTTTTTAGGCTCTAGCAATTCGTTTTTTCCCCACTCTTCCATTGCTTCTACATTTCGACTTTTAACGCTGGCCTCAGCTACTGGCGGTGCTGGAATCTGTTTACTAGACCAAGACTATTATTTGACAAGTTGCTAGTTTTGAATGGGTGCATTGCTCGTATGTATCCTTAAACATCTCCTCATGTAGTGTCATTCATACCAGGGTCCTTGATGGACTCTTCTGCTGAGGTAATATTGCATGGTCATTTCCTGCCAACTTTAAAGTGCAGTGGAACTCAACTAACTTCCGGAACCAAAGTGAGATGCACTAGTTCGATAGAAAATATGTTATGAAGGCACTGAATTACTGAAAGGAGTTTCATAAAATGCCATCTATTGCCAGTGTGAATGCTAATTCCTCACGAGTTGTATGATTAATAAACCTTACGTGCTGCCTAAATACTTTTTCTCCTTGACTTGGACATTTGAATTCACTTGAAACTGTAACCTAGTTGATTTGTAGTAATGCTACACGACCTCAAGCACTGATAGGCATAATTGCAGCTTGTCAGTCAAGGAGTCCTCACATCCTACATGTGTTTCAATTTCCAATGTGCTTATTAAGCTCGGCTTTGAAGTCAGTCTTGGGACTGTAATCTCGGTAGCCTTTTTCCAGACACTGTGGTTACTTATTCTGCGCTTTCAACTACTCATTCAGGTAAATAAGATGAAATGTAGCCAGATTAATCAGAACTGAACAGCCTTATATTTTTCGTAATACTATGCGTTCAGTTGTGTTTTCATTATGCATGCGTCTTTTCCTCAACTTTGAACAGAACGTTTCGCCTACAGCGAAGCTGACAAGTAACGCCACGCCTCGAAGCCCAGTCGGTGCTGGTGAGGAAAGCTTTCAGTGTAAGAAGTCACTTTCACCGCCGTCTGCATGTCGCGAGTCAGCCAACGCTCCACCCCCACCTCCATCCCCTCTAGTTCCATTCTGTCCCTCCACCTCCATCTCTACCTCCTCCAAACTCGACTCCACCGTCTCGGGTATTTCTGCGTAAGCTTCCCACCTCTCTCGCACTCTCTTGATATTTGTAGACCGAAAGCGGCCACATTTTCGACTTCAAAATAAGCGAAGTTAATGGATCCATGCGAAGTGTATGCACCCTTATCGACATTTCTCTAAATCCTATAGTTTATTTAAAGGAAATAATCGTGCTGAGCGAATCTAAAACTTTCTTTAGTGCATTCGATATGGGACCAGTTAAAATCTCTCAAAATTCAACAGTATTATTGTCCCCTGAATGTCCGATTTTAATGGCTCAAATTACGTAGCTTAAAGTGTTATTCAAGCATGCATGTCTGTTTTTGAACAGCTTCAGTATATGCTTCAAACTAGGTGAATAGTAGCTGCCTGTTTTCAAAGAGCTTGTCCCATGGTAATGGCCTGATTTACGACATGCTTACCCAGGAATCTAACAAATCTTCAACGCACTGTCGACCCTGTTTGGTTAAATAATGGATCCTCATTTCGACAACAGAGGTTTAGCATTGAATAGCTGTCAAACATCAACTTTGGTGTTGCTGTTTCCGCCAGGAGCTGTGCAGTATTTGTTGTGCGAATCTCAAGTGTCTGTGTGCGGATTTTCAGTTTGCACGAGCATAAGCTCTTCCAATTGTGACTTTTTTCTTGGTTTTGGTTTATGCCTGCTAAGCCTTGGATACCTAAATCCTCAAGTATTATCCCATTTGCACACCAGGGTTAACGCTGAATCTTTGAATACAATCACTTCCGCACCTTAAAAGTCCCTATTTGTGGTCTCTGTGGGTTTCACTGACAATTCATTACACTACCTTCAACGATTTCTAGAAAACATGGTTCAGTTTGAATTTCTCTGAGGGATTTTACCTTATTATTCATTATAGCTGTGGTTTTTGCCGCTAATGAGGTGATTTCAAACTGGAAATTCAAAGAGATGCTGAGCACAAAAGTGGACAGGAGTACTCAAGGCAGTTGCCCTAGTCGATTGGCAATGGGAGTCTTGCCACAGCTAACATTCTGCACTGTTTGTTCTTGTGAGTAGTCCTTGGTAGCAATGGAACGTTTGATCCTAAATTTCAATCGCCTCCCTTTCTAGATTGTTTAGTTCTCTGAATGGTGCTTATTAACTCCCTTGTTTTATAAAGTTTGACTAAATTGATTTCTACCGCCATTGAAATTCCTTTGACCTACGAAATCTAAATGGATGCTCTGCTGTAAGTTTTACATCCTGGAAGCTATCTTTTTTGGCCGTACAAAATACTCCTTCAATTGCTATTATCTCTTTTTAAGATGCATTGGTAGCCTTTTAATGAAACCTTGCCGTTAGGAATAAACTGGAGCTTGACTTGTTTTTGCTATTGGTTAAATATTGCGATCGAATGTGCGTAGAGCTGAGTAACTGCTTTTAGTTCTACTCACTGACGGCACTGAGGTCTAAAAAAGTTGGCATTTTTGACTGTTCATGTGTGGCCAGAAACTACTCACCATTTAGTTGAGTTCTAATTTGGAAATACTAACCCAAATATGAAGGAGCAAACAAATAACTCTCAGTAAACATTGTATTGGATTAACTCTCAATGTACAGTTAAGTCTAAGCTCTCTTCTTTTTTGCACTTCCTCATTGTTGAGTCATGTAGATCTTGTGGATGTTTATGTTTTCCATCCTCTAGGCCATGAGGATGTGGATTTGTGCGCGTAGACGTTACAGCACCAAGAACCCATAAATTTGAACTTTTGGTTCATGCCTCAGTGCCGTGCTTTTTGTCACCTCTGATAACGCCTTGGGGTACGCTAACGTAGGATGAAAATATTGTCATATTATTGAAATGTCTTAACACCATTTAAGATCACCTTTTAATTCACAATTGGGGCACGACAATCAGTTAGACAAAGTTAAACCGTTTCATCATTTCTAGTCAACCTTCCCACTAGAGCTTATAAACGCCCGCTCTACTAACCAATTTGTGTCCCTATTTTACAACTAACTGTCACATTGACCTTCCCTCTGCCCAGACTCACATAGGCATCAGTTATGATTGAGGGTTGCCCTCGTTGGGTCAAAACGTGAACTATTTGCAGTTTGCCTGCTTCACTGCTTCATCTTTATCACACTTGCTGTCAGTGTCTCTGAGGCGGATAGTCTCGCATAGCTCAGGCATTCCCTGAATCTGTTGTGGCGCTAATTATTATCTTGTCGTCGGACTGGATATTAATGTCATTTGCTTGCCAAATTTGCATATATCAGTGGTAGAACAATAATTCCTCTACTGAAAAAGGGTCTTTTGATAGTATGCATATGCCTCTTTCGTCGTCTACCCATTCCAGAGTTTACTAAATTTCCTTCATAGCATGAAACTTATATCTTAATTTTTCAAATTGAAGTAGTTGAATTTTTTAACCAAGTAGCTTTTGCTGGAAAAGCTGGAATGTTGTATTGCATAATTTATTTTCGTTTGTGCATTTGGGGATCCCAAGTTTGGAATGGTCAGCTTCTTAAAAATGGAACAGCAATTCATTCCGCCCAGTTGTGGGGACAGGCGCACACTTAATCTTTCCAACCTTGACAACCATGTCCCCTTCTGTAGGAGGATAATTTTTTTCTCCTGATTTGGGCTTCAATGGCTGTTTCTACCAGCCTACCTGTCCAGAACGCTCATCATATTAACCCCCCTTCTGCTTGTAGCCATTCCATTTTTCAAAAAAATTAAGTTAATGAAGTTGAAAGAGGTTTGTAAAATTACGACTTGCTTTTTTTGCTCTTTCTTACGTGTAGGGATGGAAAACCCGATCTGCATCTCAAATTTCATGGTTAAGAAATACTTCAGTTAAATGTGTGGCTTAGTCTTGTACTTTGAAGTCAAGACCAAAAAGCGTGTGATGTTTATTTCGGTAAACGCAGAATTCGTCTACGATCATGGGGTTGATTCGTTATTTTGATGTGCTCTTTAGTGGCAAGTGTCTTTTCGGTCGTTTTGATTTGGATACCAATGTATTGTTATAAGGAGCTGTTGACGTGTTTCGATTTGATGTGCATAACCTTCTAGAATGTTCATCAAACAGTTAAAGTACCTACCATGATCATCACTCCTTTTAGAGCAAGCAATTCTTTATTACCCTGGGCTCTACAAAAGCTTTCGGATGAATGATTAAAATAGTTTTATGACCCGCGTAAAACCTCTCAATCGGTAGTGGGAAAACTAGCTCCTGTGCTTCTCTACAATAACTGGACCTTTTTACCAAGTTCTACACAACTTCTCCTAAATGTAGCAAATCAGGAAGAAATTGAGCACTACAAAGTTCACATACATGCATCACAACGCTGCATTAATTCTGCATTCATGGAATCTCTAAGTCAATTTAAGGACGTCAGAATTTCCTTTCGCCTTAATCACTATGCGCAGTCCTGTTTTTAATGACGAAGGTGTTGGTTACTGATACTGTCATTATTTTCCGCGACCATTCAGATCTAATCGCGTAAATGGGTGTTCCCCGCCTTCGTCCTCCATCTCCTTCTCTGACGGCTCAGCCTCAGAGACGACGAAAGTCAAATCCCCTCCGCCCGTCAAAACTCGACCTGAACCACCAGTTCGCCGTACTCCTGAGTTTAATGGCCCCGTTGCGCCCGCTTCACGTAAAATTGGTCTACTTGAGGTGGACACAACTCAGGTTGGAGCAGTATTAGTAGCTGTAGCGGCAACAGAAATGGAGTCGGTGGAGGACGAGAAGCATATCGGTTCCTTGTCACCTCCTCCGCCACCCCCCCAAATGCAGTTGCATTATCCATATCCGGGTATGCAGGGAAACACACACCATCCACCCGTTCGCACCCCTCGGTCTGCCTTTGGTGGCGGACATTTCGGCGCTTCCTCCTCCGCCTCCCACTTTTCCGGTGCACGAGTTCCTCTACGTTCCCCTACCTCGCCTCCCACTGCACCTGCCTCCCACCAATTTCCCTATGTTCAACCGCAGCGGGTTTTCTCCTCGGGTTCGCGGTTCGCCGGTGGTTGTGGCAGTGGATTACGTAAAACAGCTCCCATATTGCCCCAACAGACGCGGGCCAGTACCGTATCTGCATCCCAGGGAGGTCCAATTCGGTCTGCTCCAACTGCGGCGCCTCGTGTGGTCGTGACGACCCGCGCCGCTGCTGCGGCGGGTCAGGGAAACCTGTATATAAATGGGAAATAGCTTCTACCCCCATCATTTTACAGCCCTATTTCACTTTTTCATTCCCTGGTATTACCAACTCTTCCCTTTATCTACCACGGCAAGTGCAATCTATATGATTTTTCCCTACCTAGGATCGTGTGTGCGTGTTTGTGTGTGCCTGTGTCTATCATTCATAAAACCGATCGTCATGATGGCTATCCTGTATTCACTTCAAGGGTATGACGATTTATTGAACGGCTAAGATAGATGGCAATTGGGATAAGCGTCCTATTGGGGATGTAATGGTGAGGCCTAAATTACGCCAACAAGATTCGTGACATGCATCGTTCCCTATGATATTCGCTAGCATCAACCATAATTTCTTGGGGAGGCAGTAGTTGTTCGGCACTGATTCCAATTCTTTGTTTTATTTGTATACTAATAGCCGTAAAGTACAGTTGGCATGGTCTACTCCCTTTTCTGTTTTTCTTCCCAATCGGTCTAATGCCAAGCAAATTCAACAAACCCTAATTTCGCACATCATCATGATGATGCAGAGAAGGCAGCCCTATCGTCGATCCTCGCATCGCCCTGTAAAAATACGACTTCTTGACTCCTTAGAGGAGTTGTGAGCCTCAAAAACCAAGACCACTGATATCTCATTTTCGATTGTTTGCCCTTGCTTACTACAAATATAAGAATGTTTTTTGGAGTGTAGAGTAGTGACTTGGAAGACCAAAGTGTACGACGAATGAGTTCAGGGGCTATATTTATCAAACATCACCTTTTGGAACATTACAACGTGGAGCAGGGGGAAAATTTGTGATCCGCAGTAGCTCCCAGCTGCTAGGTATATCTCATTCCAACTACTGTTGGTGCCTTTCCTTGGCACTTTTGGTCTAAGCTATTTGCTCCTTAGCGATCACGATTCCCACCCATGAATGATGCATTGTTTGATGCGCTTGAAGCATCTACATCTGGTTACTCATAGTTAGGATCGGGTTCGATTGTTGCGTCTACCCTGAATTCGTCACCAAGGCAAAAAATATTGTAACTTCGACACTGAAGGTCGATTTATCAGAATTTCACAAAAAAAAAGTCGCCAAAATCAACTTCCATCCATCAGGTTTGCGTACATTTTGGTGATATAAGAGTTTGAATTGACAGGAATTTGGTGGAGACTGCTACAAAGAGCATTACCTACTAACGCGCAGAAACAGGATCTTTCCAGACGTTAAAATAGACCGTGGGTGAGTGACATACCAAGGAGCCGGCCAACTTGGTGGCCATCCGCTTGGATGAAAATCAAGCCAAGGTGGCACGTAAGTTTCAAATAAAGATTGTACTTCTTTCAACTACAGCTATAAATGCTAGAAACTGTCGGAACGCCGTTCTCCTATTGGAACTAACCAGAAGGAAAATTCACAATTTCACTCAAGGTAAATGTGTTGTGGATTCAGATTGCAATACCACAAGGGACACAAGGGAATAGCATCGTCACTTGTTAGTGCCAACAGTGCATTTGTTTATTTAGATTATTGTGCAGGCGATGTGTAAACATTTAATGCCTTAGATCAATTTCAACACAATTTGGTACCAGTTCCCCCAACGTCCGCGAGATTGATGAAAATGGCGTCACGGTAGTTTGCATTTCAATGTTTTGCCTGTCTCACCCACAAACTTTGCAGTAGGGCTTAATTTTTGCTTTTTTGTAAAAACATTAATTTAACTTTCATATGTAATGTAATGCAAAAATAATCCTTAGTAGTTTTAGCTAAGGTAAGTGCAGCGTTTTAAGTAAAGTCTCAACTTCACAATCCCCTGACTAGGACACCGATGCTTAGGACAATGAAAGTGAGCATGAAATGAGGTAGGTTTTTTGGATTTTTTATTTTCGATTAGCGAATTATTGAACTCAAAGCAAACAGTATGACGGGGTCACTTCTCGACCTCAATGAACAATATGAACAATATGATGAACAATATGCATACATTAACACTCTTCCATATTGACTTTTTGGAGCTTTTAAGGACGTACAGAATTGCTAGGTTGGTTTCACTACGTAAATTGCTTGATTGTACCCTCAGCTTTAGTAAAGAAGCAACTTACTTATTCCGTCACAGAGCCTTCGTCAGGTGGACTGACCATTTGTCTAATGTATTTGTTCTGCCCTTACTAGCATGTCGTCTTAGAGACCTTAGGAGTGTTGGGGCATTGTGGACCTATTTAATGTATCGCAGTATTTGCTCAATCCCAGCTGTTTTTGAATAATCTCGTACGGCTCACAAACGTCAACTCTACAGTTATGCAATGAAAATCTGGCACCACTCTCACTTATTTTCACCGCGGTGAACTCAACGAAGCGACTTCACTTTTAAGACTACTAACGGGTTGATATGTCTGCAGTTCTTAACAGTTGAGAGTTAAATTTGCAAGTACCAAAAACTTATATACGCCTAATTTTGTTCGAAGAATCGGCAATACCCGTCTCACATGTTGATGCACGATTGCCAATTAGGCGCTAGCTTATTTCATGCTTCAAATGTACCTTTCAAACACGACAGCATTGAAATGGAATTTGGACCAAATCTGCGCGATTTATGAGTCACTTTACTTGTCTCATATAAGTTCACCTGTACACCATTGATGTGATGGCAACGGTGACACTAATGCCTCCGAATGTTGTGGTAACACGAAACAAATCTGAGCATGCATACTTTGGACGCAATCTGTAGTTAGTCGTAGCCTTGATTTTGTTTGCTCTACTTACCAATTTATCAGTAATTCATATTTCATTCTGGAAACACAGGATGTGCCATTTCTCACCAGTATAAATACATACCTGGGTGGAAAGCTGTTATTGATATATCCAGGTTGCATAATAATGGAAGGCCAAAATTACTCCTTCTTTGTGAAGCAACAATGACCAGATCCGCACCAACTTCGAAGGCATTTGGCATTCTGTCCAGTAGGAAATCGTCACCACCCACCCTCAATAATAAACCACGATGGCACTATTTTGCAACTTAAAAACACAAATTTTCGTTTTTACCTCGTGCACAAAGATATAGAAGGTAGGTAAAGTAATGGGTGAAATGAAATGCACTAGCTAAGTGTACATTGTAGGTTTTAGATAGGGGCGTTAGGAATCCCCATTTAGTGCTTTTGCTAGGCGAAGTGGCTCTGAGCAGCGTCAGTGGTCCCGTGTGAGTACTTTACCTTCCCAACCTTTTTCTTATAAATAGAGAGTAACAACTCTTTCATGAAAAAAAACAGGTGATTTCCACGCAAAATGAAGTAATTTATCTCTTTTGGAGCCTTCAATTTTGTATCTTTGTTGTCTATAAAAGAATTTGTAATGGTTAAGGGGAAAAGTTAAAGCTTTACCCATTCGCATTCACCAAACATCAAGGTCTTTTACCATATCAGTAGTCTCTAGGCTCTCCTTTAGATCAGCTATGCATTGTTAAATGGCACATAATGTCCTCCTCCGTTGGTAGGAAAGGCGCAACAACCTGCAATGTTGCATTTTACAAAGTAGAACATTCAATTTTTCGGAAAACAACTTCAATGTACATTGCATTTCACTAAATTAAATTGAGGCTGAGGGCTGAACCGTATTTAGGATTGGTATTGTGGGAATAGCTTTCCATTTCCATAGAATTGCACACGAAAATAATTTAGTGAGGCGATTCATCACTCCTCATCACCTGAGTAGCAGTGGACTTTGGAGGCGCTACAAATACTAAGCTAACCTCGTCTGTTCGTGCAGTTGTCCATCTCGTATTTAGTCAACTTAACCACCTAGGCGGAGGTGGTTATCTGACCCAGATGCAGGCAGTGTAATCATTTATTAAACGTCTGAAATTATTTGATGTCTCTTTGCCTATTTAAAATGTCCGTCCCACTTAGTGTGTCCTCCTATCCATTCCTCCTAACTATCTCCCGTCCCCGTATTATCAATGAGTGAGGTAACCAATCACAAAAAGGCGAATCATTGAGCTTCTTTCTTAAATAATAAAAAAGTAATGTTCGGATATGAAAATATCAACGGTAGCGATAATAAAACCCCACGGTCACTATTGTTCATGGGTGTGATAACACTTCGCTGAAACAAAGCGTCATTAATGAAAGACTAAATAATGTCTTTCTCAACTCACTGACTTATACTCGTAGAGGAAACGGAGTACCTTTTGTGCTTTTAATCATTAGGGAAAAGTGATCATGGGAATCGAAGAGGAGAAGGGATGTTGTTTGTGAAGAGCCGTGTCTAATCCTTTCCTTCCATAATTCACTGCCGTTCAAGGCAGACGACTAAATTTGTGGTGCGAAGTATTTTGAGCATTTACGATGCCGCAATGAGGTGAATGAATTCTTTCCCACTCAAGTCTGCTTCATGGCTGGTTATAATTTAGACAAGTGTGTACAACTCTTGACGCTGAGAAGCCACCTTGGAGGGCCTGGTCAACGCCTTATTTCCACGCACTTTGTAAACAACCCAAAACGGTATCAGGAGCAATATCTGCGTTTGCGAAAGCTGAAGTGCAACAAGGAATATTCTTATCATTGGCACTTTTCAAGGCGGAGATTTGGTGAACTGCATTTCAGAGGCAGTCCATAAAAGTCAATTTAAAGAGGATTCGCTTTCACATAAACCCTCAGCAACCGTATCCACTTAAAACCATTAAATTGAGCCGATGGAATCGCTTCTGGGCTATTAAAGGCGAGTAAATGATCAGGAAAGTGTGTGTAGGCACAGACAAGAGGAAAAATAGGTGTAGGTAAAAAGAAAAATGGAAAGCAGCTAGTGACCTAATTGTTGGTTTCGTAAGGTAAATAAACCTTCTTGAGGTATTCCGTATTCCATCCACATTCTCCCCTCCAATTTCCCTTCTCCACTGCCTATGTTCTGCACAAATAAGTTAAACACAGCTTGAATACAATTTTGTGGGAAATTTTCAGTCATAAAAGTTGGATTTTTTAACCAGAAACAACCTCCTTATTCGAAGTCAGGTTATCACCTTGTTTCCATTCTGAA